TTACTTACTTACTTACTTACTTACTTACTTACTACTACTACTACTACTACTACTCTCTCTCTCTCTCTCTCTCTCTCTCTCTCTCTCTCTCTCTCTCTCTCTCTCTCTCTCTCTCTCTCTCTCTCTTATACACACACTCACTCTCTTATACACTCTCTCTATCTGATTTTGTTTTTTCCTTCCTTACACCTTGACAATGTTCTTAATATACCCGAACTTATAGCAGGTTGGTCAAATTTATTAGGCTGAATTTCAAGCTTCGAGTTTCGAGTTTCTATTCTTCTACCTACTTACTTACCTGCCTACCTGCCTAAAATATATTGAAAAAGGATCTCTTGCGGCACCTGCTACGAAGCGCGTAGTGGAAGTAGAGAGTATGTAAGTCGCAGGTAGTTTGAAATGGAAAGGTTTGAAAAGTCTCGATCCTGGAGCAGGTTTTGGAAAGTAAGGTAGCATCGCATATAGCTTTTGCAGTACTCGATCAGATGCTAAGGTAGGTAGGTAGGTAGGTATAGCTCGAGGTCTCGAAAATGTGTCGTACGCTGATTTGGCGGCGTGCATAATATAGTTCCGACTGTGTTCAGGTAATCTCTCCACTCCTCAGGTCAAGGTCGCTCGCGAGGAGAACGTGTGTCAGGCCCCCCTGAAATGCTACGAGCCAACTCTCGTGGCTTTTACCAAAACGGGAATCATGCCGCCTGTGGGCAATTTGAATTCACGGTGGCCGAGTACACGCAAGATGCTTGCGATGGTGCCACTGTGGCTGGTCAACGAGAGGACTTCGTGGTCATCGTGGGCGAAAATGTCGTCTAGTAAAGCCTGGTTGCGGGCGTCATGCTCCTCGTGCGTTTCGCGATGGTCGGCGCGCCACAACTCATCCTCCTCTGCAAAGCCATCCTCGATGGGGAAGTCGGGAAAGGCTTGGTGGATAACAGTCCGCGTGCTGCGTTTGTCGCACGTATGCTCACCGAGCACTTCTCGCACCAGTTCCTTGATCAACGGCTTGAAAGGCTTGTCCGCCGGGAGGGGGATATCGCTCCACGTGAGACTTGCAGTCTGCAGGCAGCGGTACATTGGTGATGTATAGTACGAGTCTGGAGCAGGCATCATTTTGTCTTCGGCCATCTGAGCTTTCATGAAGGCTCCTGCAGCACGAGCTTGACCTTTGCCAATCTCTGTCAGATGTGCATCAAACCAGAAAATGGTCCCGTTGCCGTCCAGCTTTGACCAATAGTCATCCCACGCCTTGGTGCCGTAGTAAGCCTCAGCGACGTTGTGGAAGCCCTCTCCGTGTCGGCCGAGGTAGAGAAGCTTGTAGGTGGTACTCTTGGCAGATGTGGTTTCGAGATGTCGGACATAGCGGAGGAATCGTTGCCAATCGGTCAAACCAGCAGGCTCGGCAGTGTCATCCGTAGGGTACTCGCGATGGATGAGGCCAAAGTTCTGCGCAGTATTATCGAAATCCGAGGGATCTGTCGAGGGTTGGGATTGCATAAATACGTCTGGTTCAGCTTCGAACTTGAACACAACTGGAGGGTATTGGCTCTTCATGGTGGAGCCGTTGTTGTATCCCACTTGGCTGCTGGAGATATGCTGATAGAGGAGGAGAAGTGAGAGAATGAGGGCAAAGCTGAGGTGGTGTCGCTCCCGAGTCAGTGTTCCGAGCAGAGGAAGAAGACGGGGAGCGAAGATGGGACAGGGGAAAAAGGGAGGGAAGCAATGGATGGAGTCGGAGTCGTACCCAGTCAAGAACAGTCTGCGAGGGTTCGATAGCAATACCGGAGCCATTAGGCCTTTGCCCTCAGGCAGACTTGGAGAGAGGCATATTGATGTAGAATTGATTAGATACCTAACCGGGCAATGGTATGCAATACTTAAACACTGTATAACGTTGTTGTGCTCTCTTATACCTCTATTCTGCTCGAGACTCGGACAGTAAAGTCGTGGTATCTATGCCCATCCATGTATCCCATCATCATCGCCAAGGCCAGGAACCCTTCCCGGTTTGCCTACCTCTACTTCTACCATCTCACTCAGACGCGTACCCAAACATATATATAACCACTTCATCCCCACCTTCAACTACCTGTATCCACCCCTTTCGAAGAAATCCCCTCTCTGCCGGTCAGACGAGTCACAAGTCCACTACATATATATATATCAAAAACGACGTCCCGCCACATCCGACGACCACAGCAGCCCAGTGGAAACTGCAACTGGCGGCCATGAGCGGCTGAAACAGAAGAACATCATTCATCATGGCTCGCACGCCACTGCCAATTCTGGTCCTGGCGTTGTTTGCCTTTGTCCTCTTATCGACACTAAATGTCCTCCACCGGCTAGGTCCATCTGTAGTCGACCTCTGGAACGACAGTGGATTCCACGTCTCGACCACTTCGAGAGTCCATATCCGGGATGGAGATGAATATTTGGTAGGCGTCGGCAAGGGCGACATCACAGGTCCCGTCGTCGAGATCAATTTCATGGGCTATGCCGATGCTGCTCAAGTGGGCAGTGGGCTGAGGCAACGGCTGTACTCACGAGCTTTCATCGTGGGAGACCTGCATACACCCGAAGACCGATTCGTGTATCTCGTGCTAGATACACAGTCTGGAGATACTGCCGTCCGGCACGGTATTTTGGAAGCTCTCGGTCGTCTTGGTGGCGAATTTGCGCTGTACGGACAGCATAATGTTGCCGTTACCGGCACTCACTCACATAGTGGTCCTGGTGCCTGGCTCAACTACTTGCTGCCTCAAATCACCAGTAAAGGCTTTCACAAGCCTTCGTACGAAGCTATCGTAGATGGAGCCGTGGCCTCGATCAAGCAGGCGCATGAACGCCTCGCAAAGGGCCACTTGTCTGTGGCTTCGACTCGTGTGGACGATGCCAACGTCAACAGAAGCCCATGGGCATACATCCAGAACCCACCTGAGGAGCGAGAGCGCTACAGCGACGATGTTGATAAACAGATGACAGCCCTGCGGTTGAGCCACAGCACAGATTCCGGGGATGTAGACGTGGGCATTCTCACCTGGTTCGCGGTACATGGCACGAGTATGCTGGGGAACAACACTCTCGTGACTGGTGATAATAAAGGAGTTGCTGCCATGCTTTTCGAGAAGTCGACAGAAGACCCTTCTTTCGTGGCAGGCTTCAGTCAGGCCAACGTGGGTGACACTTCTCCCAACGTTTTGGGCGCCTATTGCGAGTCTGGTGAGCAACAAGGGCAGATGTGCGACTTCAAGACTAGCCTCTGCGGCAATAAAACACAACCGTGTCACGGCCGAGGACCACACTTTGGACGAGACGATGCCGGCACTGCTTCTGCTTTCGAAATTGGCATTCGACAGTATCAAGGCGCTCGAGAAATGTTCCACAACCATGCAGCTTTCACGCCCGTTCGTGGAAAAGTAGTCAAAAGCGTACACCAATTTGTCGAGTTGAGTCAGTACAAGTTCCAATTGCCAAATGGCACCAATGTGCAGACGTGCCCGGCAGCGATGGGGTATTCCTTTGCCGCTGGCACTTCAGATGGGCCAGGTGCATTTGACTTCAAGCAGGGTCAACCTGGTGAGCCACATGCAAATCCGCTCTGGGCAGCGGTCAGAAATGGCCTCCACAAGCCCAACAAGACGCAGATTGCATGCCACGGCGAAAAGCCCATCCTGCTCGATGTCGGCGAAACACGGAAGCCGTATCTGTGGACACCCAACATTGTCGATATCCAGCTTCTGCGTGTGGGTCAATTTTTCATCATTGTGTCTCCCGGAGAGGCAACCACCATGGCAGGTCGTAGATGGCGTGAAGCCGTGCACACTTCCGCAGTCTCGACTTTTCCTGAGCTGGACGACGAGGAGAACAATCCCCTGGTTGTGCTGGGTGGCCCCGCCAACACATACACCCATTACATCACGACTCCGGAGGAATACAGCGTACAGCGGTACGAAGGAGCCTCGACGCTGTATGGACCATGGACTTTGCCAGCGTATATTGATTTGACACTGACATATCTTCCCCACCTGGGCGCCTCCACTGATGGTCTACCCCGTCTGGGTTCGGGGCCACTGCCACCCATCTTTGTGAATAAGAGCCTATCATTCATCACGCCTGTCGTGGTCGATCGCGCCGGTCTGTTCAAAGAGTTTGGACAAATCGTCACGGATGTCGAGCCCGTGTATCGTGTCGGCGACACCATCTCAGCTCGCTTTGTCGGCGCCAACCCCCGAAACAACTTGCGCCGGGGCGAGACGTTTGCTGCAGTCGAAAAGCTCAACGAGGACACTGCCGGGTGGGAGATGGTGCGGAGCGACGAAGACTGGAGTCTGGTCTTTGAGTGGAAGCGAACCAGTACCGCGCTGGGTACGAGCCAGGTGACGATTTCATGGGAGACGAAGTGGGAAAATGGCGAGTGGAGGGAGAAGAAGAGTAACAATAATCCAGATGACTCCAGCAGCACGCATACCGATCTGATGAATCGAAATGGCCCGTATCAGGATTTACGAGGTCGATATCGAATACGATATTTTGGTGATGCCAAAGCCCTCGGGGGCAGAATTACTCCGTTTGAAGGTGTGAGTGGGGAGTTTACAATTGTATGAAAAAGGAAAAAGAAAAGAAAAAAAGAAATCAGTGATAGAGACAAGGAAGAAAATAGAAAGAAGAAAGAAAAAGAAAACAGAAGGAAGAAGGAAGCAAATAAATAGCGCAGACTTTTCCGGAGTCCGGATGATAATATTCTCCAGAGGAAGTAGAAAAAAGAAAAAGAAAAGGCTTACCGATGCCGGTCGTCTCGTCTCGTGAGGTGAAAGAGTAGGTGAGTGTCTGCCCCAATGTGACTTTGGGTCAGCAGGACTATATCGTATTATATCGTATCGTACCGTATCGAACAAAAGAGAGGCAAGAGAGAGGGGGGAGTGGGAGTGGGGGAGAGAGAGAGAGAGAGAGAGAGAGAGAGAGAGAGATCTAGACCACCTACCTACCTAGGTACCTACATGTACCCAACCAGGTACTAATAAGGTATCAAAGTACGGTATACCAAGCAAAACACCTCTCAGGCACAATGCACAAATATTGTATACCTATGTACATGCAAAATGCAAAATGCAAAATGCAATGCAGGCTCTTCTTCCCTCTCTTCCGCGCGTCTATTTAATATTCCCCAAGGAACCTAGGTGTATTGAGGTATTTTGTCGCGGCTCACCCTGGTCCTATACCTACCTAGGTATGCATTGCCACGACGCCTACAGCTATACCTGATACCTAATACCTACAACTATGCCAGTCGTGTTGTGTACTCTATGCTATGTATTGTATACCGAAGTGTTTCTTCGAGTAGATAGGTACATATAGGCAATTTCATGATTTATACGCGCGGAAATTCCGCCCCGGCAAAGACCAACAGTCCCTCTAGGAATCTGTTTGGACAGAAGGACATGGGTGCCCTGGCATCATGTGACATGAGTCATATGAGATAACAGGGGCCACTGATTCCTTGGCATATGTATGTAGAGTTGGGGATACCCACCCCCCTCTTTTCTCTTCTTAAGAGGTCAGACCTCGGACCTCAATTAATCCACTTATTGATTGGTATTCCATCAATCTTCTCAATTGGGCACTAGTGTGGTGTGTGGTTCCAACAGTTATGAGCCCGGCTAGCTCTGCTTGATTAATCAAAGGAATCAATTGGTTACGGGATATCTCCCAGAATCAACTGAGATTGGTCAAAATCCGCTGTATCAAGAAAACCCGAGGACCGTACACTATCACTTGAATGCCGGCCTAAACCCGTTCATCAAGACGAAGAGAAGAAAGCCCGAGCCTATCAGATCAGCTCACAATCGACCGATCCCCGAGTCCTGAGTTTCAAGAGGTTGAAGAAACACCTAGTAGCTCGTATCCTGGGCATCAAGAGTGGTTTGACGAATTCAACGAAGACACCATAGCTGATTCTCCTGAACCCTCATTAACAACGACGACGTCGATTGCCAAGCTGCGCACCTGGCAGGACTGGAATGTGTGGATCACCTATATCAAGAGGGAGGCAGTGAAGCTCCAGATATGGGCTGATATCAACCCAGAGACAGTTGAGCTAGATCCAACCAACCCAATACAGCTTAAAGGACAACCTGTCTTTGACTTTGCGGCTCTACCCACTGATGTTACCCCAACAGCTCTTAGTCTGGCTCAATTCAAGCATAGGTGTAACAAGGATGCATGGGAACTTAAGCAAAGGGGGTATTAGAAGATTGAATCAATTATTAACCAGTCTCTCTCTGCAGACCTTCAACATAGGGTAATCAATTGTGAGACAATCAGGGACACACTCAAGACTCTCTTAGAATACACCGAGCCCAACACCCTTGCTGCTACCCAGTTGCTGAAGAAAGAGATGGAAGTCCTGGCTCACCTACTATATAGAAAGTCCATTCAGGACTATATACACCTTTGGTTCGTTTGGTGTGGAAAGAGAGATGCTGTTGGCAAGCAAGCAGACAATGAATCCACCCAAGCATGGTTGTCTTCTATAGCTCCAATGTATAGAGACTATGTGGCCACAAGGACAGGCAGGCTGCTTAATAAGCAGAATGATAGGGAGGTGACAACTCTCCATTCGGAATTGAGAGCCTGGCAGTCCTACTTTCAGCACAATAGTAATACCAAGTTCAAGAGCAAGCACCGAACCACTGTAGCCAGCATCTCATCCGCAGCTGCAGCCGAATCATCTTCGTCCTTAAACCGATCATCCTCCTCTTCAAGACCAATCAAGCCCTGTCTCTGTGGTAGGAACTACATGTGGAAGGAATGCTACTACCTCAATGCCGAGTATCCGAGGCCTGAGGCATGGAAGCTAAGAGATGACACAAAGAAGAAGATTGAGAAGAGGTTCAAGGAGGACAAGAACTTGAAAGAACGAGTGGACAAAGCGATTCAAGCTTACAATGCTGCTCAAGGGTCAAAGGACAAAGGAAAGGACAAGTCAGGCTTGGCCGCAGAGATCGAGGATACTGCTGCTGCTGCCACCCTGGAATCGACCCCTGAACTTGCTTCCGTTGGTTCAATTGGCCACACCCGCCTTCACAACGCAGTGATTCTTGATGGAGGTGCCAATGTTCACATTATCAACGAGGCCATGAGGGCAAGGATCGTCAAGTCCGAGTCACCAACCTCCTCTGATGTGGTAATCTCTGGGGACAAGAGGTACCTACCTGAGGCAATTGTGGATGCTACCATCAATCTGGATATAGGTAATAGAGTTACCAGGAAGCTTACTCTTCTCAAGGCAAGGCTCATTCCGGGATTCTTCACAAGTCTGGTCTCACTGCAGATCCTCAACAAAAAGGGTATTCACCATAACACCAGAAACTGGCCAGACAAGTTGATTACTGGCCAATCACATGAGGAGCCCAGGCTCTGGGCATGCCTCACCCCTGAACACAGTGACGACAGACACGGTCACTGGATTATTGAACGGTTGCCTGCACCAAGAAGTGTTGCTGGAACCACTTGTTCATCTGGAACCCCTGGAATTGAGGAGGTGAAGTCAGTATGCACCCCACACTCTGAGAATGCGGGGAAGTCAACCTCACCTGCCTCAACGTCACCTACTGGATTTGCTGCTGCTGCACAATCCAGTTACCAACCACTCCCACCTTTGACAGCAACGGCCAATCAATGGCATCAGTTGCTGGGCCATCCATCTGTGAGGGCTATTGAGCACTTGGAACCTGCATCTGAGGGTTGCCAAGTGATTGAGATGAAACCTGGCCTAGATAATGTCTCTGGCCAAGAGGTTTTGAACAGTGTTACCTGTGACACCTGCTTGCTAGCCAAGGCCAAAGCAGTGATTTCGAGAAGGAAGGACAAGCACAGAGAGGTGCTGCCTGAGGCAGAGAATGCCAAGATGGCTGTCTGTTCATAGGACCTGATTGATATGCCCCCTTCTCTCCCTGGACCAAATAGGTTGGTCTTCAAGTTTTACAGCCACTGGTACTATGACCAGGAGGGCTATCATGTTGGTGATCCTGTGGCAACCAAGCCACAAGCAATTGCCAAATTTCCAGGACATTTCAAGAAGATGGAAGTGTCCTTTGGTGCCAAAACCATTCTGGTTCGCTCTGATATAGAGGCTACTATTGGGAAAGATGCTGGAAAAGCCATCTCCAGGCTGGGTATCACCACTTTGCCCACTGCTGCTGATACCCCTGCTCAGAATGGAGCAAGTGAGGTTGCTGGAAGAGAGATTGTTACCAAATCCAGGACTCTCAGGATTGATGGTCGATTACCAAAGACACTCTGGCCATGGCTGATGGATTCAGCTGTTTACCTACTCAACAGGACCCCTACTGCTAAACTCAACTGGATGACTCCATTTGAGAAAGTTACCACCAAGAAGCCCTTCCTTGGCCATCTCCACCCCATTAGTTGCAAGGCCTTCGCTCTCCGCAGAGACATTGCCAAGAGAGACAAGATGGAAGAGAGAGCTCACATTGGGTACCTGATTGGGTATGCCTCCACCAATATTTTTTGGATCTGGATTCCTTCACCCCTGAACAAGGTGATTAGGACAAGAGATGTGGTCTTTAAAGACAATAAGAGATACAATCCACTGGATATCAATGGCCAAACCTTGGGAGAACTGGTTCCTGCTGCTATTCACCAGACATTGATTGACTCAATCTCAATGCCTGAGGAGCCAACTTCTGATAGTTCCATAGATGACCCCTTTCTGGCCACCAATATTCCGACTTTTGCTGTCCAACCTCAGGGAGGTGGTGAACAGCAGGGAGGTGAAGGGCCACAACAGGAACAGGAGTCATTATACCCAACGCCGCCAGAAACACCCGCCAGAGACGAAGACAATGTGGCTGCCAACCATCAAGTTGGTCAGGCCCCGGGGGCCTCACCGGGTACACCCGCTTCTTCATCACCCTCCGCTTTTTCGGTCTCTCATCAGCACCCTGCCTCAGATGGGGAGGTGGAAGAGAGTACTCATTGGTACAGTGTGGACAACCATGGACGATGGATCGACCATGGAACTGGACGGTTGGAAGAATACCTGGATAAGTTGAGTTGTGCAGCTGCTACTTCCCTCCAAGTCTACACTCCACCCACTCTCAAGGATCCTTACCAAGTGACAAGCTTACTGTCACCCCCTGCCAATTGGAAAGAGATGGAAAGGCATGTCTATCATCAACAGTTCAAGCAAGCAGCATTTGATGAAGCTGGAAAGCTTATGGGCAAAAGGACATTCAGGGTATTCTTTGGTTACAAGGGCTATAAAGTACCTTTGGTATGGGTTTTTGCCTACAAGACAGACCCAACCAGTGGTGAGATTCTCAGGTACAAAGCCAGGCTCTGTGTCCGTAGGGATCTTCAATTGCCATCAACTCATGAAACCTATGCTGCCACTTTGGGGTACAAGGTATTCAGGGCTATCACTGCCCTGGCCTTTGCAAGGAGGTTGAAGACCAGGCAATGGGATGTGGTCAATGCATTCCCAAATGCTACCATTCCTCACACTGTTTACTGCTCAATTCCTGAGGGAATGGAGGAATATAGATTTGGACCAGATGCCTGCTTCATCCTTGAGAAGGCTCTCTATGGATTGGCTGAGTCACCTCGCTTGTGGTATGACCTGTTTGTCATGAGAATGGAAGACTATAGCTTTGAGTTGGTTCCTGGAATTGACTGCCTGATGGTGAACATAGATCTTCGTCTGCTTATGGTTTTCTATGTGGATGACATCAGATTGATCTATGAGAGTGATGAACAAGCCACCTTGTTCAACCAGTACTTGGTTTCCAACTTTGAGGTTACTCAGAAAGACCCCAATTTCTTCCTGGGTACAGAGGTAGAGGAATCACCTGATATCCTGACTCTGAGCCAGACTGCCTACTTGACGAAAATTGGCATCAAATTTGGGGTTCATAAGAGGACTCGATTTCCTGATACTCCACTCCCTACTGGAAACCTGGAACCTGCTACTGATACAGCCAGGCCTGACTTCATCAAAGGATATCAGATGAAGATTGGTTCTATTGGTCATGCAGCTGTTTTGGCAAGGCCTGATGTGGCAAAGGCACATGCTACCCTTTCTCAATTCTTGAAGAACCCGAGTCAAGCTCATATGGACGCTGCCAACCACCTGATTTCCTACCTCTATGGTACCAGAGAGATGAAGCTCCACTTCCATAGGGAGAAGCCCAAGATGGAGCTGTTTGTGGATGCCTCATTTGGTGACAACCCAGACAGGAAGAGTTCCCAGGGCTTTCTGATGATGATGTATGGTGGTGCCATTGACTGGCAAGCAACCAAACAGAAAACAGTCACCAAATCAACCGCAGAGGCAGAGTTGTTAGCACTCTCATCAATTGCTGGTAATGGGTACTGGTGGACTCGACTTTTCTCAGAATTTGACAAGGTATTTCCACCTGGAAATGAGCTATCTGAGGAACCTGTCAAGGATGGAACCATGAATAGAGTCATGGATGGAAGCACCAAGGTTTTCTGTGACAACCAACGAGCAGTGGATATCGCCAATCACAAGCATGGTTCACTCAATACTGCTTTGAGACATGTGGATATCCACCAACACTGGGTAAGACAGGAAACAATGGCAGGAAGATTGACCGTTGAATGGATTGGAACGGCAAAACAGCGAGCTGATGGCTTTACAAAGAACCTCCCCAAGGGGTCATTCCAGTCATTCCGGACGAGCCTGGGGCTCAGGTAAGTGGACATGGTCGGTCATTAGATTCAGATGGACGGTCACCATGTCTTGGTCTTTTCAGCTTGCTTTTTCTTATGTAATCAAGCTGAGGGAGGTGTGTTTGGACAGAAGGACATGGGTGCCCTGGCATCATGTGACATGAGTCATATGAGATAACAGGGGCCACTGATTCCTTGGCATATGTATGTAGAGTTGGGGATACCCACCCCCCTCTTTTCTCTTCTTAAGAGGTCAGACCTCGGACCTCAATTAATCCACTTATTGATTGGTATTCCATCAATCTTCTCAATTGGGCACTAGTGTGGTGTGTGGTTCCAACAGAATCTCGTCCCCGCAATCATCACATGTACCGAATACTGTACCTCTCAGGAGGTAGACCGAGGCCATCACATCTCAATCGTCCACTTGGCGCCTTGCCTGCCCACGTGGGGCAAAATGCAAATTTAACCTGTTGCCTGCTGTACCTCCTAATAAAAAGACGGGGAACGGTACGGGGGAAAGCGGAAAAGCAACAAAAGCAAAAACCGCATGTGAGCAAGATAAAAAAAAACGGGCGCTTTCATGTGAAATTCCTTGACTGGAATGAGGTGGACCGTGGGATGGGATGGGAGGCTTTATGTACCACGTGCATCGGGAGGCCGCACGCACCGCACGCACGCACGCACGCACGTACGCACTATTGGGGGCGACCTGTAGGTACTACTGGACACATACAGCTGATGCGACTAGGTACGACTGCGACTGCGGCAAGCATCGGCAGATGATGATGAGGATTTGAGGATTTTCTTGGGAGGATGGACTATGAGTCGGGTAAGTTGAGGTTACAATGCGCTAGAAGAACGCTAGAATTCGCCAAGTAAGTTGTTGGTATACCAAGTACAGTAGTGGTATCCGAGTAACCAAAAAAAGGCGGAGAAGGCCGAATTGCAGCCGAGAATGAAGAGAAAGAAAGAAGAAGAAGAAGAAGAATCTGGATTTGGTGTGAGTCTTGAGAATATGCCAGGGTGAAAAACATTTCCCAGATTTTAGCCTTGTACAACAACAGGGCATGGCATGGTTGTTTTTTTCCTCTAGTCTTACCTGACCAATACCAGGTAGGTGTTTATCCAGAACAGGATCTACCCCATCCCACGCCGGGTGGTTGGCAATACCACGTCAAAGGATGAGAAAAGCTACCCGCTGCTACCGTACCGCGTGGATGAGGGGCGGTGTCATCCCATGGTATGCCCCATGCCCCATGCCCTATGCCCCATGCTAGGAGGTGTGTAACTGTGTACATACCTCTGTATGTCGTGTCGGCCACGCTGTACTTTTACTTTTGTGACAACGGTACAACTTGGTTTGGATACCGCTAAGGTAGGGCCTACAGTAGTCAGGGAAGCTTGAACTTGTTGCTCCTGGGAAGTGGGAGGTGGACCGTGGGAGGTGGAAAGTGACCGATTCTCTATTCTCCCCCATCGAGCGCTGCCATTTCTCACAGCCGGGTAAAATGATGATATTGATCATGGCGCCCTACCAAACTACTACTAGGTACATTACCTACTTTAAGTACTACTGTACAGTACATCATGTTCTTTTTGGGAACCATCAGGTAATCACACCCGACACCCGACATTCGACTGCACCTTTCCAACTTCCTTCTGGCTCTTCACTCACTTTCACACACCCAACAAGCAAGTCCAAAGAAGAGACTGCCCAACTGCCTCCCATTCTTGCTTCCTTGTCCTTGCCGACCAGCCGCATGCTGCTCACACCGGACCCATAATTGCGCCGACTTGCCCATCTCCATCCGGACTGTCATATGCCATTTGACTTTTGCTGCTCTGCAAAGGACCGATTGCCGAGTCACTACCTACCTTAAGCTAGCTAGGAGGTATTGATATGAGCTAGACCTTCACCACTTTGCCTCTTCCTCAACTCCACCCCCTCCATACTAGACTACCTAGGTAGTAGTCCATACTCGATTCCACCAGCACTGGTATAGAATATGCCCACCGGCACTGGGCCTGCCAACAACAATCAAGACCATCACACCACTCCCCGCGACTACACCGACATGCCTACTGCCACGCTGCCCTCCTCCAGAATCCCGAATGCTTCGCCCTTCCTCCTCAATGCCGAAGACGTCGACACCTTGTCCCACTCTCAAGGCTTCACTATCCTTCGACAGCACCTGGCAGCATACTACGACTACGAGTAAGTTGCCATGCCATGCCATGCCCTGCCCTCCCTGCTCTCCTGACCCTACACTACTGCGACGTGTTCCATTCTGATGACCGCCATTTAGACTCTGCGATTGCCATACCCCTGCCCATCTAGAAGACGTCGAACGATGGCTCATCACCCGCGATGTCCTCCATGCTCTGCTGGTCCCCGTCGTGGAACTGTTCGACAGAGCATGCGGAGTCGCCTCAGCAGCTACACAAGCCACCAAGCTCGAGGATCTCGAGTATGCTTTTACTAGCTCATCCAGGAGTGCCTTCGTCTGGCTGCAGTGCTTTCTTTCCGCCGAAAAAGAACGCGATTGGTGCTATACACGGGGCTGTCCCGCCTGTGTGGTCGAGCACTCGCTGGATTCCGAGTTCACTATCCGACTCTTATATGCCGCCTGTCTCCTCAGTGATGTGCACTACCCCTTCACCATCGAAGGACCGACGCTGCCCTCATTCATGTTCTTTCTGGACGCCGTGCACAATGCTGTCGAAGGAGACGAGCTGTTTGGCCACGATTTCCTTGAGGTGGTGCAGCCCAAAGCTATGGTTACGAGAGATGGTATCGAGGAGCTCATTCATCAATGTCTGGAGCTGGACATTGTCTTATCCGAGCCTTCGACCCCCGACCCGATCAGTCCTGCTACATCAGTCCCTCCCAGCCCCATTCTGGGCTCATGTGGCGGAACGCCGGGAATCAAGATCAGGCGCAGCAAGCTCGCGCGGAAGCAGAAGAGTATGCAACTGGAAGAGGCAGAGTGGTTGGAAGTGATGACGAAACAGATATGGGACACGACGCAACCTTCTATCGAAGTGGGTGCTGCTGCCGCAACACTACTTCTCACCCAGAGTCTGGATGCTGCTCTGAAACTCGAGCCTGCCGTCGCTGTCGACGAATTGGCACCGGAATGACCACGCGACCTCCCATCACCACCACCACCACCACCAGACAAAGACAGCAATGGCATCCGCCGTAGCCGCCGTTCGTACCACTGCACGAGCTCATAGCAAAAGACGTGGATCAGCCCTGTTGTCCCAGTGACGAATCATGCGCCGTGGAGCTCGCTCGATCATGTTTCGGAGAGGGAGATGATGCATCTTTTTGCTCGTGTGGTCAGGCCGCCACGTGGAGAGGAATCTAGACCAGTCTATGGAATGGGGCCTCCTGTGGGAGTGCAGTTGCGTGGGATCCAGAGTGGGTCTGATCTTGAGCCGATGTCATGCTGCTACGGCTGAACTCAGGCGAGACTACAGTGTCGCGAATGTCGGCTAAAGAAATGTGACGATGGGGCAAGAAGCATGTGAGAGATACCCACAACATGATGAACAGTTACAATACTAGGAGGTAGCTGTATGGAGAGTAGTATCAACACTTTTTGCAATACCATGATGACGTTCTTTTTGTGCAGAACAGTGTCGTTTTTGAGCATGTGAAGGTGTCCAATTTATGTAATTGTGTAAATTGCATGTAGAAAATGTACATCACCTACAATCGTGGAAAGGTGACTAAGCCTTAACTCCGGCGCGCTCCCCGCTCCAGCTTCCATCGCGTGCTGCTGCCGCACACCAAAAGAAAACAAATAAAAACAACAACCACCACCACCACCACCACCACCACCACCATGCCATCAGATGATTCTGAAGCACGTGATCGCTCAGCTTCACCTCGAGTCTCACCTTCATCTGCATCTGCACATCCATCTGCAGCTGTTGCGCGCAATCGTTCAGCTTCACCTCTACCTGTTCGCGAAGAAGAAGAAGATGATGGAGAGTTGAATGAGAAGAAGGATGAGGAGATGAATGAGAAGAAAGACAAGAAAGAGAAGAAGGTGAAATCTACGAGTGGAGGTGGGTTCAAATGGAAGGAGAAGAAGCTTCCTCGTGAGAATGAGGGTGGGGAGAGGGATGGACGTTTGGAGAGGGGATATCGAGATCGTGAGGAGCCTGTGAGGAGGGGTGGGAATGGAAATGGGTATGGGTATGAGAGGAGAGATGGTGGAGGGGATAGATGGAGAGATGATCGAGGAGATGACCGAAGAGGTGGTGGAGAGGATAGATGGAGAGATGAGGACAAGCCTACTGCTGGTGCTGCTGCGAAAAAAGACAAGGACAAGAAGGAAGACAAGGAGAAGAAAAAGGAAAAGAAGAAGAAACCTCTCCCCGTATCCAACGAACCCATGATCATCGTCACCGTTAATGATCGCTTGGGCACCAAAGCGCAAATCCCCTGCTTGGCCAGCGATAGCGTCAAAGCCTTCAAGGCCATGGTCGCTGCGCATATTGGGAGAGCACCGCATGAGATTATGCTCAAGAGGCAGGGCGAGCGGCCGTTTAAGGATGTGTTGAGTTTGGAGGATTATGGAGTTAGTCATGGGGTGCAGTTGGATTTGGAGCTTGATACGGGTGATTGAGGAGGTCAGTCTCGATTAGTGAAGAGAGACTTTCCTTTTTACATTTGCGAGCCGCGTGCGACAGGTGTGGTGGACTTGGTCTACTGTATACACTTAAGGCACGCCGGATAACCCAGAGGCTTGCTTGGGTCTCTCTTTGAGAGAGCATCGTCGAAATGGAGCTCATCCCCGGCGAGAAGGTATCCAATCCTAACCGAGTTTGTAAGACCACACTCACGCATGCCACGAGTCCCAAGGTGTTCTTCGAGTACTATTGTCCATCATTGCGGAGAAAGGAAAGTCTTATAGGGCAAGCCTCCTTTACCTCGAATTCTGTATACCCATACCTATACCTATGGCCTACCTTAACCCCTCAACAGAGCGAGCGAGCTGCAGCAGCATACATGTATATACCTACGAGTTCCTCTCTCTCTCTCTCTCTCTCCAATCATAGCTGCCAAACAACTCTACTGGGCTGCGAGCAGGGGAATGTTTCCCTATAGTACCTAGGGAGCAATATAGTACTGAAAACAGAGCTCAGCTACCCTCCCTATTCAGAAAATTGAAATGTTTTCAAGAATATATATCTATCTGACTCGTTTTTCACCGTCGAGTATACTTAGTTTACCTACCTACCTAATATAAGCCGGGAAGGGTTTGGACTTGGCTATCTAAGGTAGGTTAGTAGAGGGAAGGAGGTAGGTAGGTACCTGTAGGTGTTGAAAGGATTATATAGTTTGTTTGAGATTTTATTTAGTTCTATACCTGTATGTTAGCTACAATTCAGCTCGGCAGAATCTCTAGGGAGAGAGCTGACATCTTAGTAAGCAGCCTACGCATCCTATACATGCCCCCCACAACTACCTGTCCCCATCGGCACAACACTCCTTACCACCAACCATGCGTCTCCTCGAGCTACCTACAGCCCTTTTGGCGCTCCTCGCTGCTCTTCCCGATGTGGGCGCGACGCACACCTCGAATTGGGCGGTCCTGGTCAGCACCTCCCGCTTCTGGTTCAACTACCGCCATCTCGCCAATACCCTCTCTCTCTACCGCACCGTAAAGCGTCTGGGGATACCCGACAGCCAAATCATCCTCATGCTCCCCGATGACATGGCCTGCAATCCGCGCAACTCCTTTCCCGGCAGTGTCTTCAATGACAAATCGCGCCAACTCGATCTGTACGACGACCAGAGCGGCAATCATGGAGGACAAGCAGGGGGAACCACGACGGGAATGAGAGGCATCGAAGTCGATTATCGGGGCAATGAAGTCACCGTGGAGAATTTCATTCGTCTCCTGACCGATCGATGGCCCTCGTCTCATCCGACGTCCAAACGACTCATGACTGACGACCGGTCGAATATCTTGATTTACATGACGGGGCATGGCGGAAATGAATTTTTGAAATTTCAAGACAGTGAGGAAATCAGCTCGTTTGATCTGGCGGATGCGTTTGCGCAAATGTGGGAGAAGAAGAGATATCATGAGCTGCTCTTCATGATTGATACGTGTCAGGCGAATACCATGTATCCGGCATTCTATACGCCGAATATCATTGCCACGGGGAGCAGTGCCAAGGATCAGAGTAGTTATTCGCATCATGCGGATCAGGATGTCGGGGTGGCGGTGATTGATCGGTGGACATATTATAATTTGGAGTTTTTGGAAACGAGGTTAAATAGTACGAGTGCGGATGTGCGGCTGGGGGAGCTGTTTGATTATTATACGTTTGATCGCGTGCATAGTGACGCCGGTGTGAGGTATGATTTGTTCCCGGGCGGAGAGGAGGAAGGGAGGAATCGGAGGGTGTTGGACTTTTTTGGGAGTGTGCAGGGCGTGGAGACGAGTGGATTGGATGAGATGCAGGCAGGGGATTGGAAGAAGGATTTGGAGGCCTTGCAGCAGATTATGGAGAGGCAGAAGAAAGAAGAAGAAGAGGAGGAAATGCAGCATGCTGCTACGCAAGAGATGGCCAGTGAGGCTTCAACACGGGCCACTCGGGACGACAGAGGACATGGCAAAGTCGCTTTGGATATGGCTCAAGGAGGTGAAGGCTGGGTCAAGAAGGTCGTTGGGCTGGGGTCTCTGCTGGCTGTAGGAGGCGCATGGCTCCTGACCAAGTCCTAAAACTCTTTGGTTGTGCATGGAGTTGGAATGGAAGAATTGCGTGTTAGATACCCTGTTCAACTCCGAACTGTTCACTACCTACCCTACCTACCTATGCACATTTTCTTGCTTTGATCAATATATTAGATATTATTGCATGTACATGTACCTTGCATGTACCACCAGTATAGTTTGGCCATCACAGGCATTACGTAGGAGGTAGGCAGGTCCGCCATGACCAGAGAATAGCTGTAGCTTCGGGAGCTCACTCTATCATCCGCTACTCGGTCTCCTACTCTAGCTTCTTCTTGCTCACTCACCACCTCAGACGTACACTCACTCACTCACTCACCAACCACGATACGCCCGACGCAGTTGAATCAACTCGAGTCCTCCTTCACGCCGCCCATCACCCACAGAACAGAGAAGAAGAAGAAGAAGCAAAAGAAAGCAGAGGAGGAAGAGGAAGAGGAAGAAAGACGACAAGAGTGCCACTGGTCCGCACCTAGGCAAGAACCACCACCATGGCCTCGCCAACCACTCGCAACACCACCACCGCCTCTTCCGGCGGAGCAGCGGCACACCATAACAACAACAACAACCCCTCCTCCAGCGCCGCCCTCCTCCTCTCCCGCCAATACAAACAAATGCGCACAGACAAAGACATTCCCGGAATTTCCGTCGGCCTCGTACACTCGTCCGTCTTCGAATGGGAAGTAATGCTCATGCTCTCCGAAGACCAAGACGACCTCTATGGCGGAGGAATTTTCCGCGCCAAACTCACTTTCCCCCCAGACTATCCGCATTCGCCTCCCACGCTGCAATTCTCGACTCCCATTTTCCACCCCAACGTCTACGAGAATGGCGTCGTGTGTATTTCGATTTTGCACGCGGCCGGAGAGGATCAGTTTGGGTATGAGAGTGCGGCGGAACGGTGGAGTCCGATTCAGGGACCTGAGAGTATTTTGTTGAGTGTCATTAGTATGTTGGGGAGTCCGAATGATGAGTCTCCGGCGAATATTGAGGCGGGGAAGTTGTGGAGGGAGGATCGGAAGGAGTTTAAGAGGAGGGTTAGGAGGTGTGTGAGGGATAGTCAGGAGAATGCTTGGGATTGAAATGGGCCTTTTTCTTCTTTTCTGTTTTCTCTGGTGGATAGGAGGAGTATGAAGGAAGGGAGGGTGGTTGGCATTTTGGAGAGGAAAGAGGAAAGGGCGGGCGTTTCGATACAATAGAGGGCGGGGGCGTCTTGTCTTTTTTTTCCGGCTCTGGCGTATAAGAGACAAAATTGCATGGTCTCATGGTTCTAGGGAGGGAAGTTTTCTTTTGGTTGTCTACCTGACCAGTTTGGGGATCACAGTAATGGAGCAACAACGACGACGAATGCATTTCCTCTCTTCTTCTTCTTCTTCTTCTTCTTCTTCTTCTTCTTCTTCTTCTTCTTCTTCTTCTTCTTCTTCTTCTTCTGTTCGGAAGCATCCATACGGAACTCAGCTCTTACCGGGAGGAAGTTGCATATATATATATATGTATATCTTTCTTGCTCTGCTCTGCTCTGCTCTGCTCGAGAGGGAGAGGAAGAGAAAGAGAGAGAGATGTCTACAGCTAACTCGCCTATGTAGGTAAGGTACCTTGACGAATATCTCCAGCAGCACACCGTATGCTACCTGTCGTTGCGGACGAACTAGGGGGCAAGTAGTCTTGAATTCGATGAGATCTGGCTCTAGTACAATTTCTTCTGTACTATAATGCCTATAAGGAGGTAGGTAAGATTTAGCTATGGTCTCACTAATAGGAGGAGGAGGCAGCTCAGAGATGAGTTATATTCCAGTGTTCTTTCAACGAGAGATATAGATATAGATATATCTTTCTCTTTCGGCGAATAGTTCTGTCCGAGGTATACTTGTGTACGGTCAAGCAAGAAATGCATGTTTTATAGTAGATATAAGCGGCGTATAGACACTCTTTAATGTTTATTCCTAGGGATCCATCTGGTTCGTGAATGGTAAGAGCGGAGGTGGATCTGGAAGTCGGCGCTTGGCACTCCGATGCAACTTTTCGATAACGACGACAACGACTACAACACCCTCCCCACATCCCCAACGACAACAACAACAACACACCCTTCTACAAACCACCACCCTCCTCACCACAAAAAACAATGGCTCAAGGCCAACTCAAAAAACCCAAAGCGCCAGCCGCAAAAACGTAAACATTCCCCCCCATCCATCTCCCCCAACCCTCCCCCCAAAAAAACTAACATATTTTTCTTCTTTTCTTCTCTCCCAGCAACCCCAACCGCAAACAACTCGGCGCCCGCGTCATCAAACCCACCAAAAACTCCTCAGCGCTCAAAACGGCACAATTTAAAAAAAAGCATTCGTCGGGCATGACGGCGTTGACGGAGAAGAGTTTGGCGAGTCGGGCGGGGCATTTGGAGTTGTTGAAGGGTGGGAAGAGGGAGAAGAGGGTGGAGTTGGCGAGGAAGGCTTTGGAGGGGGGGAAGGGGAAGAAGAAGGAGGGGAAGTGAAAGAGGAAGAGGAAGAGAAAGAGGGAGGAAGGGGTGGATGGAGGCGGGCTCTTTTTTTTGTTCATGCAAGAAGGAAGGGCTGTAAGGGTGGAGGGGAGATTGTCTCATGCGCGCCACCTTTGTGAGGACGTTATGGCCTTTCTACTACCAACCCTATGAAGTAAGCTGCACGTGTGATGGAGGACGAAAGATTTTGCGGGACACTGTGTTCGTCTGGCGGGTTCCGCGAGAAGGGAAAAGGACGTTGCAGGAGACAGGAGAGCAGAGAGGCGTGCTGCTGGGTGACGAACAAGACTTTGACACCGGAATAACGTTGCGCGCTTGGACGAGGATTTGGGGACGATTCGCATGAGCATACACAGTCACAATGAGAGGGAGAGAGAGAGAGAGAGAGAGAGAGAGACAGACGTAAGGCTCTGGTGCGCACAGACAGAAACACGGCATAAGACGATGAGAAAGGTGACGCCGTCGGCACGAGAAGAGGAACACGTACAGAAAAGCGCTGCTGCCAGCATGAACGCGGCACTGTATTCATGGTTTCTCGTCCGGGCTTCGCCGAAACAAAATGGACCATCTACTCTACTTGGTAGAAAATTCCTCGTCAGAACGCATCAAAGGAAGCCAGCGCCAGCGCTCGATCGACATCCCGTCGCGTATAGCCCGGAGTTCGACTCAGACAAACTCCCGAAACGATCAGGACTGCGATGGATGGTCAGTCAGTCAATGAGTTATGACTGTACATGGCAGGGCGAGAGAGCATTTTTGAGACAAGGAGAAGAAGAAACAAAAATAGAAAAGAAAAAGACTCACTTTTCAAAAACTTGGCCACATCGATAATGATAGTCTTTTTGGTCCATTGCGTACCCTCACCCCCTTCTCCCCCTCCCCCTCCTCCTCTTCCCTTTCCTCGATCCATTTCCGTCTTCATGCCCATCGCAGCTCCATCATCCACACCAGCTCGAGAAGACGACCCCTGTAAAAATTCCTCCGTCGCCTTGAATCCTTCCACTTCCCAAGGCAAAGCCAGAGAAACACCCGCCGACGCCGCCGCATCCTGTTCCGGTATCGTCGAATCCAGTAGAAGTGGCATATGCGTCCTCATCATCTCACCCTCACCCGGCTGTGGGAAAAAATGCATCCAGCTTCCGGTTCCAGTCAAAGAAGAAGGATCCGAAACCCCGACTGTACTACTACTACATGGACCTGTACTCGACGTGATGACGGTAGTCGTAGTCGTAATCAAATTCGCGGCGGAATCATATGCGCTCGCGTCGATTCCCATGCTGTGTAAATGGAAAAGTTGTTCTCTGTCAAAAGGTCGCGGAGCAGTAGGTGGTGTCGTGCGGTGCTGCTGAACAGAATTCGAGCTGGGAGTCTTGACAACCCCACCACCTTCCGCCACGTATGGAGAAGTCGAATGCGTTGTTTTGCTGTCGCTCACATGACGGGAAGGGGGGAGGAGAACTTCAACTGCGGCAAACGATGAAGCGGGATCGAGAAGAATTCCTTTTTCCTCGAGATAGCCTTCCACATCATACGGATCCAACCACTCGCCTTCGAACCCGGCAATCTCCACTGTCATGTCCACGGCGATGTTATCTTTCGCTGCATTCTCCAACAACGCGAGATTTTGAGGACCGATGATGCCCATGTGCCAACAACTGTCCTTCTTCCCCTTCTTCTTCCTCTGCTGCTGCTGCTGCTGCTGCTGCTGAGGGACAGGAGAAGAAGATAAATGACCAAAGGCGCGTCGTCGGGGATAATGCGTGCCTGCTCCTCCGACGTGGATGAGCGGAGTATCTTGATCGAGAGATTCGTGGGGGCCACGTTCGAGCATCATTTTCATGTGTGCAAGGACTTTGTCGCGGCTGCGACTCATCAGGGACAGGCGGAAGACTCGGTCGTAGGTTGCGGGACGACGTTGGGGGTTGAGCAGGAGCTGATAGCCCTGTTCGAGTGCAGCTCGATGGAGGCGTCGGCCGAAAGTCGTTTCCTGGAATGAGTAGGTTCGCGGAGGAGTGGGGGAAGCTGGAATCGATGGGTATTCGGGGATTTCCTGTGGGAAGAGCTCGAAGCTCTGCCGCTGTTGTGGTTGTCGAGGAAGTTCTAGGGAGGATGGCGATGTCAGTGCCGTGGATGTCGGATCGAGAGGAGCGAAGCACTCTTGCTCAACATCTTCCATCTCCTCTGGTTCTGGCATATACAAAGTGTAGCCAAGCCCCACTGATGCTGGATCTTGTGGCTTGGGTTGCTGTTGCTCCAAGATAGCAGAGCGATCAATCCAGGATGGGACGTTTCGAGGCTCCATTGTAGTCTGATATTGCTCCGTACTGCTACCATGAATAGAGCTCGTAGACTCTCGCTGGCTTTTGGCCGGGGGATCGTCAAGAGAGTGTTCACACGGGTTACGCATGCCCTTCATCAGGTTTTCAAAATGCTCCGCAGTCTCGCGAACATCCTGCAGATGCCTACTGGGAAGCCCGAGGAGAAAGAGACGATCGTAGTGATCCGTGAAGGCTTTATTCATGAGCTCCACAGTATTGGTCAATTCCGAGACCCGCTTTCGTAGTTCTTCCAGAGTAGACTCCTTCCTCTGTCGATACGCTCTCTGTGCCATTCGGATCTGAGTCCTTCTGCGATCTGCAGCAGATTCATCGTGCTTGTCCACACGCGGTCGGCCTCGTTTCTTGCCATCGTCGCCGCTGTCGCCTTCTTCTGCAGACCGGCTACTTCTGGCTTTGCGTTTTCTCGTCGATGGCGGCGGCGGCGCATGTAATGTCGTCGACCGGGCCCGACTTTGTGTTCTGGCATCCATAGCGATACTGTGATTTCGCGACTCACATATATCAAGGGTGGCACGTTCACGACAGCCACCGCAGACAGGGCTCGAGAACAGGACCAGTCTGTGTATTTTTTACTCCCAGAAAATGACTTGCGGCATGAAAAACTTGACATCTAATTCGACTACAACAACCTCGTCGTGGTTGAATACCTAATATTAGTCCTCTGCAAGCCTCGGTCTGGTATTCAGTGTTGAAAACAATGCTTGGGGGCCTCGTCAATCACAGGCGGTCCTGTCCTACGAGATGCTGTGCCAACTCTGCTTTGTAATTCCCGGCATGTGAATGTTGTGTCAGGTACCTTTAGCGTGTATTGGAGGTGAGGGAACGCAGGGAGGTCGGGGAAGGGTTGGATTACTGAACGGACGGGAAGGACGGCCGGCACGGGTCTAGACTTTGAATGAACCGCATGCTGTATAAACTTTAATCACAACCGGTGCTCCTCGCGGTCTCGCGTGATCCAATTCACTGCTCTCCGCTAGTGGCAGAGCGGTTGAATGGAAGCGGAAAGATTGTCAATCGCAGGGAAAATGCTCTTCTCTCTGAATGCGTAAGTATCATATCCAATATCAACACAGCGCTCATCCCACCCACCAGGACCCCGTCCATGCCATTCTTAGGCGAATCGCACTCGCAAACACTGCACCTCCCCAACCGCAAAGGCGGCAGCAATAGATCCTCCGCGATGATACAGTGCCAAAAGAGTGCACTGTCTATGCCGAAAAAAGACTGCAGACATCGAGCACATGCTCATCATGCTGCGTGGTGGCCAATGCTGCAATATGCAAGCTTGATGTCCAGCATATATTACTATACCAAGAGACCTTAAACAAAGATGCAACCGTAACTGGTGCGTTCGATCAGCTGCTATTCGCACGGAGCAACGCTTCCTACAACGGAATTAGCACACAATCAGTTGTTTTGTGATGATCAGACCATCATCTACTCACCCGTGTCATGGGATCGTCCTGGTCGGCAGTAACGATTGCGGGACTCTCCAGTCCAGCGGGTCCGACGTCTGTCGCACCTCGTGGGGTCATATTAGGCCTCTTCGGTGCTGCCAGTCTGCTCTGGTCGGAGCTGCCCTCGGAAGTGGACGCTCCAGTCGTCGGTGCTGCCTCTTCGACATGAATGGAGCCACGACTATCGCCTTTCCGTTCGAGTAACGCTCCACCCAGAGTCGCGCACTTCAGTATAGTCTGGATGAGCTGCTGTGGTTTCAGTGGCTTGGAGAGATATTCGTCCATTTGTGCCTGGATACACTTTTCCCGATCCCCAAGCATAGCGTGAGCAGTGAGTGCGATGATAGGTGACCGAGCCAATTCATGGGTCTTTTCGTACTCTCGAATGTTGGCCGTGGCTTCGAAGCCTCCCATGATGGGCATCTGAACGTCCATGAGAACGACATCGAAACGCTTCTTCTTGATCGCCTCGAAGGCCTCCAAGCCGTTGTTTGCCACCGTAACCTTGTGGTTATGTTTCGTCAGAATTTTGACAGCGAGCTTCTGGTTGACCGCATTATCCTCGGCCAGCAGAATATCAAACGTTCTTGTATGGTCCGCCGACATGGGAGCAGCGCGGCCCTCCAATGCGGGCACAAGCGCATTGCCCAGGTCAATCGGTAGGCAGGGCGTGGTCATGTAACTTGAAATGCCATTCTCCAGCGCCGTCTTGAAATTGACAGATATCGCCGGTGCAAGCATCACAATAGGGATGTACTTGAAGCGCTCGAGCCCGCGAAGCTTCTGAGCAGTCTCGGTGTTGTCCACTATGACACAATCGTACTGATCCTGGGGGCTGAGCTCGGATGGAGGTGTTCTGCCATTTCCAACCACACAAGGCACCAGATCCAACGCGCGAATGCTCGCCGATATTTGCTCGGAGTTATCGATGAAACCATTATCCACAAACAGCACATTGTGCTTTCGGTACTGCTGCAGCTGTGGCATGACTTTGTGCACGTCCGGGTTGCCCAGCCGAGCCACACAGGTGAAGAAGAATGTACTGCCAGAGCCATACGAGGACTCGACCCACATCTTCCCACGCATCAGTGTCACCAGTCTCCGTGAGATGGACAGCCCCAGTCCAGTGCCACCAAATTTACGTGTCGTCGATCCGTCGGCCTGCTGAAATGTGTCGAAAATGAGGTCCAGTTTGTTGGAATGAATGCCAATGCCCGTGTCCGCAACCGCAAACTTCACCACGACCTCGCCTTCTCCGCATTGCACCGACGTATCCGAGAAGATCTTCACGCGCACTTCTCCGTGCTCGGTGAATTTAATGGCATTTCCTGCCAGATTCAGAATGATCTGTCGCAGTCGGAACGAGTCGCCCACAATGTAGTCGGGCACGGATGCGTCCGTGTCGTATATCAAGCTGATATCTTTCTCATTGGCACGTACTGCAAGGGATTTCAGACTGTTGAAGACCAGTCCGCGCAACGAGAAGGGCTCCTCCTCCAAGATCATGCGGTTGGCTTCGATCTTGGAAATGTCCAGGATATCGTCAATGATGGTGAGTAAGCTGTTGGCGAGCGAGAAGACGATATTCAACATGTCGCGCTGGTTCTGCTCCAGCTCAGTGTCCAGTGTCAATTGGGTCATGCCTATAATGCCATTCATGGGCGTGCGAATTTCATGAGACATGTTGGCCAGGAATTCTGACTTCGTCTTGTTGGCCAACTCGGCAGCCTCCCTTGCTTGATTGTTCTTCTGGATACTTTCGCGCAGGTTGAGTACCATCTTGTTGATCTTGTTTTTCAGCTCGTTCATCTCACCAGACGCCTCGACGTTGATCATCTTGGTGAAGTCGCCCTTCATGGCAGCGTGGGTGATGTCAGCAAAAGCTCGCACTTGAGAAGTCAAGTTCTGGGCCATAATGTTGACATCCGTCGTAATCTCCTTCCAGCGACCGGTGATGCCATCGACCTCGGCCTGGCCTCCCATCTTGCCATCGACGCCGACGTCGCGTGCTACTCGTTTTACCGCCAGAGACCATGCGTCCAGTCTCGTGACCATGTCGTTGATGGTGTCCTTTAGGGTCTGGATTTCTCCTTGAGCATGAACCTTGATTCTCTGGCTCATATCTCCTCGTGCAATCGCTTGTGTGACGTCGGAAATACTGCGCACCTGTCCCGTGAGGTTGTTTGCCATCGTGTTGACATTGTCAGTGAGAGTCTTCCACTCGCCCTCGACGTTCTCGACTCGGGCTTGTCCACCCAGCACACCTTCTGTTCCGACCTCTTTCGCCACTCGGGATACCTGGCTGGCGAACGTTCCCAGTCTGTCCACCATAGTATTGATGGTGTTCTTGAGAGCCAAAATTTCGCCTTGCACTTCAGCTTGCACTTTCTTCGTCAAGTCTCCTTGGGCGACTGCAGTCGTGACTTCTGCAATCTCGCGCACCTGAGTTGTCAGGTTCATGGCCATGCCATTCACGTTTTCTGTCAGATCCTTCCACGTGCCCTCGACGCCATGCACAGTTGCTTGCCCTCCCAATCGTCCTTCTGTGCCGACCTCACGCGCCAAATTCGTCACCTCCGCCGAGAATTGCCGGAGTTGGTGCACCATGGAATTGATCGTCGTCTTCAGAGCCAGAATCTCGCCTTTACATTGCGCTTTGACTTGTTGTGTAAGGTCGCCTTTGGCCACAGCGGTCGTCACTTCTGCAATGTCACGTACTTGTGCCGTCAGGTTGTTGGCCATGGCATTGACATTGATCGTGAGATCATGCCACATGCCTTGCACGCCCTCGATTTGCGCTTGTCCGCCGAGGAGACCCTCAGTGCCGACATCACGAGCGACTCTCGTCACTTCGGTGGCCTGCGAATATGTGTGGTCAGCCAGGAGGGCGCATCGAAATGATCAGAGAAAGAAACGTACAAATGTTCGTAATTGTCCCACCATGGCATTGATAGTCTGCTGTAGCTGGAAGATTTCACCTTTGGCCGGTCGTTGAATCATGCGGCTCAGATCACCTTGGGCCACTGCTGTGGTGACCACGGCAATCTCGCGGACCTGATCGGTGAGGTTCTGCGCCATCACATTCACTATGTTGTATTAGCATGCATCGCATGTGGGACAGATGAGTGGCTTCTTCCACCACTTACCGTTCTGCGTAAGTTCTGCCCAGATGCCGTCCACTCCAGGGACAACGGCTTGGCCACCCAATCGACCCTCAGTGCCTACTTGTTTTGCCAAGTTGGTGACCTGACTGGCAAACTCTTGCAGCTGATCCACCATTTGATTTATAGTGTGCTTAAATCTTGCAATCTCAGGATCCTTCTCGGTTGCGTGAATGAGCACTTTTTTACTCAAATCTCCATTGGCCACAGCCGTGATGATGGTGCCAATCTCTCGTAGCACCTTCTGGTACGTCGCATTGATTTGTGCATTCTTCTCAATCTCTCGCTTGAGCTGCTCAATAGATTGCGAGTTTCCCAGCGTATCGAGCGCTGCGCGTGTAGCAGTCTGCTGATGCGTGAGTTGCGCCTTGATCCCATCAATAAACTCCTTCTGTGTCTTGATCTCTTGCGCTTGCTGATCGATGTGCTCCCTCAGCACCGTGAATTGCTCCTCGGTGAGCTGTCTCAGCTGTGGTTCTCCCTCATTCTTCGCCAGGAGGCTGTTCACCCATGAGGCGGAACGCTGCCGCGGGTTCAATGGGTTGAGCGCACCTCCTTTGGGAGACGAGGCATTCTCGGTAATGAAGGCGGAAGTTACAGGCTCATTGGGGGTCATGGGCAGCGAGCTGAGCCCGCTGTGCGCTCTCGTCTCGAGAAACTGTATGCGTGTCGAGAGGTTTGTCAACTCCCGTTCCAGAGTTCGCTTCTCCACGGTGTCCTCGCCAGGCAAGGTGATTTTATTACTCTTGACTCCATTGGCAATAGCAGAGGCGGGGAACGAGTCTGCGTCCAGCGGAGTGTATTGTTTCGCGAAATTCGACAGTATGCTGGCGACAGCCGCCGAGGTCTCCTCGTGCGGCATCGTGCTGGTGATGGATCGCGAAAGGCTAACCGGGGGGCATGGCAGTTTGGGTTGCTCGAAAGGACTTCTGCGCTTCGTCGTGGCTGCGGGGAGCGGGTGGGCAGGACTCGGTTCTAACGCGCGGTCGTGGAATTAGCAATGCTAGCACAGCAGCATGGGGGTGTCGTCGGCGTCGGCGTCGGCGATCTAGGTGGTGGTGGTGGTGGTGGTGGTGGTGTAGATGGTGGTCGGTAGGTTCGTAGGCGGTGCAGATGCAGTGATGCAGTTGTAGTGGTGGTGGTGGTGACGGGTGGTGGAATGGGAGGTGCTGTGGTGTGTTGTTGAGGCAGACGCCGACCAGCACCTGAGCAGGAGGAGGTCGCAGTTGTCGCTCCCAAGGTCCAGGGTGGGTCTAACCTTTGCAGGGTTGATGGAGGAGTGGGATAGCGATCGGGTCCAATCCGCGGGCGTCTCGGTGCGGTGCACCGCCGCCTCTCTCTCTGCTTTTCTTACTGCGCGGTGCGGGCGGTGTGCACTCGACGACAAGACCACCTGGGAGACCACGGGCACCTCGTCTAGTCTGGCTCTTTTGAGAGAAGGAGTGATCCCACGGTACTACACGGAGAGAAGGTCGCCCAGAGTTCACGCTAGACGCTCGCTCGACGTGGCGTTTTTTCTCCTCGCAGCGTGGAGGAACAACGACGAGTTTGAACTAACTCCTACCTCCTACTATACCTCCCAGGAGGTAGCAGCAACAGTAAAGCCGAGCGTCGACGTGTGACGACGGCGCTCGCTCCACGGACAACGCTTCAAAGGGGGCACACCCACTCGCCACTCAAAGGGGCGGTTGGGAACAAAGCCAGGCCAGTGTTATTCCTGTCCGTCGCGTACCAAAGGAATCACCGCCATCTGGTCGGCTGGATACGAGAACAGTATGGCATTGATGGCTGCTCCTTCGTACAGCGGCAGATCACCGTCGCGCGTGACCAATACCTACAAGACGTGCACGCCGCACTGCTTGCTCACTCCTCCGCCCCGCTGTGCCAGCTACATGTATCCTACATGTATCCGAGCTCGCATACTCTTGGTGGCACACATATATATACAATGCATCACAGGCGGTACATGTCGTCCATTCGAGCTCCGAAAGAGACTGGAGCTCGGGGTTAAACGATCTCGATCTCCTGACGTATGTAGCGGGCGATCGCCGTTCATACCTTGACCTACCTACAGCTATTCCACAGTAGTACAGTAGTACTATTGAGCAGCGCTTACAGCGCTTGCAGCGCTCGTAGTGCTCTCGTCTCTCCTGCAAAGTCTCGCAATCCTGGGCGCAATGAAACAGACGCATATGAATGTGCTTGTGAAATACGCGCGGGAAACTCCATCGCAACCTTCGTGTATAGGCCCCTAGTACTGTAACTTACCGACGTATGTAGTTCAGGACCACGCGGCGGACGCAGGGCAAAATACAGTTTGGTTAGAGGGATGATGGCGCTCATGACACCGTCTTGGCGTGTTTCGAAGCTTGAGACCCTGCATCCGTTTCGTCTATACATAGCAGTCGAGGATGGAAGTCTGGAGGGAAGACCATACTACCTCCTAGATAGTGAGTTCGATATGTCACCGGGAAGAGGTATTTGACTGCCAGAGCTGCAGAGTGGAACGTTTGCTGTCATTCCACCGGCAACGGCGAGGCTATGGGCAGCCCTTGGATTCGTCTAACCGCAGCCCTAGACGTAACACACCTCGACATCTCGTTATCGACGTAATATACTCCGCCGCCTAAAGCCCGCCTGAGGCCTTTATCGCGAGTCTCGCGACTCTCCTTTACGAATCTGCCTTTACCCCTTCAAAATACGATTATTAATTGCGAGTATACCTTACTACTGTATACTTATATATATATAAGTTTTTAGGACGATTAATAATCGGCTTCTACGAGGCAGATTCGTAGAGGAGTAGAAGGTAGCGCGCGAGGAGCGGTACGATAGTCGCGACTCGCGGGCGGCGAGGTACCTTTGCGTCGATAACAAGAAGCGGAGTCGCGGACTCATCGGAGGTAGGTATATTACGTGCTGTGTAGGTGTATTACATCTAGGGCTGCGGTTAGACGAATCCAAGGGCTGCCCATAGCCCCGCCGCACCGGCAAGTGCGAGTTGGCCATTTCCAGGCACAAATTCTACATTACCAGCAGGGAAGCCATGCTTATAGCGAGCGAGCGATGACATATGTTTGGCCCGTCGTGAAACGTCTTCACATGTGATGGAATGCTGGAATACCTGGGTACAGGTAAGGTATCCAAAGTGCCAGCCTCAGTTTTAGTGCCGGGCAACAACCTCATCCATTGTCAAACTTTTTTTTCCATCATCACCATCATCGTCATCACCACCACCATCATCATCACCATCACCAATAAGGTAAGGTACCTTATACCTCCTACATACAGGTACATACATACCGCCTCCAGATTCATCCCCAAACCCAGTCCGATATCCCGACCCCGGCAGCTTTTCTCCTCCCCGCCACACGATTACATCAATTCCATGATATGTACCCAAGAGTCAAGATCTCACTGCCATCTAATTTACCAGTGTCTCGACCTTGCTAGTGCTTTCGGGCAGCAAAATAAAAAGAGATACCTACCTGACTACATGTACCCTCGGAGTGCCCGATATGACATTACATTCTTCCGTACTCCATGTACATATGCACGCTATCCTGAAGAAAAATGCGTGCCACCCCAGCCCCTAGGCGAGTACCTAGCACTGAGTAGCGAGACCTGTCGAGAAGAACTCCTAGGTAACGATGGATGTGCCCTCTACTACACCTACCTGACCTTAGTGATAGGTAAAAATACCTCTGAGAAGTTGAAACCTCCCCTCACCTTTGTAGCAACAAAAGTACAGGTAGGTAGGTAGGTAGGTAAGGTAGGTAGGTAGCTGAACAACCACGATATCAATTATTACATCGCTCACATCGCTAATGTACCTTGTCTGATATTCTTTTTCTAGGAGTAAGGTACCTCCTATGTGCACACATATACAATCAACATCCTCCAAAACCTCAATGACACATACCTAATTTCTCAGTCACACCTCAACACAAGGTATCTTCTCTTCACTGTACCTACACTAAGCAGTTTCCAGTCCGAGAAAGAGAAGGCATATTGTACCTACGATACCATGTACCTTACCGTCTTCCCTGACATCGGTATTCAATTTTGATAAAAGTGAGAGGTACAAAGGGTTCTTGCCTCGAGCAGAGAACTACCGATATATCAGGTACATGTATCAGGTACATACATGTATGCGGCTGACGGGACTGTGCAAATGGATGATGATTTGTGGTTTCCGGAAAAGGTGGAGGCACACGAGTGGTAGTGAAGACACAACGCGATGGTAACTAGGTACCTGGCACCTATGTAGACACAAGGTACATGTAACCTGAAGCTGATACAAGTACATATAGATACCCAAAGAGTGATACTATGAGATACAGTGCATAGGATACTCTCCAGCATCACGTTAGTACTCGTGATGGACTTGGCTGGGTTGCATTGCACGTACTAATGCAGGGAATGCTTGCTTTGTGTCAGAATGCCTTTCAAGTCAATGTACTAGATGTATCGCTGCCCGCCCGTCGCGACTCGCTCCCGCCCTCTCGTATTGCGCCTTTTTTTTGCTCTCTCTCTCTCTCACACACACACACACACACTCTCTCTCTCTCTTTTCCGGAGTCTTGATCTCGTTGATAGAGGCTTTCAGGTGTACCGTGTCGCCCCCAGTACACTCTCATACCCACCGCTATCATTCAATGCTTCCAGTGTCCAATCGTCAACGATCCTTCTTTGGGACGCTGTCCTGGGGCGAGACTTGATCGCCTAGGCGGTTGTACTCGTTGCTGAGGCCCTCACTCTGCTTCTTGAGGGTCTCAATGTCTTGATCGCGCTTGGCCAACTCCTTCTTCAGGCGACCAATCTCGCCTGCGTTGCCAGCCTCGCCCAGACCAGAAGATGTCTTGCCGCCGGTACCTGCCTCATAGCTCCTGATCTTCTCCTCGAGGCGAAGGGTGTCGAGAATCATGACGTATGTTCGGTTGAGGATGAGCGAGAGGAAGAGAGTGAAACCACACAGGTACATGTTGCGTTGCGAGTAGAACTTGCGTGCCTGAACCTCCATGCGCTCGCTGCCGGCCACCACGCTGCTGATGTGTCAGTGTATAGGTCTGGTGCATCTCAAGATGAGCTCGACTTACGCCGCGGTCTGGCTGCTCTTCGCCGAAGCCAACTCCACCTGCACGCGATAGACACGGTTGACGCTGTCGATAAACAGGATCAGGATGAAGATGAAGGTGATCTGTGCCACATTAGAATTCCATTTCGACACCGCTCCGCAGCCAACTCACCTTCATTCCATATTGTAGCTTGGCGATCAGCGGGTTCTCTGAGATGAAGGTGAAAAGAGCACGCTTGATCTTGAGAGGCAGCGGAATGATGAGAGTCACAAAGACTGCCATCTCGAACATGAGCAGCCCGAAGACCTGGGACAATGGTTAGCATGCGGCGCCAGAAGACGTGGCTCGAAGCTCGAGTGTACTGGAGCGTAGATGAGGCTAGGCATGATTGCAGTATGTTGGGTGTCGGATCGTGCAGATTATAGGAGTAGAGGTTGAAGAACATGAAGGCTCGAGGGATAGGCGAAAGGTTAAGTACGTGGACGTTACTCACCAGGCTGTAGTAAAGCGTCATGGTTGCGGAAAGGCTGGAGCTATGCCCACTTCTGGGTCACAGGAAACAGTTTCGACGCGATATCTGGAGATGGTCGGTATGTAGTGGCTACCGCTGGATGCACCGGTCAAAGGTCGGTTGCTGAGGTGGGAGCGAGAGGAAGTGGCTCCAGAGGTCGATGGTGTGGACGCGATGTGTGTACAGGTCAGGCCAGGTACATGTAGTTCTGGAGTAGGAGAGCAGTAGACAAGTTTGTGTATTGTGCAGCGAGAGCACACCTCAGTGAACACGGCAAAGCTGGCTTCTCGCGTGCAACGTCACCAGCACCAGCACCAGCCCAGCTTGCTTCCACACCGTCACTGCCTCACAGCCCCACTGTGGCTTAGAACCATGGCTTTGGGTGGCTCGTGCCTTCCCGTGAGTTCTATCGATAGGACGCCCGGACGCGGGTGTGAAAATGTGCTGCTCAGGCGTTTTCTCCGGATCACACACCAGCCATTGGACACATACTCACCACCATGGCCGCTCCCAGCAACCCCCTCGAGCCGTCAGTGCCGCTCAACGAGAAAGGAGACGCTGCACAGGCAGATGATAACCCGCAAAAAGATGTCTTGCCAGGCGACTCGGCCATGACCAAAGCTGAGAAGATCGAGAGACATGGTGACCTGAATGGACACGCCAATGGCGATTTCCAAGAGTCTCCACGGAAGCGGATCAAACGCGAACATGATGCTGCAACCGCGCCGGACAGTACGGTTGCCGGCGAGGTCGAGGAGGAGCGAGACGTGAAGCAGGATACTCGGACCTCTTCGAATCAACCAGACCGCCAGAAAGGCGTCGCTCCGATCAAGAAGGAGTACCTGATCGACATTTCGACACTCAAACATGCAAGCGCTACATTCGATGATGATGCTGCCGAAGCTGCTGGCAAAGCAGAGGAACAGCCCGTTGCTGGCCGTGGCGGCAAAAAGGGAAAGCAGGGACAGAACAAGGCTCGCACTTTCGGAAGCTCGAAGGATGCCATAGCTTTGTGCAGAACACGGCACTGGGCGAATGAGTTCGATCCAATCACGTGCCCATTCGGCGAGAAATGTAGAATGGAACACGACATTCGCAAGTACGTGAAAGAGGGCAAGCGAGAGGACATGCAGACGTTCAATGGTGTGTGCCCGAACTTCGAGACCAAAGGCAAGTGCAAAGAGGGCTGGAAGTGTCGATGGGCTGGCAGTCATTCAGAAGAGATTGAGCGAGACGATGGCCGAAAAGAGCTGGTGCAAAAGCAGAAGCGGGATACTGCAGAGCAATGCGCGGCAAACGATCACGGTGACGACGAGGAAGATCAGGACAACGGAGTCGTGAATATTGTCAGTAATGGTGACAAGATCACGCTGAGAAAGAAGAAGTGGGCAACACCATTATCCGACAAATATCTCAAATGGCTGAACAGCCAGGTCGGAGAGGATGGTAACAGGATCAGCGACCACGACCTCAACCACGACCATCGTGCGGCATACAGTGACCCGCCACTTCGACCATCGGAAAAGCGACGCATCTATTATGGACCCGAGACGCCAGTGCTCGCGCCGTTGACCACACAAGGCAATCTGCCATTTCGCAGGCTCTGCACAGAATTAGGAGCCCAAGTCACTTGGTCGGAGATGGCAATGGGTCTACCACTGCTCAATGGCGAGAAGGGAGAATGGGCGCTGGTCAAGGCCCACGAGTCGGAGCTTGCGCCGCCATCCTACTTCCCAAAGAATCCCGTACAAGGCTATGACAATAGCAAAGACATCAGATTTGGCGTCCAAATCGCTGCCAACAAGCCGTGGCTTGCCATGAAGACAACGGAGGTCCTGGCTGCCTTATGTCCACAGATACGTGCTATCGACTTGAACTGCGGATGTCCCATCGATCTTGTGTTCCGGACTGGCGCTGGTTCTGCGCTCTTGGACGGCCACGGCAAATTGGAGAAGATCTTGAGGGGCATGAACACTGTCTCTGGCGAAATACCGATCACTGTCAAGATCCGCATGGGCACCAAGGATAAGCAGCCGACTGCTCAGAAGCTCGTCGAACGGCTTGTTCTCGGTGGCAACGAGGCCCGAGATGCTAATCTGGGTCCTGCTGGTGTTGCTGCTATCACTCTGCACGGGCGTTCTCGCCAGCAAAGGTACACTCGCGATGCTGACTGGAGCTACATTGCTGAATGCGCCACTCTTGTGAAGCACCTTCGAGCCCAGCATGCAGATCTTACTGATACAGTCAGAGAGCCAGATGCTCGCGACACGGCAAACACAAAGGAGGGGCTTCCTTACTTTTGTGGGAATGGCGATATCCTGTGCCCTGGGGATTACAACAAACACATCGATGAAGCAAAGGTCGATAGTATCATGATTGGACGTGGTGCTCTCGTCAAACCTTGGATCTTCGAGGAGATTGAAAAGAATCAGGACCTCGATAAGTCTGCTTCAGAGCGACTTGCGTACATTGAGAAATTCTGTCGAAACGGTCTCGATTACTGGGGATCAGACGAGATCGGCGTTGGAAACACCAGGAGATTTCTGCTTGAGTGGCTCAGCTTCAGTTGTCGATATGTGCCCATTGGCCTTCTCGAGTACTTACCACCCAAGTTTGGAGACCGACCGCCTGCGTTCCGGGGACGCAGTGACCTCGAGACTCTTCTGAGCAGTGGGAACTACAAGGACTGGATCAAGATCAGGTATGTCTGGTGATGGCTCGAGAGTGATGAGCATGTGCTAACACGACTCGGCAGCGAAATGTTCTTGGGTCCTGCGCACAAGGACTTCCAATTCCAGCCCAAGCACAAGTCGAACAGCTACGAGATCGAGGCCGAAGGGTGAGCGGCGAGCGCGTAACGAAAGTCCCCCGGCTTACCTCCTAGGACCGGAGGTTTGCCAAATCCCGCTATCTCGTGCTTGACGTCATCTGACCCGGGCCAGTCTTCCTTTTCCGTTTGCCATGTTGAGATGGCTTGTAGCATTTGCATCTTTGGCTCTCCGATCATGGGCATGGCATGGCCTTGTGGAGGTTCTCCGTGCTGTCGAGAATCAATAGTGGTGTCCACCACGGGCGTCTGCGAAACCGGCGACAGCTGAGATGCTCGACAAGCGATGCATCTGACATCAACATGATCCAACGATGCAGGGTATCTTGCTCCACCAGCATCGGCATCGAGATCCTATCCACCAACCTCACGGAACTTCCATGGTTGTGGTCCACATCCTCGCAGACAGCTGTCATACCTTGCTAGTCGCCGTGCCGTGGTGGAGTCGGTGTGAGAGAGCGATAGAGAGAGAAGAGGCTAGCCCCTGGCCCCATCTAGCTGTATACAAGAGTACTTGCATGTGACCAGCCGGATTAGGTTCCCTCTCCCTATCCATAGCCACAGGAAGTATCAATATGACTTGTACACTATTGATTACCACAACATGGAACCTCGTCATGATCCACATCATTATCATCATCATTACTATCCTGGCACATCGTGTTCATGCTACACCCTCCCTCCAATGCCTGCCTGCCTACCTCCAGCCTACAGCCTCCAGGTACCTACCTACCTACCTGCATGTATGTATGTACATATGTCGCAACAACAACAAACAACAAACAACAACAACCAACTCCACCACCTGCATGTCTCACTCTATTAGGCATAGGGAACGGGATCTCCTCTCCTCTCGTAGTGTACCTATAGCCTATATAGTATTTTTTCCCCTAAAAGAAGAAAATTCTACAAGACTCTTTTTCTTTTCGGATTACTCAAAGAAGGATAAGGAAGGATAGGGTAAGGTAGGACTGGTTTTTTTTGGCTTACTGTACCTTATCTACCCTACCTACCCTACTCGAAGATGTATACCCGGGGGAGAGGGGGTGTAATTCAGAGTAAAGGGGGGGAGGGCTTAGGTTTTAGGGTATACTGTATGTTTCTTGATTGTTGTTATCGGATTGTTTTTTCTTTTGAAAGTAATAATGTTATAGGATAAATAGTTGGTTAGGTAGGCTAGCTACTATATAGATAGGCTTTAGGTTATATACTGTCTCGACCTACAGGTAAGGTAGGTAGGTATACATACGACTCTCTACCGCCGAGATGCTTCGGCTTGTAGGTATTAGTTCTCTATACCTAGACCTACAACTCTGCCTTTGTTGTCTTATCGTAGAAGAGGAAGAGAGAGTAAGGTAGGTATTTAAAAGGTATATCATCGTAGACTCGTAGTCGACTGCTGAATTACATATACCTTACCTTACCTACCTATACTTCGTCTTCTCGGGTAATTGGAGATAATAAGACCACTATGGCGCGGGGGAGGGGGGAGGTCGGGGGTCGGGAGTCGGGGGGGGTGCTGAAGTGTCACGAGACCAAAGGATGGATGGGTAAGGTAGGTAGGTATAGCTAGTCGGTAGGCCTGCTCGGTATGCGTTCATTCGTTCGTTCATTCAGAGCCTGCACTGCCCCGTGTCGAAAGGCCGCGCCGAGGATGGATGTGAGAGCTTCATCTCGGCCCGTCAATGGGGATACAACAACGACAAGTCCAACAGAAAATAAACAATTCCAACAAGAATCACTATCACAAGAACGAATATGAAGATTAGTAAACTTCCAACGAAAGAGCGGTGGAATATGTTTGATGTTTTCCTGTTGTAGTCTGTACATGGTCGATTCGTATGGTCAGGTGAGGTATTTGTTCTCACATGAACAATAATAATAAAAAACCTTTTTTGAGATGCTTTCTTCCATCTAGGCTTACCGAGACCCGTGGGGAAGACGAAATAACGCGGGCGGTCTCCAGGCTCCAGCAAGCATTACATCTATACATATATACGTGCATGGCACCCTGTATGTGTGTTGCCGCCTGCGCAATACCTCATTATGGCGCTTTTTCGGGGACCGCCGGCGAACCTTTTTTTTTTCCCCCTTCTTCTTCTTCTTCTTCTTCAGATCCATGAGAGGAAGTTGGACGTCTATGTACATGTACATGTATGTATGTACATAGCCGGCCAGCCAGTCATCAACCATGTGATTTGATGCTGATGATGATGATGATGGATCGATGTGTGTGTGTGTGTGTGTGTACAAATGACTCGGGACTTTGTTTCTAGTGTTTTAATGACTTTTCTGCCGACGAGACGAGATGGGGAAATGGACGAGACAACAGTATTTCGCTGGCGTGGTGATGGTGCTGATGGTGATCATTGCGTTCTGCAGGCTGTGCGTGGTGTATTTTTGTTATTTGGGGGAGGGGAGATGTGACCAAATGATCGCAGCAGGGTTTTGCTGGATCATGATGACCAAAAGCCCCAAGGTGTTGGTATGGCAAATTACTACCTTATTGACACCTCGTACGGCCCTTTTGGTTTGTGCGTCTGTGTGAGTGTCTGTGTGTGTATACATCGACCCGGAGTTGTGAGACTAGCTGGCTGCTACCTGGAGAGTGAACCTGCTGACCACAAACCCAAGCCCGCGCCCAGCCGAGAGTAGGAGGCAAGGTCAGGCACGTCAGGTAAGGGAGGTCAGGTATGCAGTTTAGTTGGGGGTGGTGTGTTGCTACCCACCGGTCCGGAGAGCCGACAGTTCGGGTGGTAGTGCTGGTGATTGGACTGGTGGTGGTGGTGGTGGTGGTGATGGTAGGAGTAGTGGTGATGGCGGCAACGGGGCAACGAACTCTGATTTAGGTAATTCTTCTTCTGAAGCTACGACGTACATGGCAAACGCAAGGCTGCAAACAGGAACAGAAGAGGGAGGTAGGAGGGTAGGGCTGTCCCCATCGAGACTCGACACTACCTCCCCTAGGGAATGGAATGGAACTATCGTCGTCCCCCGTCCCCGTCGTCGCGGTCGAACAGCTTTGCCCTGATCTGACCCCCAATCGAACCCTAAGTCTAAGCTTCATCATGACCGCGTAAGGGGGGTATAGCGCACGAGCGGATCGGTTGGCATCGCAAGGCTATGAACGTATGTAGTCTACGCTCTACCCTCCTCCATCTCATTTCCAAAAACCCGTCCCGTTGCAACAAGAAACAATGCTTCTTTTTAATGTTAACTAAGGTAGTCGGTAATTGCTAGGTCGCGCACCGTCCATCTTCCAACCAGAAATAAGATTTTTTTCAAAAAGTACTATGTATGTAGGCAACGGTCCACCCTGCTTGGCAGATGGCGTTCCGGACGTGTACATACAGTATGTACCTGTAGCTACGCGAGAACGATTTGCCGGCACAGTAGTATCACAGTAACAAATGATGAGTTGCTGGAACGACGACTAACTAGGAGGCAGGAGGCAATGGAAGATCCCTAGCGACGGTAGACAGATCATCATTATTGCTCACCGTACATCAGTAGTAGGAGTCGCGTGCAGCTGCAAATTGCAACCAACCACATCGGCTGTTGTAGTCTCGCACATCATCTGGACTACACTACTGTACCTCCTTTAGCAGCTGCTTTAGAGCTGTTGTGCTGCAGTAGTATCGTTACTACATGTAGGTATAGTGGACATGTTGTAGTTGTCATGGCATCATCGATACCTTAGATGAGAACCTGCCCACAGCCCGTCCCAGGAGCCAGCGGTACCTCTACCACCATCTCAGGACGACATGGAGGCCAGAAGATGATTGGCGTAGGCGTAGCGTACATTGTCGCACTCTTGCACTTTGTGAGCTTTCCAATGTGTCTGAATGACACCTGGTCCGTCGTTGATATCCGTTCGTATTGGGTTCCCTCTTTCTGGTGCCAGTGGGCTATGGATGGGAATCATGGGATAATGGAAAGGCCGAATTCAATCTCCAGCATTTGACCAATTTCGCTGCCTGCTCGGACTGGGCTCGCCGCTCGCGTGCGGCGCGTCTGTGGGTTAAGCGACCTGGATCGTTGGTCTACACACACACACACACACACACACATACTCACAGACATACACACACACTCTCTCTCTCTTCTCTCATTTCCTGAATACATCCGAGGAGGGGGGGAGGACGCGTCTCTGCACTGAGCACATGCGTCCGATATTCTCACGCGAATGCTTCCAACTCCATAAAGCATCACACGTGGTACACGAGCAGGGCCGCGAAACAGCCGATATAGTATCGTGGTTGACGCCGCGAGCCTTGCACGAAGCTCACCCGAACCTGCCCACCTTGGGAAACTTGGCCCCTGTGCGCTGATGTAGCCCTGAGATTTAGAGTCGAGACGGCGTGAACCTTGCCGCGGAGGGTGATGTTCGGCGTCATCGCCGCCCGCACATGCGTTCGGCCGTTGGCATCAGCCGTGGCATGACCCATGGTAGCCACTGTCCACCCGCAAGCATGGAAGGAGGAGAGAGAGAGAGACTCCCCAAGGAGTCCCCAAGGAGATAGGGGGCGAGTGAGGAATCTAGGGGGAAATCGGGGAGAGGACGGGAGAGAGAGAGAGAGAGAGAGAGCAAAAGAGCCGACTGGGAGCGTTCGTTCGTCCCTCGTCACAAGGTTGCCTCAATGCCTACAAGCGGAATGGTCCCAGGCCTCCGACCCACATCATCAAATCCGCACTCGATGCATCATGCTGGGGCAAACGCCATGACCCGGCCACGCCAATGGCTGCCGTTAGACGCCAAGTGTCGGCGTGTATCTTATATACGAGCGCAGGAAATGGGCAAGCAGGTGCCAGGCACACCGAGGCGAGGCGAGGCGAGGCCAGCTCAGCGTGGTGCGACCTGGTCGGGAGGCATGTTGCATCTGCATGTATATGGATGGGGGGAATGGATGAATGGATGAATGGATGGATGTATCAGATCACTCATACATATCTAGGGACGGACATCATCTATACGGTCTCATCTGCAGTCAGTCTCTGGGCACTACAGGCAGTCATCAGGCACACACACACGCTCTCTCTCTCTCTCTCGACAGGCGGTCGGGCAGTCCGACAGGCGCCGTCTCATCACATCCACACATGGCACGTTATGGATCGGGGGCAAGCCATCCTGGTCGGCAGACATCACGCAGGATCAGCGACGTGCTCCACAGCTTCGAGAAGGCGATCCGCCCAGGAGCAGAGGCCGGTGGGGAGGCTGCCATTGGCCACACAGGTCCCGGATGGCGTCCCCTGGTCGGCGCGGAAGCGATGCTGGCGTCGCAGGGGTGGCGACAGGCGGCAGGGGAGGCGTATGTAGTGTATGTATGTATGTGCGTAGTCTGGACACGGGCCTCCCAGGCTGCATGTTCCGCACAACGTCCAAACGGGCGTCCAGCGTTCGCCTGTGCCTGTTTGCTTGTCAGGGACTCGAGACTACCTTACCGTACTCACTCGCGCGCTCTCTCTCTCTCTCTCGAGTACGAGTGCATAATCAGTTGCATGTCCGTTGCGTCTGCTGTGCCACGCCACGCCCGCGGTGAAAGGGGGACCATCCCATCCCATCTCACCACGAACGAGGGGCTTCACCACTCACCACTCACTACCACTCGCCACTCACCACTCGTCCAGCCAGAGCAACGCTTCCCATCTCCATGCCATGCCCACTCTTGCCCAGATGCTGGCTGGGCTGCGTGGCCCGACTCCCACGGCGCGGTTGAGAAAGGGTTAGTGACTGCATCCCTGGTTCATTGGTCGGGTAGGGTTGAGTTAGTCGGGCGGGTAGTGGTGAGCGAAACCGGTCGAGCTTAAGTTACAGGTGGTGGTGATCTTGCTGCGTGCGTGAGTGCGTGCGTGCGGCGTGCGGCGTGCTTCCCAGTCATATAGCTGCGACTAAATCCGCCCTCTGCCGTCGTGAGTCGATCCTATTACCCATACAATACACACATACACATACCCATATTATGAACTCTGCAGCTTGCTGGCCTGGCCTCCCATTCGCAGCAGCAGCAGCACCCTTTACGCTCTCGCCGTATAGCACGTAAGCGACGCATGTGTAAGCCGTCTCCTCAAAAGGAGCCGTATTGTCCGCCTCCATTCGGTGCACTGTGCCTAGTGCAGATCCCCATCCAACTACCGGCATCCCCCTTCGGGCAGCCAGTCCACTCCGTCGTCGCGCTGGCGACTCCTACTTCCTCTTCCACCACCCACACTCCTCCGCCACTCGCCGCCAGTCCAGGGCAGCGTTCTCCCAGCGTTGAGAGTGTCAGCACACCGCAGTCTGCCACTGGACATCAATACCCGAGCAGCAGCAGCAGTAGCTACGATCCCCGCAAGCGCGCGCGAGAGGATCAACCATTCTTCCACTGGCACCGGACTGTCGCTGAGAGCCACGACATCGCCGCCGACGATTTCACCTCCGACGACCTGCTTTTTCCGCTCGACGACGACGACGAGCTCAACGACCTTCCTCTGTTCCCGACCGCGACGCCGTGGCCCGCAGACATTGATACAACCACCTTCACCACCACCTCCACCACCTCCACCATGCCGACCGCGTCTCCCGCGATCGACATTGGCACCAGCCGACACTCGTCGAGCTCGCCGCGGACCCAGCAGTCTGCGCTGACGTCGCAAATCCGAGAATCCCACTCGCAAGAGCGTGACACATCGAGCATGGCGGCGCCCGCACTGCCCGACCATGGACTCGACGTCAAGCATCGACAGGAATCCGTCAGCATGCTCGGCACCACCCCCTATGGCGCACGACAGATTCCCGCAGGCGCACGACTCGATCGCCGTGAGAGCAACTACCACATGTCTAACAGTCTAGTGGGTGGAATGTCGTGGGGAGGCATTTCTATGGGCAGCTTTATCCGAGACGAGTAAGTAGTACTACAGGACCCCTCCCGAGACTCGACTCTTGCGCTTCTTCCCTCTTGCGAGTCGCTCACTGATTGTGTGCTGCGACAGTATCATCATGGCCGGCACTTCACCGCACGGTGCTGGCATGAAGTCCCCCTCGTTCCACTCATCCTCATATCTTCCTAAGATGGAGGCGAACTACATGAAGGATTACGTCTGCTGCGACATCCACCTGGATTCCATGCACGAGCTGTTGCAGCACTACGAGGAGGCTCATGCCGCCCAACCGACGCAGACAATGGGACGAACGCCCAAAGATCAGCAATATCCCAGTAGCAGAGCTGCCAATGCCACTAGCACCGCACAAGCCGTTCAGCAGCAAGCGCAAAAGCAAAATCCCAACATGTCGCTGCACCCTTCCGTACAGCAGCATCACCTGCCCACTCCAATGTCGACCGCTTCCCCCATGTTTGGTGCGCAACATCAAGATCACATTGGTACTTTTGACAATCTGGACGACATGGACATGGATGATGGGGCGCCCGCCCCCCAGGTGCACCACCCACAGTACCAGCCACAACCGCAATTCGGGCGCCAACAGCCGCGAGGACCATCCGTCAACGTGAATCTCGCCAACGCATTCCAGGGCCAAGGTCTGAATTCGCAGACACCGACCACGCCACATGCACCCCAGCAGAACATGGGCTATCCACACAATCCGACAGTTTCCTCAGTCAACACGCCCAGTCTGACTGCGCAGAACCCTTCACAACATACCTCTACTCCGGATCCTTCACAGCCGAATACACCGGCCGAGCTTGATGCGGACTTTCTGGCTTCGATGAGCAATCTGAACAATCACTATGACATGGACTCATATGACTGCAACGGCTACAGCGCCACCCACATGACCCACGGTGGGTCAGCAACAATCGATAATCCCGAAAAGCGGTTGCTCAGCAGACAAGGATACGGCAAGGGCTTTCAGCAACAAAATCCGGCGTTTAACGGTGCTCAGAACAGTGAGCTGGCCAAGCGTGTGCGCGAAAGTCAATTGCTGAATGGATTAGCGGGCGCGGGCGGCTTCGTCGGCGAAGAGATCAAGCCATTTAAGTGCCCCGTCATTGGCTGCGAAAAGGCATATAAGAATCAGAACGGCCTGAAGTACCACAAGCAACACGGACATCAAAATCAGCAACTGAAGGAGAATCCTGATGGTACATTCTCCATTGTGGACCCCGCGACGTCGATACCGTATCCCGGTACGGTCGGGATGGAGAAGGAGAAGCCGTACCGATGCGAAGTGTGCGGCAAACGCTACAAGAATCTGAACGGCCTCAAGTACCATCGCCAGCACAGCCCACCATGCAACCCCGATCTTGCCATTGTGCCTACCAGCAACATGGCAGGTCTGCCCACGGGTATGCAGAATTTGAACGCCAATGTTGCTGGGGCGGGTCTCGTGGGCATGAACGAGGGCATCGGCTATTAGGGGGCGGAAAGGGGAGTAGCGTCTCGCTTTCAACTCCGAAGGTCGCCTGCGGCATCGGAAATGCCGTCGCGTATTTTCCTTCTTTGCGTTCACCGCTCAGCACACTGCTGCCCACCCTTCTCGGCTCCGCATGCACGACAGCTGCAGCTTTACACACTACTCTGGTTTGGAGACGGATCGGCGTTTTGCATCTTTCAACGAGTCACAAAAATTGGGCGTTTTACTTTACTACACATTGTTGGCATGCAGTATCGTTTCAGCAAGGCGTTCGGGAGCATTTGGGATGATTCCTCCCCGTGGGTATGGTTCACCTGGGAGAGAGATACCTGGCTTCGCAAGGCCAATCTTGCTATGATACCCCTCTAGATCGGATGGCCGAAATTGGTTCTATTTGCTTTTTTCTTTTTTCTCAGGTTTCGTTGGCCATTGCAGTACGATTTGGGCGTTGCATTATACAATACGGTTCAGATGACCACACTTTGCCTGGTAAGGCATGGGTGGGCTGAACACACCGGATGGAAAGGCCCTGTAATTACTGATTGCTCCCTTTTTATATATATATATCCCGAGGTTGCACCGTTATAGATGAAGCATAGGCAACAACTAAAGCACAGCTTATCGAATCTTCTTGATCGCGAGGTTGCGACCCGCACGTATTTCCACACTCATCACATTCGCGTTTGTGTGCATACTAACCTACAGCCTATAGGTCACTAAGGCAGTAAGACTAGGAGGTACATACATGTGCCTGTCCTGTCACTCCTGTGGGGAGGGGGGGCTACCCCTGTCAGCAGCCGCTGCGGCACCAAACGCCCGCCTACCGGCTCTCAGTCCGCCCTCCCCGTCGCCGCCGCCGCCGACTGCATGTGATCTCGTTGTGATGATGATGATGCTGATGCTGATGATTCTTTTGTTGTTATTGTTGATGTTGTTGTTGGCTGTTGTACCGGCACCACACCGCACCACACCTTTTGCATATGCCATATGCCATATGCCATCATGTCTGTTCCATCATCCACGCCAGGGGCACCCCTCGTCATCATGAATCAACCACCACCACTGGAGACCACGATCCCTTGGAAGCCTCCAGCGGAACCTGCGAATCCTGTGGTCAAGGGTCTGCCGCTGCACTACGGCAGCATACTGTACGTCTTGTCTTTTTTTTCTTATAGTCTCCTGTACGCCCGAGGAGCGCGTCTCGCGGCATGGGATGGGATCCCGTTGGTGGGTTGGCGGTTGGCGGTCTCATCCAGCAGCGAGCGGGCTGATGTTTGACAACGTCTCGTGACCCCCCCCACTGGCCCCGGGGGGCAAGGCGGCCTAGATCAAACGATCCACGAGACGTTTGTTGTTGGATTTTTCGCCTCTTCCCCGGCTCATCAAACAAAAGTCCCCCATGTCATGACATACACGTACTAACCTCCTCCCCCATTCTGACATTGGCGCTCGGTACGGTAGGATTACCAAGCTGGGCTTCATACAGCAAACGCTATGGAATAATGCCGGTTTCGCATGTCTGAGAGATCGACCCGAGTTGGAGGCTTTTGAGCCGAGATATGAACCGCTCGTGATCAAGACTGGTGGTGCTACTACTACGTCGTCGTCGTCGTCAGCTTCGGCTTCGGCTTCGGCTCCGAACGAGGGCGACTATCTCCTGTCGCTGCAGCGTGAGGATTGGGAGAGTCGGAGGCCTGTAGCGAAGACTCATTGGAGCGTACTGGATTATCACCATGCTTATGTTGCGGGAGAGCTCACGCCTACCGCGGTTGCGAAAGCTTTATTGCCGTTGATTAATCGTGATGTGCAGAAACCGCATCAGCACTCGACGGCGTACTTGCAAGTCCGGGAAGATCTTGTGCTGAAGGCGGCTGGAGAGAGCACGAAGAGATATGCGGAGGGAAGGTTCTTGAGCGTGCTCGATGGCGTGCCCGTGGCTGTGAAGGATGAGATGGATCTCAGGTATGTACGCGGAGAGAGAGAGCAGGAATGTAGAACAGTCCAGAGTACTGATACGAGAGACAGTGGCTATTCCAAGTGCTTTGGCTCCAAGATTGACTACACCCGTGCAGACGATGCTACGAGCTATTGTGTTCAGAAATGGCTGGACGCGGGTGCCATGGTCGTTGGTAAGACCACGATGCATGAAATGGGTGCCGATACGACAAACAACAACCCCAACTTTGGCACTCCTCTCAACCCCTACAACGAGAATTACTACACAGGGGGAAGCTCTGGCGGCTCTGCCTACAGTGTTGCTGCTGGCCTCACTCCTCTGTGCGAGGGCAACGATGGCGGTGGCAGCATCCGACTCCCAGCCAATTACTGTGGAGTCTTTGGACTGAAGCCGTCTCAGGGACGAATCTCTGGTCGCCCTTCCACCAACCTGGCCAAGAGCAATGGAGTCTCGGGTCCCATCGCTGCCAACATGATCGACCTCGAGATTGGCTACCGCATCATGGCCCAGCCAGATGCTCTCGACCCCACCTCCTGTCTCTTCACTCCACCCGGCTCCGTCTCGAAGAAGAAGCCATTATCCAGCACTCCGAAACTGCTCGGGATCTACAAGCCCTGGTTCGACCGAGCGGACCCCATCGTCAAATCTACGTGTCAGGCCTCCATCGACCACCTCACCACCCATCAACAGTACCAGACTATCGACATTTCCATTCCTCTCCTCCCCGAAGGCCAACTCGCCCACGCCATGACCATTCTCGCCGAACTCGCCACCGGCGTGTCCGCGTCCGATCAACATCTACTCACTCCCGCCAACAAAGTCCTCATATCGGTCGCCCGCAAAACCACAGCCGTCGACTTCTTACAAGCCCAACGTCTTCGGAACTTACTCATGCAACATCTCGCCCATCTCTTCCACCTCCACCCAGGCCTCATCATCGTCACCCCGACCACGCCGAACGCGGGTTGGAGAATCGGAGCCGGAGATTTATCATATGGAATCTCCGATGCCAACCAACAAGTCCGCAATATGGAATATGTCTGGTTGGCCAATTTCACGGGTTGTCCCGCTCTTACCGCGCCAGTGGGATATCATCATCATCCACATCCACATGATAAAGATGAGGGGATAGTCCCTATCGGGCTAATGGGTATGGCGGAGTGGTGTGAAGAGGATGCGTTGTTGGAATTCGGCTATCATCTCGAGGAGTATTTGAGAAATGATCGAGTGAGGCCAAAGGTGTGGGAAAATGTATTAGAACTGGCTGGTAAACGGGAAGAGTAGTAGTAGAAGAAGTATAGAGTCGGTCTGTCTGTTTGTCTAGTATTCAGTCAGGTCAAAAAAGTCTTGTAAACAGACGCTGGCTTCATTGTCTCTGAAACTCTTCTTCATTCCCTAATTACTTTCTACCCTATTTCCACCCTTCCTTATTTCTACACTTTCTTATATTATACATCCCTATACTATCCATTATCAACATCTTTATCATCCTCATCTATACATAGTCATCCACACATCTATATCTATAGAAAAAAAAATAGATAAGAAGTAAAAAAAAAAACTTCGAATAATAAAAACCTTCCTTCCCTTCTATACTTCCAACTTTCCCTCTCCCCCGGGACAGAGAGAGAAAGATAAAGTAAACAAGGACCCTTCAATCGTTCATTCAAATTAATTTATTCTCGAAAGTCTCACGAGACTTTTTATTTTCTTTTAATTGTCTTTAATTGTTTTATTTAATTGTCTTTAATATTCTTTAAAGTAAAAGTCTCTTTTCTTTCGAATCCTGTCTTCTTTTTTGCTATATTAAAGAAAGATTAAATCAAAAAAAACACTGTCAAAAAAACGCTATCAAAAAAATCCAAATTCCAAAATTAACATCTAAAATTTGACAATTATACAAAAAAGAAATTAACAAAAAACCAAAAAAAAAGAAAAAAAGAAAAGAAAGAAAAAAAGAAAATCCAAAAATCCAAAGAAAAAGTAGCAAGAGAAGTATTCAATATATTACGAAATTCATGGTGTGTACATTATTGGGTGGCAGAGGTGCTTCCTAGAAATAGTATACCTACCTGACCGACCTGACCTATTAGCTTGGCCAAGGGACTGTTCTACAAGAAAAAAAAACATTGGCGGACCTTGGACATGTTTTTACAAGGCAGTAATAAGTATAGGTCAGGTACCTTTATTATTGAAATGAGGCTCGCGAGATTATGGACGCTGGTCCCGGATAAAGCAAATCGGATGGGAAGCTCGAATAAGGGTCGGGAATAAGTGTCGTGATTGGCTTTCGTGTCAAAAAAAAAGTAAAAGTCTACTTGGAGTCGGCACTTCATCTGCGGCAAAACCGGGCATTGTCGACCATGCCACAAAGGTTGCTCAGATGATATGCCACTATGCACGCACGCGAAATAAAAAGCAGAACAAATTTGGAAACGCCCAGAACTGATCGAGCTGATCGCGATCAGTTCCGAATTTCGCCAAATGCCACAACGCCATGCTAAACTCGCCGCGAGCTCACTGTGCAAAAAATTCCTGCTTCACTGATCCCCATTCCATGAAAAACGCCTTTTGTTCCATATGTATTAGTGGTCGTTGGAGTTGCCGATAGTGGGTACGCTCGTAACGGTAAACGGTAGCGTGTTATTGGTGCGGTGACAGTCATACCCATTCTCTCTGGCGTGGTCGATAATTGAGCGGCGGCTGTTCACGCCGCCGCTTGAGATGCTTGTTGGTTGGCCACGTTCGCCACCAGCGCACCATTATCAGGCACTGAGTAGGTGCGTGATGCCCGACGCTGAGCCATCAGCCGGTTGAGCTCAAAGTGGTTGCCGCGCTCCGACTGCTCCTTGAGGTATTGTTCGAGATCTGGTGGCAGGGTCTGTCCTTGCTCCCAGGCGGCAATGATTCGTTGGCTGTAGGTTCGTTCTCTGGCCCGTTGACGACGGCGCTGCAAATCACCTACGTGCTGCTCGAGGGCTGTCTCTTCTGAAGCTGTTTCCTGCTCCGTATCCGCCTCGACATCGGCAGACTCTTCCCTATCCGTCTCGGAGTCCACATCATCCATGTCCTCGTCGTCTTCGTCAATGGTAGGCTGTCGATTTCGACTCGTCTCCGCGTCTTCCACGACAATGGAGATGTCGGTCTTCCTCGTGATGCTATTTCTTCTCGCGTCTTCGGCAGCTCTGATGTCTCTGCGGTCCACAAATGGACCAATCTCGTCCCCCGTAGTGTCTACCACTTTGACGCCTTCATCCTTCTCGTAGCGCTCCCTCGCCCACTTGGTGCCTTCCCAGCAGCAGAAGTCCTGAATCTCTCCGTAAGTCAGGCCGAGGTGGTCAAAGGCCTCGAACAAGCGCTTGTGATGTTTGAAGCGCCCCAAGCGCATGCGGTGAGGACGATGGCAGTAGTTGAGTCCTGGATAGCGGGCTTCGGTCGAATTGAGGTCACCGTAGAAGGTGGCGACTTCAATGCGTACTTCGGGCACCAGATTCCTAGCCAGATGTGCCGAGAAGGAAGGCGGGTCGCTTGGGTGTGGTTGAGGAAACAGGTAGGAGTAGAGCAGGTGGGCAACCGGCGTTTGGCGCTTCATGGCTGTGCGAGAGACGGGGTGGTGGTGGTGGTGGTGGTGGTGGTGACGGCAGTGACGGCAGTGACGGTGACTGACGGTGACGGTGCGGTCTCGTTGGTGGTGGTGGTGGTGGTGGTTGAGGAGGACGTATGCAGTGTCAGTGGGCGAAGGAAGAGAGGCGGTAGGCAGGGTGGATGTGAGCGGTGGTGGTGGTGGTTGTTGTGGTTGTGGTGGTGGTGGTGGTGGTGGTGGTGTGGTGGTGGTGGTGGTGAGGGCGATGTAGCACGATAGGCTCTGGCAGTGTGATGACAGGGTGGAAATGGCCGTGCAGCCGTTGGCGTCTGGAGTGTGCGCTTGCCTGCCCGCCTGCCGCACCACTGCTCGGGTGACACTGACACGCTCGGCTCGGTGGGGAGGGCAAGTGCGTCGGAGGAAGCGGGAAGGCGGGACCGGGGAGGGATGAAAGTGGGGGAGAGTGCAAGTGCGAATGGAAGTGGAAAGGGAGAGGGAGAGGGTTGGGAGAGGGAGAAGCAAAGGGAGAAGCACAGGGAGAAGCAGAGGGAGAGGGAAGGACAAGGGGAAGGGGAAGGGGAAAGAGAAAGGGAGATGGTCCCCCCCGATGCTGAGCGCGATGACACGGGGACAGACTGCTGTCAGATCCGATGCCAACAGCAGCGTAGAAGTCTGCGAGATCAGGGAGATTCAGGGAACAAGGACAGGACAACAGGACGACAGGAGAACAGGACAACAAGACACAGGACACAGGACACACTGCACGCAACACAGAATTATCAGGATACATTGCGGAAAGTGGTCCACGTGGTCGGCCGGAGGGCCGAGTAGGTGCTGGGTTCTGGTGGTGGAGGCACTGGTGGGTGCGTGTGGCAGACTGGCGGACTGGCGGACTGGCGGACTGGCGGACTGGCGGACTGGCAGTGTGGCAGCCTGGCAAGTGGCAATGGATGATGGCAGCAAATGCAATCCAATCCCTTTGACTTCTATAGATCGAAAGCTAGCCGTCGTGCCCTGTCTGCCCTGCAGCAACGGCCTTCTTGGAAAACACTGCTACACCTCCTAGGAGGTGGAGGTATACTGCAAGACAGCACCATCCCTACGTGGCACTCGTCCCAATGCCGGCTGTGGTTACCCGAGAGAGGCAAAGAGATGGGCACGCTCCTGTGAGCGTGAGCGTGTGACCTTGAACCCATTGATTGCCCTTGGATGAAGCTTCTTCGGCTTCTGCTTCTTGCACAGACTCACTTGATCAGACTTCATCTCTAGATTCGTAGGATCGAGTCAACCCGTTTACAACCGATCCTCGTCCTCGTCAGCGCGTCTTCCTACCCGCCTTGGCCGCTCCAGTCCCCCGCCACTCTCACACGCTCGCTCGTTCACGCTACTTGTGTTCCCCGTCCCCTTATTGCCCTCCGCCCAGAACCCAAAACAAATCCGCCGTCCCGGTGAATCCGCCCGCCTACCGTATTGCGCAACGAGGGTGCGAAGGCCGACATGTGCAATGCCTCCCAGCTTGCACTTAGCTTACACCCCGTCGAACCCTGCATGATTAGATCAAACCTAGTTCCGCCTGCGGCCCCCGGGTCTCTAAGGTATGGCGGCATACCCAAAGGGCCCAAGCACCAGAGAACAACCGCAAGATGTGTCCGTGATGATGATACCATGGAGGCGCGGCGGGCGAAGGTGTATGCGCTGGCTGAGCTACCTAGACACACTCTCGTCAGCTGCAAACGCAGGATTGCATAGGCGAAGTGCATATCACTATGGCTTCGCCTTCCTGCGTAACGCGTAAAATTACCTCGTACGGCTGTATCTCAACTCCCGTCTTGAAGCACTGAGGTGTCGGATAGTGCCCGGGGAGGTGTATGTATGTGTGTAGAAGTGGAGATTTATCCATGAGTGTGGAGGTATCTGCCAGAAGTCGTGGCTCGCTTCCCCGACTTATGCCGCATCACTCTACTGACGGGACTTCACCTCTGCATCTTTTGCAAAATTTCATCTCGAGACCGCATACCGGCAGGACATGCCCGCGAGACGCGCATGACCTCCAGAATCGAATCGGGATCGCCCCATCGATAGATCCACAACATCATCTGATTGCAAAACACGGTGTCCCCGGTGTGGCTACTACTGGTCGAAAGCACCGGTCTCCGCTGGCAAGATGCCCACAAAGTGTGTCGGTAGCTTGGCTACGTCGGCGGATAATTATCTCTTCGCTCTCGCAAAGGGTACAGGTACTGGCACACATCTCGCTACGATTGGGTCCGACGATGCGCTACGATATGTGGACGCTACTTCGCTCCAGGCCACGAACACCGTCGCAAACGCTCATTCCGGCCTTTCGTGTCTTCAGGCTGCCACCCACGCGAGCTTCGTGACGGGTGGCCGTGATGGTCTGGTCCGGTGTTGGGACGCTCGCGCACAAAGGGGCATTGAGATGCTTGATCCCAAGGCAAACGGAATCTCGTCGTTGGCATGCCGCGAACAGTACATTGCGGTCGGTACGGAGAGTCTGAAAGAAGGTCTCGGAGATGTCAGTGTATTGCTTTTTGATACACGAAATCCGAGACAACCTATACGACAGTATAATGAGTCCCATACCGATACCGTGACGCAGCTGCAGTTCCATCCTGCGCAACCGCACGTGCTCTTGTCTGGTAGCACCGACGGGCTGGTCTCGGTATTTGACGTGAACCACGAGGATGAGGATGATGCGCTGCAACAGGTGCTGAATCCGAGATCTGCCGTCCACTGCGCCGGATTTCTGGCCCACGATGAAGCATATGTTGTCTCGACGGACGAGAAATACTCGATCTACACTCTCGCCAAGACTGCAGCAGAGGATGAGGAGTTGCCACCGCCTACTCAATTTGGGGATGTGCGCGACCAGCTCGACTGCATGTATGTGATTGACATCCTCGTGCAGCCAGATGGACCGCCTCTGATTGCCTATGGGCACAACGAGAAGCGCACGCTGGGAATCTCCTCACTCGGCATTCCTGGAGCCTGGGCTTTTGGCCAGAAGATTGATCTTCCTGGTGCTCATGGAGAGGAAGTCGTACGAGATCTGTTGCTCATCGAAAAGCGAGCATTCAGCTGCGGAGAGGATGGGAACGTCAAAGCGTGGGCACTGGGATGAGAATCACACATGTAGGTCAGTCAGCATTTCTTTCGTGCTGCCTCGAGCAGCAGCAGCATGACATCCCAGGGTGCAAGGCTACACTTTTTTCCGTCCCAGTTATGTCCCGTGGTGATCAGCTACACGTGTACGTGTAGCGCTTCTCCAGACTGCCAACCCCCCCTTTTTTTCACCTACTACTGCCTGAGCACGCTTACTCTCGTCCCTCCTTATATCCTTGCGCGCCTCCTACCTTTGTCATCACCGCGCACACATCGATACCCGATGGCACAGCTCACGACCGAAAGCAATATCAGCTGCTTTTCAGGTTATTGCTACTTCGTTTTCCCCACACGATGGTGAAAATACCATGAGGTTTGAGCGCGCGTCACAAAGCTTGGCAAAATCAAGACTTGCCACGATCTCATGGAGTTGGAATGATTGTGTGTATGTACTCTCCATTGAGCAGAGAGGTGGCGGCTCACAGTTTGACTTTTCGTGAGCTATATGTATGTAATGGAGATTGGAGAGGGGAGAGGGACGCGGGTGTAGACATTGCGAGAAGGACATCGTGTCTGTGAAGCAAGGGCGAGCTGGTGATGTCTAGGGGTGGCAAGATACCTTATGTATTGGCTACATGAATACATCCACCTCATATACATAAATGTATTACTGTATATACCTCGATTCATGCCCCGTTGAGACACACAACAGTGAAGATTGAACGTTTTGATCGGGCAGGGATGTTTCCGCGATAGAGTTATGCAGCCGATATTCGAACTCTTTGAAAGTTTAACTACCAGGTAGGTATGTTCCATAAGTTATGCACACCACCAACCAAGACTACTACATGTAGGTACACCAATCAGACCAGCTCATCGGCAATTGCTACCCCAGTATATCCAGAGAACCTCACCCTGCCCTGCGAGTCGCCCCGTACGACGTCAACCACCTACCAACAAAACATCTTATTACAAATACATGTACCGTCCATGTCGTGATATCGTCTTGCTTTTTTCGCGAGTCCTGTAGTGTTTTTGTTCTGGAAGTTGCTTGATGATAGAGTATATCATCTCTCTCACAAAAGTTGGAAGCTCTCGCAGACCACAGCAACAGCGGGCACTCACCCTCCTCCACACCAACACTTTCGACCACCCTCTCCAGGTTCCCCCTCCCCACATCCATCACCATGACCCAAATGAAGGAACCAGCAGACATCCGCGCCATCAAATCCTTGATTCAAGACTTCTTCAACGCCATCAACGCCGCAGATACCAAAGCTCTCGGTCACACATTCCTCCCCAACGGAACTCTCGCGATCATCAGACAAGACCCGCCGAGGAACCCGACAAGTGGTAGCGGAAGTAGTGGCAGTGGCAGTCAGGAAGACTATTACCCACAATACGCAGCTCTACCTACCCCTACAGGACCTCCTCCTACTGGTAGTGATAACAATGATAGCAATACCACAACAACAGCATCAGAAGAGCAAAAAATCTCTGTTATCATGCGCAGCTCCATTGAAAAATTCATCAAACTCATCGACGAAGCTTCCAGAAAACGCCGAGAGGGTGGAGCGCCGGATTTGAAAATTGTCGAGACGCCGGATTTGGATGCGACGGATGTCAAGGTGGATGCGTTGTTTGGCATGGCGTGGAGTCCGTTCAAGGTGACGTTTGATGGGGTGTTGCATCATTATGGCACGATTGTGTACACGTTGTGCAAGAAGAAGAAGGAGGGAGAGGAGGATGGATGGAAGATTGCGGGGTTGACGCAGAATTATAGGAGGGCCGTGGGGTGGGAGAAGGAGAGTGAATTCATGTGATTTGGTGGTGATGGAGAGAGGATGTGTTGAAAGGAGATTGCCCTCGTGGGACTACAAGTCTCTTGTCCTGTATGTCTGTATGTGTCTCGCTCCCAGACAGTACAAAACATCAAATGTCTGGATTGCGGACGCAGCTACGAATAGACTTACCTCCTAGGTTGCCCAGTATTGTATGATTTTACAGATACCTATATCTACCTGGGCAATTGATTTGGCAAGAAGAAGAGGACGGAAAAGTCGTGGCGTCCGCTTATTTCCAGCTGATTATCAGACTCGACTTTCGTCACGGAGTCAACTCACGCACTGTACCTTACCCACTGCAGAAGAGTATGTCTTGTGCTGCATCTCGTGAGAAGCTTGCTCTAGACACATTATGGTCTCCGAGCATGTAATAGAACACAAAATAGAGGAGGTGAGGTGAAGAGGATATCGAAAGATGGAAGTGTCGAGAACATGAAATTTTCCACGAAGCGCGAAGAGCGGTGACGGCATCACGTTTCGATCATACCTGACTTGGTACCTTCCTGTTGCATCCATCAACATCGACAACACCTACACCTACACATACCTACACCTACCTACACCACCACCACCACCACCACCACCCAACATCTTCCCTAAAGAGGTCAAGACCGAGACTCACCCTCTCCCCATGTGAACACGCATCAAAATGGTGTGGGATCAGTGCGTACCTACCTAGACCTCACCAAACCATCATGCCCACACCACCCGCCATCGCTGACCATGCATACTCCCATTTTCCCACCTCAGAATCGAGGCAACGCCTCCTCATATCACGTACTTGCTCTTGTCGACTTTTCTCATCAGCTATGTGCTCTTCACCAACTTCCTGAGAAATCGCCGTATGTGTGCCCAACGAGACGAAAAGACGACGAGGTCGAAATTGGGATGCGGAACTGACCATGCACGCCATGATATATCTATCTACCTTAGTGCATCTTTCTGAGCCTCCCATTGCGCTCATAGTGGGCATTCTTCTTGGTCCTGCAGTGCTGCAATGGCTCACGCCGAACTTTTGCGACTCCGAGGGCTGTGGTAGTGAATTTGCTGGAGGGTGGGGATGGGTGAGTTGGCAAACGAGATCGTGTCGTGATGACAAGTGAAAAAAAAGGAAACTTGAGACATACTAATATGAGAGATATCCACAGGGCGACGGAACAGTTCAAGAAATCACGAGAGTCATTGTAGGCATTCAAGTCTTCGCCGTTGGTGTGGAACTACCCAAATACTATGCAAGTCGCCACTGGAGATCCGTTGCCATGTTACTGGGACCCGTGATGGCTTTTGGATGGGGCATCTGCGCCATCTTCGCCAAATACATTTTTCAAATCGACTGGTCAACGGCTTTGGTCATCTCGGCATGTCTAACCCCCACGGATCCCGTCCTGGCAGCAAGTATCCTGTCCAACTCGCAGTTCTCGACACGCGTCCCGAAGAGACTAAAGGACATGTTGAGCGCCGAGTCGGGCTGCAATGATGGCGTCTCCTTTCCCTTTCTCTACATGGGATTGTTCTTCTTGACGCAGCACAGCACCGGCGATGCCGTCAGGGATTGGTTTCTCATCACTATTCTATGGCAATGCACGTTCGGTATCTTCATCGGACTGGTCATTGGCGTGACTTTCAATTGGGTTCTACGCTTCAGCGATGCGAGAAACTACATCGACAAGGCCGGTTTCACCGTCTTCTATCTCCTCCTTGCCATCTTTTGCGTTGGCGTAGGATCGACTTTGGACTCGGATGACTTCCTCGTGGCATTCGGTGCGGGATACGGCTTTGCTAGAGACGGCTGGTTTGCAAAGAAGACCAAAGAAGCACATCTGCCCCATATCATCGACCTGCTTCTCAACTCGAGCATGTTTGTCTATGTCGGCACGATATTGCCCTTCCAATCCTACCACGATAAGATCTTGACACCCTGGATCACTGTTCCGCGGTTACTCGGATTTCTGGTTCTCGTCTTGCTGTTCAGACGGATTCCAGTCGTGCTCGCCACCTACCGATTCATTCCCGACATTAGAACGATTCGAGAAGCACTCTTCTGTGGACACTTTGGGCCTATGGGACTCGGTGCTCTCTTCCTGGCCGTGGAAGGGCGAGCTGTGCTGGAAACGGGGACCAGCACGCCAGATAGTCACCCACCAGAGTACTCGCCTCCTTTGACCGATCGACAAAAAGCAATCGAGACCATTTGGCCGGTAGTCTCATTCATCGTTCTTGGAAGCACTCTTGTCCATGGACTCAGCGTTCTCGTATTGAGCGTCGCTTCGCATTTGAGAAAGTATAAAAAGGATCGTGCGGGAGTAGTCGCGGCTGAGACGGACCCTCTCACTGGTATGGTTCACGATGAGGGTGATGGCGGCAGTGCCTCGGAGACTACCGACGACGAACACGGACAGGTTTAGCTTTGAGTGCTGCTGTCGTAGACTAGCTTTGTGCGGCCCTCCAGCGCGGATTGTAGGCTCTGCATCACCTGTGTGACTAGCTCATGGGAGTAAAAAGCTACACCTAGCTCTTGACTTGTGTACCAGGATGCACGATCCATATTTCCACTGCCGAAGACGATGGCTTCCTCGTCCACCACGGTGAGTTTGAGATGAGACTGCACGGGCTCCGCATCGCCGCCTGTCTTTGCCTTTGCCGCTGCTCCTGAACGTGGTTCATAATACGACACGCGTAGCGAGCCCATTGTTCCCCCTCTCCCCGCTTCCAAATCCCCCATTCGCCGCTCCCGCTCCAGCACCGCCCTCTGATACTTCTTCACCAACCCCCTCACACACCACCCCGTCGTCCTCCCCGCCGTCACGAGTTGTTCCACCCTCATCAATCTCTCACTCGTCACAATCGTCACTTGCACGCCCCGCTCGACCGCTGCTCCCCAGAGTGCGTCGAGCACGGGTGCACAGGTGAGATTGGGCGTTTGGATGTAGATGCTTTTGTGCGCGGTGGTGAAGAGGTGGAGGAGTTCGAGGTTGAGAGGGGTTGGAGGGGCTGGAGAGGGGGGTTGCCAGGGAAAGAGGTGGAAGTGTGGGTTGCGGTGGTGTGGGGAGGGGAGGAATTTGTAGGGTATGTTTGGGAGGGTTGTTGTTGTTGTGCTAGGGGAGTTGTGGTGGTGGAAATCTTCTTGGTCTTCTTGGTCTTCCTGGTCTTGGTCTGGTTCTTCTTCTTCTTCTTCTTCTTCTTCTTCTTCTTCTCCTTCTTCTTCTTCTCCTTCTCCTTCCTCTTCTTCTTCTTCTCCTCCCCCATCCCCCTCACTCCTCCAATTCTCCTCCCAAAACTCCACAAACTTCCTCACCACCCCTTCCCCTTGCACCCTCACCCCTCCTTCAAACCATTCTTCCCACGAAACATTACAACTCGGCAACCACACCTCTTTGCGATCCACAATGACAAATTTCGGATGCCATACACTAAACGGTAAGAAGAAAATACTCTTGATTTCTAAATCTAAACCGCGCCACAATTCTTTTTCTTTTTCCTCTTTTTCTGATGATGATGATGATGACGATAATGACGATGATGATGGTGACAACAATCCCCTTTTCCCAAAAACCTCCTCACCAGAATAAACTTTCCCTTGCTTCGAAGAAGTATGAGTTAATTTCTGCCAAACTGAAGACGAGGAGAAACCGATTCGGACTTTTATTTTCTTTTGTTGTTCCTTCCCCTTCTTCTTCTTCTGTTGTTGTTGTTGTAAAGCATGACTTTTCTCACTCAACTGCAGTAAAGTCTCACGAAGACGAGCAAGTGTCTCGCTCGCCGTGGACCAGAAACAGGTAATCAGAATGACTTCGTGTTGCGCGGATAGAATTGCGGGCAGAATGGAGGTCTGGTAGATTTGGAGGCCGGTGGTGAAGGGGAGGGGGGTGATTGTTGCGAGGGCTTGGGAGGGGGAGGAGGACATGTTGATGGGAAGGGAATGGGAGGGGAGGGGAGATGGGAGATGTTGTTGGGTAGGTAGTTGGTTGTTGTTGTTGATGATGATGATGGTGATGTTTTGGGACGGGACGGGACGGTTTATCGGGATCGGGTACGCAATTTACGGAAATCTAGATGTTGCAAGGGGGACAAAAATATCGATCGGCTGGAGAGTTTTGCCTAAGGCTGCAAGAGTAAAAGAAATTCTAGAATTCCCTCAAAGAGAATTCTCGTCAAGACATTGTAGGACAAGCTGGCCGAGTTTCCGTCTCTGAGCGACATCTATATGCCTGTGCACGCCGCTCTGGAGAACGAGACGGTGTTGGAGCAGCAGCATAGGATAGTAAGCAACAGTGTCGATACGATCTTGTGCATTCAGGTGCGATACTCCGTCACCGACCTGGAGACAGTCGCCAAGATCGTCTACCGTCTGCTCCAGCCGGGTAGAAAGTTGATTTTCTAGGAGCACTGTGCGAGCACGTATTGGTAGCCGAGAGTTGTTCGGCGTAAGTACATATTATACCCATCCATCACACCCACGTTCCGAAATATCATGGACGCAGAGCCCCTTTTCTATCATCTCATTGAAAATATCTTTCGCTTCCAGGGGGATATAATGTGATTTGGTCAGCACTCGTCGGCTACTAACTACTGTCATCTCGGAGTCGACGTCCAGGCTACCGTCCTCTACGCTGGCTCGTGGGATGCGACTGTGTTGGGTCATGATGAGATGGCGGGCTACAACTTGATGCCACATTTGTGGGGTTGTCTGACCGAGCAAGTAAAAGGAACTGATTAGGGCGTGTGAGAGCAAGTGAGGGAGTGCAGTGGTTAAAGTGTTTTCGGAGGGGTGGGGGGCGGGGGCTCGTCCCGCTGATCGGGAATCGGGCCGCGTGGACACACTAATAACAACAAACCTCCTAAACACACTTCGGATTCGTGCCTCTTCCGGAGCTATACTACTACCTCCTATACCGGACAGGGGAACTCATTGTGATGGTTGCGACCGAGGGTATGTCCGTGTTGCTTCGCGAGCGGATAATGGCTCCCGCATCGACGACTTTCCAACTTCCCTCACCGACACCGCCATCCGGCCTCCCTCGCTGAGTTACCTTATTTCAATGGCAGTCCGCTTTCGCTATTGTCCGCCCTCCGCAGTCGATTCGAGCCTGCTGCAGCACCACGCTTCCGTAGACGATCGCAATCAGATCATTTGTAGCCAGTGCCGGCGCACTCTTGTTCCTGTCCCTCGTGCTGCAGCATCATCGGGGAAGCGCCGCCCTACTCTTCAAGGAGTTCACCCTGAGAAGCAGAGCATAGAGCGTATCCTATCGGCAGACACGAGAGTAATCATGTCATCCAAGAACATCACCGTCGTAGATCTGTTCGACCAGGCCGCACTGCGCGATCCTTCTGGCATCGCGGCCACGTTCGACGGGAAGAGTGTCTCGTACGGTCAGCTTCGAAATGCCTCGATACGCAGAGCGGTCCGACTGCGCGCACAGGGGTGCAACCTCGTGATAAAGTCCCGCTGCTCACGACCATAGGCTTGGACATGCTGGTAAGCATGCTTGGCATTCTGAGGACAGGCGCATGTTATTGCCCCATCGATGTGATTGCATGGAGTCCGGCGAGGATCCTGACTGCGTTGCGCGCTGTGGGCAGTGCATTGTTGGCGTCAACAGTCGCGCGCGTGGACGTCGTCGAGCAAGCGGGAGGCTACCAATTATGTGCCGTGTCTGTCCACCGTCCGGGGGCAAATGCGTATGGAGGACCTCATCTATATCATCTTCGCCAGCGGGACTACGGGTAACCCCAAGGACGTCATGGTCTCGCATGGCAGCGCCGCTCACCTCATCTGTCAGGACTTTCCGGGCGCGATGCGAGTCCGTCCTTCCGAAAGAGTGCTCTTGTTCTTCTCTGTCGCTTTTGACGGTTGCGCTGGTCTGATCTTCTCCACCATCTGCCACGGCGGCACCCTCGCCATGGCCACGCCGAGTGATGTGATTGATGTGGCGGGTACTTGCACGACGCTGGTGGTGACGCCTTCGACTCTGGCTAGTCTGACGCCCATTCCGCAGTTTGATCGCGTCACAGGTATCTATATGGGCGGAGAGGCCCCCAGCGACATTCTCGTGCAGAGGTCGACCACGCCGACGAGAAAGGTGTATAATTGTTATAGGCCCATAGAAGGCACAACAGCCGTCTCCAGCACCGTATGTTCCGATCACTCTCCCCGCCAACGAACTGTGCTGACCCTAAGGCAAAGGTAATGCAACCCGGTGGACCGATCGTGCTAGGCGAGTTAGTCTCGGGCGTCGAGATCATCTTGGTGGACGATGAAATCGAACATAGTGTTTAACAGGGCGAGATTTGCATTCGCGGGCCCTGCCTTGCGGTGGGCTATCTCAACGATGAGCAGCGCACGCCAGAGAAGTTCTTCTTTCGTGACGGTGTCCGCCACTATCGAACTGGCGACTTGGCGCGTCGCAACGCTGATGACAGCCTGAGCTTTGTGGCGCGTATAGACCGCATTGTCAAAAACCGTGGATGTTTGGTCAACCTAGAAACCGATGTCAGTGGTGTGGTCGTTCTACGGTGTGATTCACCTGCCTGGAAAGGGGCTCTGCTGACTTGATCTCTTCCCGGGTCAAGCCTGCGCTACGCTCATTCCATGCTGTGCAACAAGCTGCTGCATGCGTCTCGCCCACGACCAAGCAACTGGTCGGGTTCGTGACACCCGCGGATGTAGATGTCGCCCAGCTGCGCGAACATCTCGTTGTTTCATGCGACGCCTTCGTGGTACTAGACCTGGTCTTCGCCGTTCACGGATTCCCGCTCACGGCAAATGGAAAAGTCGATGCCAAAGCCCTGCTATCCGCTATGCCTTCGACCGCAGCTACCTCGGTCGAGACATCCTCCTCGTTGACCAATTCTCTAGCGTGGCGATCGCTAGTTAAAGGCTTCACTGCTGTTTTTGCACAGCCTACGAGCCAGATTAACGCGGCATCTTCTTTCAGTGCCTTGGGTGGCAACTCTCTCGCTGCTGTAAAGCCCATGTCACGTCTGCGACACGAGGATTTCCGTTTACCACTGCCCAAGATCTTTGAACTGGACACTTTTGCGGCTATGGCAGGGTTTCTGATCCAGTCTCAGTCATCGAAAGAGGAGGAAGAAGAAGGTGACTCGTCCAGCGCGCCACTTACAACGCACCAGATGGAGTTGCTACGGCAGACTCAGGCTCATATGGACGCCAATTATATTTTCTGCTCTTTGACCAGGCGGACGACTGCCGGCGACAAGCTTGCTCCCACACCAACTTGCTTACGCCGAGCCTGAGAGAAGCTGTTCCAGCGCTATGATATCTACCGAGCGAAGCTGGACCTCGCCTCCGGCTTACAAACGATCTGTGATAGTCCCTCGTATAAATGGTCAGAATTTTCTGCCGATAATGTGGAACAAGTCCAGCTCATATCCACCCGCGATGCTCTCTGGACTCGACTGCGTGCGCAAGAGCGTCCTACGTCGCCAAACATGCCCGATTTCTGGATTTTCTACGTCCCTGGAGAGATCACGCATATAAATTGGATGATGCACCACACGTATAGCGATGCATAGTCTTTGGGAATCGTGCTGCGTGACCTGGAGGCTCTCCTAGAAGACGCAGATCGAGACTTGTCGCCAGCTCCCGGCTTTCTGCCTCTCGCTCGGAGACTGGCCACACGAGCTACTCGGGATCAAGATGCTATCAACACTTATTGGCGAGAGTATGTACATCCTTACGCAAAGGAAGTGCGCTTACTGAAGCTACCTCCCCAATCGCTATCCACATTCGTCGCTACGAGTCTGGACCAGGAAGATGGGCATACCTTACGGAAAGAAGTGCCGGGCATTTCCAAGGCATCTTTGGACACCTTTGCACGCACCAACGGCGTCTCGCCTGCAAACGTTATCTATACGGCTTGCACACTAGTGCTTGCGGCTCGCACAGGCTCTTCGATCGTGGGCACTGAACTCAGTGTGCTGGGTCGCGCACTAGACTTTCCAAATGTCGACCGCATCGTCGGATCATTCAATGGAAGATGTCCATTGCTATTCAAGTTCTCACCAGGTGCTTCGCTTTCAATGACCATGATGGAATTACAGCGGACATATCATGCCGTGAACGAGTGGCAATGGACGTACCCCCAATTCCGACAACACGTCCCTAGGTTGGCCGGCCATACGGAACGAGGCTTCCCTGTGTGTTTAGTGCTTCTCGACATGCCCGTCGACGCGGGCTTGTGGGATGCGAGAGAGCTACAGCTGCTTGGGACGGGCAGCCAGCCAATGAATCGAGACGAGAAAGGAGAGAGGATTACCGTTCATATTGTGCAGCGAGGAGATGCGATTTCTGTTCATTTCGGATACGATCGGAAACGATATGACCACGAGACCGTCGTAGATCTGCAGGAGCATTTTGTTGCGGTACTACAGGCATTGTGCAGTGGTGGTACGAACCTGGATGTTGCAACTTTTCTAACTAATGTCTCCCAGGGAACACATTTAGATTGGTAGAAAATATCGACGCACTGACATAGCCCATATTGCTTCAGGATTTGACGGGCAATCGCGTTAAGCGTGTGTATAGGGAGAGCAGACAGCTGAGAGTAGACGAGTAAGTTTGGCAGCCTTGATACACCTAGATGGCCTGCTGAATACCTATAGTACGTAGGTAGAAGAGTGCCTGCAGGCCGGTTGTCACGTGCAATAGAAGCAGAAGTGCAAGTACTCACTAACTGCAAAGCGTATGCTTCTCTCTCGCATGTGACAGTAGACCTGTGGCCTGGCCCGAGTAGCAAATCCTTTGCTGAAAAATGCGAATTCTTACTCATCCATTCCCCCCTTACCCCTTTCCCCCTGCGACCAGACACGCAGAGAGCTATGAGAGTACAGATGGCCTGACTAGATTCTCGGGCGTGCCTGGCTAGGAAGAGAGCCGAATACCCCTGCCATGCCGGTTTGGGCTGGTGGCCGGCAGATTCTCTCCCACGCAAGGAAATGTCAGCAAACTACGTTCGACGGCTTTATTCTTCGTCTACACCTTTGCCAACAACTTACCCTCTAGTGACTACCATCCCTTTCATTGGCCACGATGGGTGGTAGCGTCGTTCAAGAGCTGTTACAGCAGATACTGTCCCATCCCATACTGGCCGTCAGCGCCGTCGCTGTGCTCTACTTGGCAGGCCTCGCGACTTATCGACTCTTCTTCCACCCACTGTCCAAATACCCTGGACCGAAGATCGCCGCCATCACAGTCTGGTACGAGTTCTACTACGATGCGATCCAGCGCGGGAAATACACATTCGAGATCCAGCGCATGCACGAGAAATATGGGCCAGTGGTACGAATCAGTCCCGAGGAAATCCATGTCAATGAGCCATCTTTCATTGATGAGCTGTACGCTGGAGGTGGCAAGCGAAGGGATAAATATCCCTACTACAGTGGCCAATTCGGCATTCCCGACAGCGTCTTTGGGACTCCAGGACATGACCTTCACCGTCTACGCCGTGGTGCCCTCAATCGGTTCTTCTCCAAAGCCTCCGTCACCCAGCTCGAACCGATTGTGCACACTGCCATAGAGAAGCTCATCTCTCAATTGCGAACACATGCAGGCTCCGGCAAGCCGGTGGCTTTGAACGATGCCTTCAGCTGCATGACTACCGATGTGGTGATGGAGTATGCCTTTGCGAAAAGCTACGACTTCCTGGGCTCCCCGTCATTCCAGCCCAATTTTCACCGCGCCATCATCGCTGGGACGGATATGGGACCCTGGTTCAAACAATTCCCGTGGCTCATTTTCCTAATGAACAAGCTACCAGAATCAATCGTCACCCGTATGAATCCCGAGGCAGCGATATATGTACGCTTCCAAGAGGACATCCGGCAACAGATTCGAAAGACACAAGATCGTCTTGCGACAGATCAGATGGAGGAAATCAAAACCACTGGACCGAGTCGCACCATTTTCCACGAATTGCTCACAGGAGACCTCCCAGCGCAGGAAAAGCGACTCGAGAGACTCTGGCAAGAAGGCCAGATTGTCATCGGAGCCGGAACAGAGACTACAGCGTGGGGACTGAGCGCAACAATCTTCTATCTCCTCGAAAACCCTCTCCTCCTGGCCAAACTACAATCCGAGCTCGCCGAAGCCATTCCCGATCCCACGCAACGAGTCTCCTGGAGCACCCTCGAACAACTCCCCTATCTCAGCGGCGTCGTCAGCGAAGGTCTCCGCCTCTCTTACGGAGTCAGCACACGCCTCCAACGCATCAACCCCGTCGGTCCTCTGCGTTGCACCACTCGCGACCTCAAGACGGGACGTGCTGTGCAGTGGGAATTCCCTGCGGGCACGCCCGTGGGCATGTCTGCGTCGTTGATTCATATGCATCCGGAGCTGTTTCCGGATCCGACGGTGTTTCGGCCGGAACGCTGGTTGGATGAGAAGACGGGGAAGAAACATCATGGTCTTGATGGGTATCTTTTGGCGTTTTCGAGGGGTTCGAGACAGTGTATTGGGATCAAGTGAGTTTTTTTTTTCTTTTCTTTCTACTTCATCTTCGTCTTCTTCTTCGTCTTCGTTTTCTTCTTCGTCTTCTCCTTCTTCCTACTCGAATTCCATTGTAACTCGAGCAACTTGCAAACCGAGCAACTAACTCATACTTTGCAATAGTCTCGCATATGCCGAGCTCTACATGGCCCTCGGATTATTGATTCGACGCATGGGCTCCAGTTTGCGATTGTTCGAAACGACGAAGCGGGACGTGGAAATGGTATATGATCGATTTGTGCCGACGCCAGAGGACGGGACCAAGGGGATCAGGGTATTAGTGCTGGGGAATGCGAAAGAAGGAGAATCGTGAGTGGAGGTTTTTCTGTTTCTCCGTACGTCTGCTGCAGTACTCAAATGAGATGGCAGATTCGAAGACCAAACTAGTCTAGCAGCTGGTCCCGAACACATTCATACATACTATGTGGAAACACAGAAGAAGAGGCGATTCAGGGCTTGGCTCACCCCTTTGGACTGAATGAATGAATGAATGTGGCCGGCAGCAAGCAGTAGTAGCAGCGGAAAGCTAGATACCTAGATAGCATTTGTGTGTATGTATGTAGGTAGTAGTGTTATAAATCAAAAAAAAAAAAGAAGACGTGCTCCCCCCGTATGTGTTCATTCTCCTCTATTCTTGCTGCCATGTGTACTCTCTCTCACACTCTCTCTCCCCCCTGTCTCTCTCTAAACCTCACGAAGAATCAATCTCACATGCTGAGGAAGATGTGTCATCCCATCCGTCGCCTTCCACTCCTCAAGTGCCTCAGGAAGAGGATCCAAAATAAAATTCCACACAATCAACACGTAAATGATGCGTAAATTTTGATACGCCAATTTTTTGCCTAGATGTGGGTATCAGCGGAAGAAGTAAAAGTGCCAGTTTGCATTTTCACTCAAAAAGAAAAAAGACAAGAAAATCATGACACAGCCTTTCTGGGAAAAGGGGGGTTGAAATGAAACGTACCATAACAAGCCCGCACACCACTACCGAAATTCTGCATGGGAGCAGCTCGGGAATTGAATTTGACAACTTTACCGCCATTTTCTCCCTCTTCCTCTTCGATTAACCATCGATCGGGGCTATTTATCACACGTCAATAAACAAGTCTCGATGTCAGTGACAAGAAAGCAAAGCAAAAGAGGCTGTTCTTTTTTTGCTAATCGAGAGAGAAACAGAAAAAAACATACTTGTACTGATCCAGATTTTCCGAATTCCAACTATCCGCAGAAGATTTGTATTCTCGACTTGAATGGCTACGTTTATTTTCGTCGATTGGCATGGCGGGACGTAGGATACTTGGTCCGTTGGTCTGTAGGTAGTGTTAAATCATCATCATCATCATCATCGGCGTAAGGTGTAAGGTGTATGAAAACCCCCCTCCCTCCCCCCTGAAATATATTGCCAGAAAGATACATAGATATACGTGTACGCACACTTACCAGCATATAAACGTCAGTCCCCCTGGGAACGACATATCCAAGAACATCAGCATCCCGAATTGCCACGCGCATATTAACAGAAATCACGCAAGAATGGCGCAGAGATTCCTCAATAAAAGCATCCAAGTATGGAATACTCGTTTTACAAATTTCCTTCGCAGTGGGTTGTCTTCCGGCCTGGCGAGCCTCGCAAAAAGCATCCAAGAGACTTGTCCGAAGTTTCTGTTGCACATTTTGGTAGCCAGTTAAGTATTTCAATCCCCAGTGAATTGTCGATGAGGTCGTATCGAAACCTGCTTGGAGGAATCCGGCGAGTTCGTCGAAGAGGACTTGATGGTCGGGAAGGTTTTTTTTTCCTTCTCCGTCTTTTTCGGCGAGCTTGCTGGCTCGCTCGACGACCCATTCGGCGGCACATTTGACTTCGGGGACTTCTTCGTCTTGCGGGTTGGTGTGGGAAACACGTTGTCGAGCATGGTGGAGTCCATCGTTGATTAGTTTGTTGCGAAAGGCAAAGGCACGACGTAGACGAGGGTAGAATTTGATGGCGAACGCTGGGGCATGTTTTTGTCAGCATGGACATGAATATGGTCTGGATATATCGACCTGTAATTTTTGTGTCGTGCGTGGGAGTTCTCACCAAGATGCCAACTCCCCAGTGGAGAATTCATCGCAATCTCGCCACTGGTTACGGTGGCTAGTAAAGCACCCCAAGCCTCCGGAAGCGTTGTCTCGGGAATTGAAGCAACATGGTCAAGAGAATCTGGAAGGTCGAGTTGAGTGAGTTTGTTAAGATTGTCTTCCTGGGAAGTAGTGATGCCCACTCGTGCACCAAATGCTACACTGCAAATGGTATCTAGAGTGGCGAATTGGACGTCTCTGCTGGCTTCAAAGGCATGTCCTCGGGCTAGTCTTGCCTTGTGACGCCATCTTTTGGCAACTGTTACTGAAGCCCCTATTCGATATATATATATTGATATATTATTATCGATGATCAGTTTCCACTTACACGCTTATGAGATCAAGGGTGGTACTATGAATCAGCGGCGCGGCCACCCCGTCCAGAAAAGGAGGAGACATGAGCTCCCTCATCAGGAGTCGATTGTAGCGCCATTGATCATGTGTGGGCATACAGATCTGATTCTTGGGAAAAATCGGAGCGAACATTTTCTTCATGAACCCGGATCGATCAAACTCTCGGCCTCTCTGGGTCATAATATCGTGGGATCTATCACCAAAGCGTGTGAGCTTACTTGCCATTTCTCTTGCAAGGAAGGCATTGCTGCTGCTCTCCTGCTTACTCGCGGCAGTCGACCAGAATCACCCATGGCTTGGAGAATGGTCGCATGAAGACTTGGATAATGGGCGAGCCCAGCTCCCGACATCTCTGCTCGAAAAAGGACCATAGCTCGGATGTTTCTGCAAGATGCGCGAGCGAGTCGGGGATGTCTCCCAGGAGGCGGTCCGCAGAAGCTGGATTGTAGGGAATTCCTGGTATTGGCTTCGGCTTTGCTGTATACCAGATGAATGTACATGCGAGTATACCAACAATGGGAACCAACAAAATGAGCTGCAACGGCATGGCAGACATAGTTTGGAGGAAGACCATGTCGTTGTGGATGCAGAGTGACGAACAGCAGCGGCTCTGGAGCAACGATTCCAGCGATAAAACAAGGACATTAGCCATCGTTGACCAACGCTCGTTGGATGTCTCACGACTTTCCTAAACTGGCAATTTTTACTCGATGCTTTCCTCTCTAGGTAAGACTCCGAGCGTAGCACGACCGACGAGAAACCTTAATTCAACCTCAGTCCATACGGCTCACGACGAGTTGGAAGAAGTCCGGGATACCTACTCAAACTCTATAGGAGAACTCTGTCGACTCGGACGCTATATCGCCCTTTTGCAACATTGTGTACCGATAAAGCTAGATTCCCCCAACCCCGTCACGCTCTCACCACCAACGATCTGACATGACAGCCCCTTTCGAGAAAAGCGTCGAATAATCGACCGCTCCGGTTGGTGCATCAGAAAAGGGGTACGATGCAGGCCTCACTACCATCTCGATCGGCAAACTTTTGAGCGGAGACGAGTCCACCCACGATCAACTGTTTCGCGCGTCCAAGGACTTGGGCTTCTTCTAAGTTGTATGTTCGCGATCTCCGACCCGAGAAGTAGCCCGCCAGATTGAATTGATCACGTCCGTTGCTCATGAATTCTCCAATCAGCCATAAGAGGAAAAGAGCATATGAGAAAGGGATGAGGACCATATCGATGCGGATCCGATTGCTATGGGGTACCACCCTCAGTTTCTTCTCATCCATGTCAGATGTATATGTGTGTGTGTGTAGCCAGACTAACGCGACTACATTCAAACACAAGCCAGCGGAAAATCAGACAGGATCTGCAGCGGGCAAAAAACGATGCCTTGTATGCTCTTCGAATATGCTCTCTCCTGTGCCCCTCGTGCGCGACTTGTCAATGGACCCAGCGTCTTCCAGCAGAATTGAAGCCATGAATGAGAGTCTGGGAGATATCGGCCATACAATTCTCGAAAAAGCTTGTCTCAATCTCTCCATCTGGACCTAAACAAGAACTTCGCTGCTCACCACCGCAAAGGCCAAGTTTCCCCTACCGCGCTCGATCTACTCAAATATCTTCCTTATAAAGTCAAAATCTAAGGCCATACAGTCGGCCACGTGCCCCACACTGATATTCGTAGCCTCTCCATAGTATTTTCCGACCTATCAGGACTTCAAATCTAACAACCCGAGAAAAGAGTCGTAGATGTACATTCAAGCGAGAGAAGGGTGTATGGTATGCAACATTGGAGACTCTGTCGAGTTCTGATCGGACAATGTTCTGAGATCGTCGTTACACCGCGTTACCCCTTTTCTAGCCGAGGCGGGCAAAGTGAAACTCACAGTCGTATATATTGAGCGTCCTGAGACGGATGCCGTGTTTGTGGATCGCGAGGGCAAGCAGTGGAAGAGTGTGGATTGGCGTAATATGAAGCAGAGGTTGTTTGCGAAAGATTTGGAAGCGCAGAAGACAAGTTTGGCTACGACTGGTGGGCTGGGTCACAATGATCTGAGGTCGCTGCTTGAAGTGATTTGTTATCTCAAAATTTACTGTCTCTCGCCCGTTTCAACTCTTGATCTCTATGTCAACTAGTCGACACGATGTATCTCCCTTTCCAGAATGCATTCAAGAGGTCACGAGATAAGGGGAGATTATATCAAAGTATCGAAAGAGTCACGTCGTGCTACATGAGCGGTATCGAGTTGCAATATCGCCTGCTACCTTTCTCGCTCTCTCTCTGTGTCCCTCTTTTTCACTCTTTTTTCTCTCCATGCCCCCCTCGGAATCGGCTCAAATTAGAAGGGTTCCGCTAGTGTATCAACCTCCTATTTCGGTAAAACGTATTTCTACCCCCTGGACGACCCAACCGTCGCCTATCGGTTGACATGGCACTAACGAGAGGACCAAAATTTTGATATAGTCGAATCGAATTCAAGGAGTGTCTTTGCTACTGTCGTTTCTAATCATCCATGGACGACATGGCACCCCAGGCTCTTCTCATGAGCGAACGCTTCTCCTTCTTCTTTTCCGGGATCACTTTAGGCCCAGTATTGGGTTTGCTCACGTTGCCATTTCTAGCCCTGTACTGGTTTTTGAAGAAACCAAAGGGCTTCGATGTTGATGTTCCGCTCTTGACGAATGAGTCTGAGGACTTTATGGAAATTCTGCAAGAGGGGTATACCAAGGTGTGAATTTTTCGTTTCTTTCTCTTTCCCTCCCTGAAAAAAAGGAAAAAAAAACAGAAAACGTACAAAGCTTGGGTCTGATGGATATGAAACTTAGCATCCTCGAAGCTTGTTCAAAATCCCGACTTCGAACAAGCCCATGGTAATTGTACCGACAAACATGCTGGACGACCTCAAAGCCTACCCCGAGGAAGCCATCAGTTTCAGAAAAGAAATGTCCGATCGTTTCTTGGGACGATATACATCCGTGGCATCCAACAGCGAGGCAATGATACAATCCGTAAAATCAAACTTGACACGAGGCCTGGATTCCGTCATCCCAATCATGCAAGAAGAAGTAAAATATGCCCTCGAGGAGTGCATTGAAAACGAGACAATGGATGCAGAAGGTTGGGTGAAAGCACCATTATATGCACTATCCGTTCGAATCATAGCCTTTGTATCGAGCCGGGTATTCGTAGGACTACCACTGTCACGAAACCAAGAATGGTAAATATAAAAAAGCGCCGAAAAAAAAATATCAACGGCGAGAGCATCGTTTTGATTGACTGATGAAAAAAATAGGATCGACATGGCCATTAATTCGACATTCGACTCTTTCGTGGGCGCCGCCGTGATGTACAAGTATCCCTCCTGGTCGTGGGCAATTATGCGATTCTTCGTGCCTCAAACAAGACGAATCCAGCAATGTCGACGTCGAGTGGGAGAGATGTTGAAGCCTATTCTCAAAGAGCGAATGGAGCACGCAAAGAATAATCCAGGCTCCAAAAAACCCTCTGATATGATACAATGGTTAATCGACAACTCCAACGGAAGAGGCGGAGACTTGCCATTTCAAGCCAACGAGCACATTGTCATGAATGTCGCAGCAACACATACAACTGGTGGACAACTCGCTCATACACTATGTGCTCTCGCACAACACCCCGAATACATCCCGATTCTGCGAGAAGAGCTACAAGAGGCTTTGAAAAATCTCAAAGCTGGCGAGAATTTGAATAAAAAAACTCTGTTCCAGTTGAAGAAAATGGATAGTTTTATGCGGGAAGTTCAAAGGATGAATCCTCCTGGAATGGTCTCGGCGAATCGAAAAGCTCTTCAGCCTATTAAGTTGTCGAATGGAGTTATTGTCCCGACAGGCACATCTTTGGCAACTTTGCCCGCGTGTGTCAGTATGGATCCCAAGATTTGGAAAAACCCGAATGAATTTGACGGACTGAGATTTTACAATTTGCGGCTGGCGGAGGGGGAAGAGAAATATCAATTTGTGAGCGTCAATGAAGAGGCTTTGAGTTTTGGTGAGTTTCTGAATGTTTACTATCCCTCTCTCTCTCTCTCTTTGAAGTTCATATATATATATAGCCAGCATACTGACCATGATCATTTATTCCTCTTAGGACATGGAAGACACGCCTGTCCCGGTCGATTCTACGCTGCCGCAGAGCTGAAAGTGGTTTTGGCCGAGATACTCAGCACGTACGATATCAAGTTGTGTGAGGGCTATAGCAAAAGCCGTCCTCTGGGAGCATGGATGGAGATTATGGCTGCTCCTGACCATACATATGAGCTTTGTTTTCGTAAAAGAGCAGCTGCATGATTCCGAAAAAAGAGAAAGAAAAACAGCGTGTGACTGGGGAGGTCCAATGAGTAGATAGTCGAGAAGAAGAGAGAGTTTCGTCTATAAGCAGTAATCTTGAGGCATCCCACCTATCTTCTTGCAGCCCTCACGAAGTCTCTGCTGCATACAGAAAAGTCGACGAAAAAAAAAATATCTTAGCTAGGTACTCCTTGGAGAGACTTTGACCATAAGCGCTGGCTTCTCCCAAACGGTGTGCATACGAGACTCTCCATGCCAATCCAATTCCTGATCGACGAGTTCCAAATCATACGTATAAATCATCTTTGCCATGGTGGTCATAAGTTCCGTCCATCCAAGACTGCAATGGAATATATTCCTGGTCAGCGTTTTTCTTTTCTTATTCCTTTCTCAGAAGACAATAGCTACTACTGTGGAATACACGTACCTTCGGCCGAGACATGCTCGACTACCGTAGGAAAATGGTTGACTGGCCTCAAGAGCATCGGTGCCCTCGCTCTTCTCCAGCCAACGCTCAGGGATAAACTCCCAAGGCCGATCGAAATTCGCAGAAGACATACTTGCTGCGAATGTGCTGGTGGAAACGACAGTCTGTAAGAGATATGTGCATACACACTCTGTCAGTGGAAAAAAATACCATCGACGAAGAAGACATGGGTGGGGGGAAAATAATGGAATACGTACGCCGCCTGGCAAGAATTGACCATCAACGTGACAACCAGGCTCCGGTACGACTCGCGGCAAAGCAAATGGTAGAGGTGGATAAATCCGCATCGCCTCTTGAGCTACGGCTTTCAAGTACTTGAGTGGTATAGTGCTCGCAGAATCAATTTCTTCGTATCGAGAAAATGCAGATCGGACTTCTTCCTGGAGTCTCGCCATGATTGAAGGGTTTTTGAGGAGATAATATGTCATGCAGGATAGTGCAGTTGCTGTCGTTTCACTTCCTGCGATGCTGTATGGAGTTAGCCTTTTTTCTTTTTTCAACTTTTCTTTTCTTCTAATGTGAAATCTTCTGTGACGGCATTTACATACACGAAATCGGAAGAGTGAGCGGCGATTTGGGCTTCGGAAATGTCGGCCTCCTGGCGTGCTTCGATGATTTTGGTGAGAAAGTCGTGTCGATCCGAATGTGTTGCGAGACGTCTAGCACAGAATCAGCTGAAAGTCGCAATTTCCCATCGCCCCCTTTTTTCCCCCCCCTCGCGTACCTTTGCACCAGATCCATTGTGTACTGTTGATGCTTGCGATTCTCAACCATCAACTTATCGATAAAACTCGAAAACACCGTCTGAACAATCGTCGACAACATAGGAAATCGACGAAAAAAGTCCGCAAGAGCACCAAGTCGCAAACTCTTGGAAACGATAGCCACCCAAAAGTGCTCGGTTCCAGATTCCACTCCACCAAAATCCTGACCGAAAGCGAGACTTCCAATGATATCGAACGTCATCAAATTGTACCACATAACCATATTCGTCCCTCGATTCCCCTGCCCCGCCTCTCCCAATTTCTTAACAAATAAATCCACCGAATGAGCAATCAAAGGTTCCTGCGCCTTCAACGATCGATCCGAAAACGCACTCGCAAGATATTTCCGCATCTCCGCATGTTTTTTCGGATCGCGTTCACTCACAATAGACAGCGCTTCCGCAGCGAAATTCCCTCCATCGTAAAATTCGCTTTTGATGAATGTTCCGATCCCTTTTCGTGGGCCGTAGATTTCCAACCAGGATCGAGCGGAACTGAAACTGACTTCGTTGGGCGCTACACGAACGATTGAGCCGTATTTTTCGTGCAATTCGAGTTGCCGGTAGGGTTGGCGACCGCGCATGAAATTCCAGGAGTAGAGGGTATTGCTGAATGAGGCGGATAGGGGGCCGGGGATTTTTCGTAGAGGGTGTTTATACCAGACCCAGAGTCGATAGAGACTTAGGGTCAATGTCTGTGAGACGGAATTTGTCAGTATAGGCAAGTTGCTTTTTCGAATGATATGTTGACTGTGCTGACCAGGATTGCGGCGAGCTCTAGCTTCATGCTTTTCGATGTTGCTAGCATGAGTTTTCTCGGTTGAGTTTGCTGTTCTGCTAGCAACTCTCGCTGTCATCGTCTCGGGTACATACATTGTTCGTGAATGAGGTAAGCAATCAGCCCGGTCAGTGGCCTAAAGGGGAGAATCTGCGAATCGACTCCTTGATGCTTCAGGGGTTACTGACTTTCGGCCCGGCACCCCTTGTAGTCACCCGTACAGCGCGTCCCCCTTTTTTTTTTTTTTTTCTTTTTTGAGAATAGCAGACAAAAGTCGGCATCATGTGACCGACGACGTCGTCGTCGCTATGCCGATGAATAAGGTAGTTACTAATCATTCTCCCACAGCCAACGTCCTCCTTGTCGTTCAACGTTCAACGTTCACTTGGCAGTGATACGTCCCCAGCATCAAACATGGCAACTTCACCGCACCTGGTGGACATCCATCGACGAGAGCGAGTATTTGCAAAGTCCCCATCCAGCGGCGAGCGTACCGTCGCTTTGTCTTTGCTTGACGCTACTACTGCCAACTTTGCCCTCACCAACGCTTGTAAGCAGCAACTCCTAGACTGCAAAGTAATAATCGCTAAGAACACCCCCGTGTGAATAGGTTGGCTCTTTGAGAAACCTCACCTACAATCTCCAACTTCACTGGTAGACCACTTGAAAGAAACACTCAGTATCGCTCTCGATGCCTATCCACAATTCTGCGGCCGTCTGCGAGCCATCGATACCATTGGCGACTCCACTCCTTTGCCAGACGAAGTCAAAGCCTTTCCCGCTCACGCCCGCCGCTTCGGTCGGGTATATGTGCAATTCGGTCGCCCAGATGACGCCGGCGTGGAATTTGTAGCAGCAAGCAGCTCTGCAAGCCTGGATGAGCTCCATCCCTTGACGAGAGTGAGCACGAAACCTCTGTGGAATCGCCAGGAGTATAGCCTTCAGCCCTTTGTGCCTCCTGGTGATGTTGCGCATGCTCTGCAACCTACAGCCTCTGGGACAGACGGAGTATTACCTCCGATAATGGCGATTCAGTTTTGTGAATTATCGTGCGGTGGATTCGTATTGGCGGCTAAGATTGCCCATCCCGTCGCAGATATCTCCGCTTTGACGGTATTTGTCCAGGACTGGGCTAGTATCAGTCGTTCCGTTCTGCAAGGGATGATGGAGCTGCCCAAACCGAATCCTATTTTCGACCCGCAGCTCCTGGATAGTATGGCTGCAGGTAACATCAATGAACCAGAGCCAGACCATGCCACGATGAAGTGCGTGGAAAATCTACCTCTCCACCGTTACGATTGGTGGGCACCTCCAGGCAAACCTCCCGCGGCCCTGGTCGATCAGCCCATCAAGCCCGCAGGCAATGCCATGCCATGGACGGAATGGGATGCCAAAGCCCCCGTATCTACCTACACCATTCATTTCACTCGAGACCAAATCGAGAAACTCTGGTCTGATGCGAATCCAACCGCAACATCAGGAAACCTCCGAATCAGTCGCCACGATGCCCTTCTCGCACACATCTGGTCCTGCATCACGCGAGCTCGAAATCTTCATCAAGACACCCAACCCGTGCACTGCGATCTCACACTCGGTTTACGTTCCGCCCTCGGCCTCGATCGCACTTTTATAGCTTCCCCGACCATGATGACCGCCATCTCCCTGACCGGATCAGAAGTTTCCGCACCGCAAAATCTCCCTCTCATCGCGCAACGAATTCGCCAAATTCTCTCTATTATTACCCGGAGAGAGAATCTCGCTGCTCATTTGCACAGTGTGGCTTATGAGCAATCTCCGCAACGGATTTGGCAGGCGTTTCTCGGGCAACGGCATATTCTTGTGACGACTTGGGGGCGAGCGGGGATTTATGAGGTGGATTTTGGTTGTGGTGCGGATATTCGTTATGCGGAGGGGGTTATGCCGAGTTTGGATGGTATGGTACTTGTTAAAGAGGCTCCTCCTTCTCCTCCTTCACGATTGGGGTCTTCTGCGGCGGAGACGGGAGGCGGGGCGTGGACGGATTGGGGAGTGGATGTTTCGTTGTCTCTTCGAAGTGAACAGATGGAATGTTTACTAAGGGATACTCTGCTGTTACCGAAAATATAGCTTTTCACACTCCTTTTTTCTATTTTCTCTCTCTACAAAAAACACCTACCAAACAAAAACCCTTCTCTCTCCCCCCTTCATCCTCCCTCCCCAAATTACCCCCCCATCGCCCCCTTTCCTCCCCCTCCATCAATCACTCCCCATCCCTCCTCCTCCGAAACAAAACCCTTCCCTCGGGATTCGGCAAATTCTGCGTCTCAAAAATCAAACTCACCGGCCTCTCTCCCTTCCCCTCCGGAAATTTAAATTCAAAATTCTTCAACAAAAACACCATAATCGCTTTAATTTCCGCCGCAGCGAAAAATCTCCCTGGGCAAGCATGTCGTCCATAGCCAAAAGCCATACTCGTGGGACGAGCGGCCGCGTAGAGATTGGAGGGGGTTTTGTCATCGGGAAGGTTGTTGTTGGTGGTGGATGATGTGGAGGATTGAGCGAAACGGAACCCGTCGAATTTTTCGGGATTGGAGATGATTTCGGGATCCATGGAGATAGCGTGTGTGGGGATTCCAATGGTAGTATGTGCAGGAATAACAAAGCCGTCGGAAAGAGTATAATTTTTCGTTATAACTCTCTCGAAAGTAATCAGCAAAAGGGGATTATGGCGTTGACTTTCCTTCATAATGCTATCGAGTTTCGTCAACCCCTCGTAATTTTTGCGCGTCATCAAACTTTCCTCTGAAGTATTTTTTCTGATTTCTTCGCGCAGCGGTTCGATGTATTCGGGCATGGCACACAAGTCGTAGAGGAGTTGGGTGGGAGCGGCGGCGCTGGTGTGGATGGCTGCGAAGCTCACTTTGAGGAGAATTCCAGCGAGGAATTTTTTGTCTTTTTCTGAGGAGTCTTTGGCGTCTTGGGCCATCCAATAGAGTAAATCTGGAGCGGCTTCTCCGGTTTTTTCGCGTTGGTTCAGGAGTGGAATTGCGGCTTTTTCGGCTGCTTCGTAGTGTTTTTTGATTTGTTGGATGGCGGGAATGAATCGTGCTGCAATGGGCTTGAGGATCTCGGGGTAGGCTTTGAGTGCTTGTGCTCCGATGAATCCATCCGTGGCGAAGTTGATTGAGGCCTGTACCCATTCTTTGTTTCGACTGAGGGTTGTGCCTCCAAACATTCGGCTGGATACACGAGCAACTATCTGGACGATTCGATCGTTTACGTCTACTTCGGTCCAGTCTGTTCAGGAGTCGGGCGGGTTAGACGGTACAAAACGATCAGAGAGCAGATTGTAAGAATTTCATACCGTCACATGCAGGCCAAGAATCGTTGAATGCATCACTGATCTCTTCTTCAACCTCACTCATCACCGTCCCTAACCATCACTCCATTGTCAGAGTAAACATTGAACATATGTCTCAATTCCAAGGCTTACACAAATTGCGATTGAGCTGACCGCGAACAACACGCGGATGAAGAGTCGATCGACTACCCATTGTAGTATATTTGCCTTCAAACATCTAGTAGCAAGCAGCTCTCATTAGCATAATCAACCAGATATATATAAGCATCATCTTCTCACCTCGATGAAAGTCGCCACAAAGTCCACCTCGTGCACAGGGGCAGACTTCAAATCTTCGAGATATTTATTCGGCAGCATCAAGCGTTCCCCAAGTTTGCTAGGAACGTAAAATGGTCCACGATTATTCTGCCATTAATGTAAGTAGGAAAAAACTCAAACTTGATATGTTCACGCAAGCACACGGGGAGAGGAAGACGTTTTTTACTGACCTGCCAATATCCCTCCAGCAACATACTCTTGCTGTCATGCACGAATCTCATCCGATTCTTCTTGAGCGATGCATCGTCTGAACCACCATAAATCGGAACCCCAGGCGCATAAACCTGCTTTCTGTTGAAAATCCATGAGATGCAGATTACTGCGAAAAAAATCCCACCAACTAGCACAGCGGCATTGGGATGTAGAGAGTATTCCAGAAGCCAATCCAGAGACATGTTCTTCCAAAGCGCAGATTAGTTGCCAACAACAACAACACTTTTCCGTTGGGTCGGTAGAAAGGTAGTCTCGTATTACTTCCTCACAAACAACAAAAAACAAAAAGAGAAAACTAAGAGCATCATGGATAGATCATGACTTACCCTTTACAGACCGACATGACTAATGCATCTTTGTTAGACGAATTAGGCAAATCCCCGGTGAATCCATTCCCTCGCAATGTGAGACCATCTCCGGTGGGGGGTAAGGGGGGCAAAAGGGGGGAAAGGTCACAAATGAACTCAAGCCCTATCCATTCATTTACCCTGTAGCACGAGAAAGAAGATCTCACCTGAGAACGAGGTTGGTTGCCCAGCTGGCTGGCTGCTTGGAAAAGACAAAAAGAAAAATATCATGCAACCATATTTCTGACATATACATACACACGCACCCCCTCCCCCTCAAAGCAGTCTATCCAATCATATTCCTAACGAGATTTTTATTTTTATTTTTCTTTTCAATTTTACCCTGTCAAACTCGTAAGACCCTTTCTCCTTAGTTATTTCCCCCTTGGAATCGAACACCTTCGGAGCAGGAGATTACTAGTCTCCTATGATCAACTACAGAGCAGACATAGTCGTTCATTCAGCTACCAAGAAGTGACTCGGCAGTCATAGAACTACCGTATACAGAGTCATTATAAGAGAAAATCCTACTCCCTATACTTAAACATCGGGACCACCCTTTTTATAAACCAAACAAAAAATCCTCTCCCTCTTACTGATTCTTCTTCTTTCCTTATCGCCTACTACATCAAAAAAAGATCGATTCACGCCGCTTTTAACTACTCCAAATCCGTATCCAAATCCCCCTTATATATTACAAATCAGCGAAAACTCCTTCTTCTAACCAATCCCTTTTTCCTACGCGAAGATTCTATTTTACGGGAAATATTGCTTTTGCTATAGCTTCTCCGTAGATTGAAATTAGTCGAATCGATCTTGAAAACCCTTTTACTGTATTGTTGGGCGTTAAGACGTTGAAGCTGAGATGTAAAGGAATGAATTGGTCTATAAGGCGCTGCGAGTTATAGAGGACTTACTTGATTGCGTACCTTATACGAGAATGGAGGGGATCAGATATCTTGGGGAGTTGAATAACTCGTTACCCCTCCTTCGGAAAGGAGAGGAGGGAGTAACAAAAATTTTGCCTTATTTTTGTTTATATCATACTGTTGATGAACACGATATATAGCGAGTATCAATTACTAGGACTCCCTCCCGATTAAATCTCACAACTTTTGTAGATGCTTTAAGTCTGATATCGGTTCTGACCACGTGAGTGGTTTTTTTATTTTCGTTTTGATTTTCACACAGACGACGTAAAGGAGATTGGTTTCGATATAAGTTGCTGACTGACTAGGCGGGATATTAACAGTATCGGGGACTGCAAGACTATAGCGACTTACCCTTGGAGTTCTACGTATACGATCATGACTGAAGCTGATCGTATTAATGTTGACATCACTGAAGGAAGTCATTTCTTTGTTCTTTCTTTTTGTACATTTGAGAGAAAAAGAAGTATAGCTGATTTCTTTTGCTCGAAAGAATCTTGTACGGCTTTCCGTAGGAACTGAAGATGTCGACGATATTATTAGAGATCTTGGCTACGCACTAGATGGCATTCCAGAGGAGATTTTAGATGGAACTACCTACATAAACTGTCTTCGGACGTGATGGACAATCTTTGGACTTTTCGAGTCGTTCTTTTTTTCCCCTGAAGTGATGGAATGAGGTATACTTGTACTGTTCACGGTAGGAGAATAGATTCCAGCAAGGAGTTGTAGAGTAGGGCTACTGGAGTGTCCTGCCGCAGCGTGAGGACGATCGATGGAAGTGCTTCTCTAGGTACAATCATATGTGGCCTAAGAAGCAATCTGTCTACATATCTGGAGTGTGAAAACAGGGCAGAAAGATGTGCTATACATAGTCTTTCCAGAACGAGCGACGCCAGATTCGACGCAATCTACCAGCAGTGTAAAATGTAAAAAGAAAAAACACCGTCAAATCGATAAGTTTAATTCTCTCCTATTTACAGATTTCACGAAAAAAAAACTCTCCACAGTCACTCACTTCCGAAAATCCGTCGCGCTCTGTTGCAAACGAGTAAGTCTAGCATTCTCCTCACCAAACCACTGCGGCCGCAACTCAGCAATCGGACCCTCGACCTCCGTATACGTCTCTCCCATCGTCACAATAGTACGTCCATGCCATCTCGACTTCATCGACAGCCTATCCTCGTGATCTTTGCCATACAATTCCACCGCGCCCCGTTGACTTGCCACGGCAGAGAACACAATAGCCAGACCGACAAAACTGGCCGAACTCACCGGCAGACCCGCTTCAATAATCGGCTTAGCAAGGTGTGCTGGAAGGAGACTCGTAATCGTCGCTGCGGGCGCAACACAATTGATAGTAATATTCTCGCAACTGAGTGAAGAACGCAGCGCGCGGACGAGGCCGATGAGCTAAATATGAGAGTAACCGGATTAGGTCAGAAAAGTGGGGTTGCCCGGGGGGGGGAGAAGAAGGGGAAGTGAATAAATTCTTACGGCAAGTTTGCTCGCACTGAAGACTGGGAGTGATTGCTCTGGAGCATATGCAGTAGCGCTCGAATTGATGACGATGCTGCCTGCGCGCTCCGGGTGTTTGCGGAAATGGCTCAGGGCGAGTTTGGTGAAATTGCAAACTGCTCGAATATTGATATCCAGAACGCGATATTCCGGCTCGATTAAATTTCCCGTTACGCTGTCAAATGTATCTTCGAAGTAATTTGTTTCCTCGCAAATTCCTGCATTCGCGACGGCAATGTCGATGTTGCCCGCATATTGAAACGCTGCGGTCAATTGCTCCCAGCTCGAAACGTCGCATCGTCTGTACTCGATTGTGCCATTTTTTGGGGCCTGGGATTCTTTTTCAGGGGGATTAAGGTCGAGGTTGAGGACCCAGGCGCCTTTGGTTGCGAAGATTTCTGCTGCGGCTAAGCCGATGCCAGCAGATGCTCCTGAGATAATGACCCTCTTGCCGTGTAAGTCGGGAATGTCATCGATTGTGAAGTGTAGAGATGTCATGATCGTTCTCAGAGTTCTTTTTTAATCCGTAACACACTTGTTCCCTGGTTGGTTTTGGGTCTTGGCGTGCTGTGGGTTGAATGGCTTGATGATGTCGTATCTTGAAGGCCTGCTCCCTTGAGCGGGAGATGTGAACAGCCGTCGATTTCTCCGCCCTATTCCAGTCGATCATCTTCCATCCACACACGGCCCACTTCGGGGAGAAGGCCGTGTTGTCGGGGAGGGGTTGAGAAGACAGCCGCTTTGCGGTCTTTCACTCGAAAGGGAAAATCTCCTTTGGTTTTCAATATCGACCCATAACGATGGACGGGAGACCTCGACACTGGGCCGAGGCTCCTTATCGTACTGTCCGAGGAGAGCGAGCGGCGGTTCTCTATCTGTGCGGACAAACTTCGATCACATATGCAACTTTGTCGATGCGCATAGACGCTATCCGCTTGGAGAATATTGGTTCACTGGGAGAATAATTCTGTTCACTAACCACGGTAATACTCAGTTACCGACGATGAGGCGGGGTCGTAACCACAGAATCTCTCTCAGCACCCAATCATACTGCCAGGAGCTGGAAGTGAGTGATATTGCACGATTGGTATAGATTTTCGACTTCGGGGTTCATACATAAGGTTCTTGTTCGCTGTCCTGTCAAACCTTGTTTGCTTGTGAAGTCAAAAATTTCCGAAAGTGTCACACCACTACCATCACGCCACCAACCCTCTCTCTCACAGTCTCACACACCACCAGTAACCATGGCACCCGCACTCCTTGTCGAGACCCCTAGCTCCTCAGGTGGTTGTACATGTTCCCCTGGTCGATCTGCAGGCGTCCAGAAGATCACTACTACCCCTTCATCACCTCCGGACAGTCCGTGTGGCTTCGAAGCCCTGTGCCATCCATTAGAGGAATCCATCACGAAACAGGTTGATGGATGGTTTTTGGCTCATTGGCCGTTTGCCACCGCCAAGGACAGGAAGAAGTTCGTAACTTCTGCCTTCTCGCAAGTCACTTGTCTTTACTTTCCCCTTGCCAAAGACGACAGGATTCGCTCTGCTTGTGAACTTCTGACCATCTTGTTCCTCATCGATGGTAAGTTTCACACAATACGAACGAGGCGCGCAGAGTTTCGTGCAGGTGCAGTAATTGATTCTTGGGGACATTCTAGACATCCTGGAAGATATGTCCCTGGAAGACGGGGCCGCATACAACAACCACCTGATGCCGATCATGCGAGGTGATGTGTTGCCGGACCGCAAGATCCCTGTGGAATGGATGATGTACGACTTGTGGGAGCACATGCGAGCCCTTGACAAGGAGCTCGCAGACGATGTTCTCGAACCCACCTTCACCTTCATGCGGGCGCAGACCGATAAAGACCGGCTTTCTATCGTTGGCATGGGACCATACCTCGTCTATCGGGAGAAAGACGTGGGCAAGGCGTGAGTGAATACTTCCCCATGCGTGCATGCATGCAGAAACTTTTTCTCATCCAGCATTGCGGTTAACTGACTCCGAAAAACCCAACAGGCTGCTCTGCTCCTTGATGAGGTTCTCCATGGGCCTCCATGTGACGCGAGAAGAGCTTTCCGCCGTCGTTCCGATTGAGCAGAACTGCGCAAAGCATCTTTCCGTAGTCAACGACATTCTGAGCTGGGACAAGGAGCTCGCTGCTGCTCAAACGGGCCACGTCGAAGGATCTGCTGTCTGCTCGGCTGTGCAGGTTCTGTCCGACGAGAGCTCACTGCCTTACTCGGCTGCCAAGCGCGTCTTGTGGGTCATGTGTCGCGAGTGGGAATCGCAGCACGCTGTGTTGATGGACGAACTCCGACAGTCCTGGGGCTCGCCACTGAGCGAGAGTCTCCTGACGTACATCAAGGGCTTGGAATACCAGATGAGTGGAAATGAGCTCTGGAGCAAGACCACCTTGAGATACAACTCTCCCAGCGATGTTGTATCTCATGCGTAAGATCCACCGGGTGCTGATATGACAAGGGCTTGGAGTATTTGGGGGTGGTGTTTGCGATTATTTGGGAGGTGTTTCTTGGGGGCCCGTGTTGAAGAGCTTGATATTTTCCATAGTCATCGGTGCTAGAGGTAGAATCATGAAACCTAGAGCAAAGAGTGTCGGCAAATTGTCCTGCCAAACCATTCATTCGATATAGAATGTGCCAATGCGACTTACCGTAGACGATCGAGACCAGGTCACTGCCCCAAATGTGATGTGACGTTGACTGCCAATCACGCCAAGACTCCCCCAAAAGGGGCAAAAGGGAGAGCTTTGGCTCTGGTTGTTTCTGGAATTGAACAGAACGGCCAAGGAGAAAAGGTGCAAGCCTCTTCAGACTAAAACGCAAAATTAGATGGGAATTTCTTCGACTCCACTAGCCGTTGAAGCCTATCGGAGGCTTTTGATCGTTAGAAGAGTGGCCGATGGTATAGTATGGAATCATCACTGTCACAAGTAACTAGTCCCGAATTCAGATTGTTCGTTCTGGAACAAGAGTTTGGACAGAAAAGGGGGGGCTGTCTGGGGAAGCATCGCAGACCTAGGATATATACACCAGGACTGGATCAGGTCCGGAAAACCTATGCGTCCTCACACGCACTCTGTCAGCTGAGGAGAAAACAAAAATCGCAAACCGAAGTCTTCAGACAGCCAAGGAGAAAACGAAAACCGCAAACCGAAGTCTTCAGACGCTCTCCGCCCGTCCACAAAGATTCCCCGTTGCACCAGAGGGAAAAATGCCCGATACTCCCTGGACTTGGAGTGATTTGGACACTCTAGCGGAGCCCGGAAACATGCCGTATTGAGCTAGTCAAGGAAACCCTAAGTTAAAACTTCGAAATGTAGGTCTGCTACACAATACGCCTTGCATGTAGCAGACGAAAACATGTTTGATCTGTCTGGGTTCTTCGCCGAATGGCTTGAGGCAGTGCCGTCGACGGGGATTCTGGTTGCAACGTTCGTGGTGGTATGTGGACAACAGACGACGACCAGGAGGATCGATCATTTTTACTGAACCTCTTTTTGCCCAGATCGTGGCTCAAGCCCTGATAGCGACGGCCATCTACAACCTATTCTTCCACAAATTAGCCAAGTTTCCGGGGCCATTCTTGGCGAGGTCCAGCCTGGTCAGTATTCCTCTTCCTCTCCCGTCTGATGATTCGTCGTTGCGCGAAAAACACAACTAATTCGACGGGCAGATTTGGCGTATCTATCAATCCCAACGCGGCCTCTACCACTTGGCAATTCAAGAGCAACATCGTAAATATGGACCAGTGGTGAGAGTCTCTCCCAACGAGCTTTCTTTCGCTTCCGTGGAGTCTTGGAAAGCCATCTACGGCCACCGAAGCGGTGGTGCTCCAACTCCGATCAAGAGCGAATTCTACGACATCTACGGCGCCGGCTTCAAGTCACTATGCATCGGCAGCGAGCGAGACCCCCACAAGCACGGGCAAATGCGTAGCATGCTCTCCGCCGCGTTTTCAACAAAGTCCCTTCGAGATCAGGAGTATCTGATCAGTAGCGCAGTAGACGAGTTCATTATGCGCCTTGGGGAAGCAGACTTCCAAGCCCAAGGTCTGAATATGACCAAGTGGTATGAGATGATTGCGTTTGATTCGGTCGGCGAAATGGCGTTTGGACAGTCGTTCGGTAGTATCAAGGCTGGTCAGTTCTCCACGCTGCTCCCCCTGGGGAGGGAAGGGAAAGCGAGAACCACCAAGGGGCTAACCACAGTGGTGATCTAGGGACTCCCCACAGCTGGTCCGAACTGATTGTCGAGCACCTCTACTTCATCACGCTGGCGGACAACCTTCGTCGTTTGCCGCTAGTAGTGACACTGTGGCGTCTCCTATTTCCCTCCACTCTTGCGCACCAGAACCAGAATTCACGATATAGCCGCAAGAAAGTCGAAGAGTGAGTTCTCTCCCCTTGTACACTAATGATTCAGCCGCGCTGTTCCGGCAAACATCAAAGAGACGGACTGCTGATGACGGCTGGCAGGCGCCTCGCCACCAAATCCACGCGAAATGATTTCCTGTCCACGGTCGTCCGCAATTACGAAGATGGCAAGATTAGCAAGGAAGAGATGACGGCTCATGTATCGACCTTGACGTATGTTTTTGGCCCCCTTTTCTCGCGCGTTCTTCGTTCTGTCAGTGTGAAGACTAATCAAGAAGCAAATCCTCGTCATCTCACGCAGTATTGCAGGAGCTGAAACGACTGCGACGTTCTTGGCAGCGACAACATACTATCTGTTGAAACATCCCGCATGTTTACGCCAGGTCCAAGAGGAAATCAGGGGCAAGTTCTCTTCATACGACGAGATCAATGCCACAGCTGCGAGACAATTGCCTTATCTCCAGGCTGTGATCAGCGAAGGTCTCCGAATCTACGCTCCGGGCTCCGGAGGGTTTCCCCGAATTTCAACAGGAATGAAGGTTGGAGACGTCTACGTTCCGGCTGGGGTAAGACACGATCTCTCTTTTTCTGGCGTGCTGCAAGTGTCCAGAGACCAGGAACAACACCTAAGCTGACTCTGTGTTTATATATAGGCCGAGGTCTTCACGCATGCTTGGACGCTCACACACAGCGAAGAATACTTTGCAGATCCCATGGCGTTTAAGCCTGAGCGTTGGTTGGATCCTATGTCTACCGATGTCAAGGAGGCCAGTCAACCGTTTTCCATGGGTCCGAGGGGATGTTTAGGCCAGAAGTAAGCCGGTCGTCTCGATCCAAAACCAGAATGCTTTGACACGGGTATGCTAATGTTCCATCGCAGCTTTGCGTACATGGAGATCAATCTCATCATGGCCAAAATGTTCTGGAAGTACGACCTGGAGCTAGTCGATAAGGAGCTGGACTGGGACAAGCAGAGTCAGCTGCATGTCATGTGGTGGAAACCGGAGCTGAGGGTTCGCTTTAAGGAGCGAAAGAGGGCTAGCTGAAGGTGAAGTGAAGGCAAACAAGGTCGATCTGGATCTGCGCCCGTGGTGCTCTTGATAAGACGACGCTGTATAGTGGCGAGTTGAAAGGGATTCTTCAAAGTTCCTGATTTCGCATCGACGGCGTTCTTGTAGCGTTCTTAAAGGGCTTCTTAGAGGTGCGGAGATCCATGCTCTTGACTGTCGGAAGTCCAATGTGCAAACCGCAGTTGCACCCCCTTTCCGCCCTTCCAAACTGAATCCACAATGTCTTCGCATATCGAAGTGCCACGAGTAATGTTACGAACGCAGGTTTCCGGCTCTGAGATGCGGGATCTGCCAGGATTAACTTTGACTTCGGTCTGCGCAGACGCCGTAGATATGGCTAGTTAGGGCCGAAAGGGGCATGGTGCCATCGACCACAATGTGTTGGCATATGATCCGATTCTATCACACCCTCTCAAATGATAGCTTGATGCTCGAAGTTGTCGAGAAAGAAGAAGAAGAGGAAGAGGAGGCAGAAGAAGTTCTTTCCAATCATACGCTTCTTCAATTTTTCTCCCTCGCCCTCCCGTCACGCAATGATCAACGGCGGAGGGTTGCAGCAGCAACAGCAGATCCATCAAGAGAAACCAGCAAACGAAAAGAGTGATGAGGACTCTGTACTGCAAAGCCAGATCGCTGCGCCGGAGAACTGGCCCAGCCCAGGCCAATTCTTTTGGAGCTGCACAAGCAAGTCTGACCGACTCGTGCTTGTTATTGCAACCATAGGAGCTGTAGTAGGGGGTGCTGCTTCGCCCTTCTCCGTCGTAAGAACATATTCCTCAAATGACTTTTCACTCCCCGCCCAACCGGCTGGCTGCCTTGGTTACTGACGTGGAAATTATCAAGGTACTTCTTGGTTTTGGTGGAGAATCCTTTCGAGGCTACTTCACGGGTGAAACGACAAAGACGGAGCTCCTGGAAGGTATCAATCGACTCACTCTCCTGTATCTGTGCCTCGCAATCGTCACCCTGGTCGCAATCTACATCGCCACCGTAGGATTCACGCTCGCAGGGGAGCGGATCTCACAGCGAATCCGTGAGAAGTACTTGGCCGCAGTGCTTCGGCAGAATATTGCCTATGTGGAGACCCTCGGGGTGGGCGAGGTCAATAAACAGCTAACGACAGATGTGTACTTGATTCAGGAGGCCATCACGGGCAAGGCAGCAGCGCTTATTACTGCTCTGGGCACATGTATCTCGGCGCTCATCATTAGTTTCATCAAGAGCTGGCTCCTGGCCCTGGTGGTAGGTTCCATTATTCAATCACCCACCCTGTAGGCACGCAGAAGATGGTTCTAACTCGAGAGGCAATAGATCATCCCAGCAGAGCTGGTTATAGTTGCATCCATGAGCACGGGGGCAGCCTTCATGATTAAGTACACCAAACAGGCGGTCGCTGCCTATACGTTGGCAGCCAATATATCGGATGAAGCATTAGGCTCTATGAGGACTGTGGCCGCCTTTGGAATGCAACGCTCGCTGGTCCACCGCTATGCCACACACATTGCCGTTGCACGAGCGGCGGGCATCCGAAGTGGTGTGGCTCTCGCCTGCATGATAGCAGCTCTGAACAGCATCATCTGGTGGACATATGGCTTGGCATTCTGGCAGGGGTCCCGGTTTCTCGTCCAAGATAAAGTCTCCCTGTCTGCTATCATCACCGTCCTTTTCGTCACCATCTCGGGTGCGTTTGCTCTGGGCAACGTCAGTCCCCATGCTCAAGCGTTTGTGGACGGCATCATGGCAGCCGACAAGATTTCGCAGATGATCAGCCGCCAATCGCCGGTAGATTCCAGTTCAAGCACGGGCTACACACTGCCCAGAGTCGCCGGTGCAGTAGAATTCAAGCATGTCCGGCACGTATATCCATCCCGCCCAGAGGTCCTCGTTCTCGATGACTTCAGCCTTACTTTCCCACCAGGAACGACAACAGCGATCGTCGGCCACTCTGGCTGCGGCAAAAGCACCATCGTAGACTTATTGGAGCGACTGTTTCTACCTACCAGCGGCAGCATATGTAAGTTTGATCGAAGGACATACTGCGTCGGCGCAGCAGTCGGCTAAACGGGTGACAGATATTGACGGGCACGATACCTCCAAGTTGAACGTCTCATGGTTGCGGCAGCAAATCGGATTGGTTGGTCAAGAAGCAACTCTATTCTCTACCACTATCTTTGAGAACATCCGGTATGGCCTGGTCGGCTCCGAATCGGAACACTTGCCTGTCGAAGCAATACGACATCTGGTCGAGGAGGCAGCGAAGACGGCAAATGCGTATGACTTTATATCCAAGCTACCGGAAGGCTTCGATACCAAGGTAGGAGACTGTGGCTCCCTGCTATCAGGAGGCCAGAAGCAGCGGATAGCAATTGCCAGAGCGATCGTGAGACACCCGAAGATCCTCGTGTTGGATGAGGCAACGTCCGCCTTGGATGGCAATGCAGAACGTCTCGTGCAAGAAGCGTTGCAACAAGCGGCCATAGGTCGCACCACTATTGCAATTGCCCACCGGTGAGCTTTAAGATTCATTTTGATCACGTCGAGTCAACTGCTGACTTTGGGGGAGACTTTCGACCATCGCAGACGCGGATAACATCGTCGTCTTGTCGAAAGGGACCATTGTGGAGCAAGGTACGCACCAAGCACTGATGCAGAAGGGGGAACTCTACTGCCAGATGGTCGGAAATCAAAACATGCAAGCGGCCATGCCTCATGCCCTGGAAAGCGACAAGACCTTAACGAAGCAGGAAACTCTACCGAAGGTAGTGACTATGGAAGTCTCCTCGGATTTTGGCCATGAAAGCGGCAGCCAGCCAGATTCCAAACCCAGTGCTGCTGTGTCCATCTGGAGTCTGGGACTGTTTGTGTTCCGACTGAATAGTAAAGACCTCCCCCTGATCCTCTGCGGTCTGGGCTTCTCTATTATGGCGGGAGCTAGCTTCCCCACGTGAGTGCCCAAGCCCATCGTAGATGGCTTGACCGGCTAACATATGCCACAGCCAGGCAGTCTTCATGGCCGAGATCTTCACTGCTATGTCGGTGGGTAGGTCCAGATACGATGAGCTCCGAAGTCAAGTCAACTATTGGTGCTGGTTCTACTTGATGATTGGATTCACTACGGCCATTGGATGGCTAGGCCAGGGGGTCTGCCTCACTTTTTACTCACAAGAACTGACGTACCGCACGCGAGAGAAGGGCCTGGATACGATATTGCACCATGATATGAGTGCGTTTCTCCAAGACGACCATACTGTGGCGGCTCTGTCAAAGGCGCTTTCCAGTAGTTCCAGCCACCTCGAGGGACTCGGCGGCTCCCTGGGTGGAACCATTCTGGTAGTCTGCACTCAACTCATTGCTGGACTCGCCCTTGGCTTGGCCGTTGGTTGGAAACTTGCGCTAGTTTGTGCCTGTACCATTCCGGTTCAACTCGTGTGTGGGGCCCTCCGGCTGAAGTGTCTGGCGTTGCTAGAGGCCCATGGGCGCAAGGTATATGCAGCATCTGCAGCGTACGCGTGCGAGTACAGCACCAACATTCGGACCGTGGCAACGCTCACACTCGAGAAGGACATTCAGCAGAACTTCCATCGCATCTTGGAGACCCAGCGCAAGCGATCTCTCGTTTCAACGAGCCATTCTGCGCTACTGTACGCAGTCTCTCAGTCAGTGACGTTCATGTGCGCTGCACTCGCGTTCTGGTATGGCAATCGGATGATCGTGAACGAGGGTTACACCATGTTTCAGTTCTTCGTCTGCTACGCGGCGATTGTCGAAGGATCCTTTTCTGCGGGTGCCATCTTCTCGTTTGCTCCTGATATGGGCAAAGCGAAGGAGGCTGCGCGAGAGCTCAAGGCGTTGTTCGAGTTGCCAGTGAACATTGATGCTCGAGGAGACACCGGCTACACGTCACCCGAAGTGGACGGATCTGTCTCACTCAGAGGGGTGTCTTTTCGGTATCCCAATCGTCCGGAGCACTTAGTGCTGGACAAGATCGATCTCGAAGTGAGTCCAGGTCAATACGTTGGCCTCGTTGGCCCTAGTGGAAGTGGAAAGAGCACCATTATCGCTCTGCTCGAACGTTTCTTCGATCCTGAGGAGGGCCAGGTCATGGTTCAAGGCACCAATGTCAGGAATTGGAATGTCAAGAACCTCCGTAGCCACGTGGCCCTGGTCAACCAGACGCCAACGCTGTTCGACGGAACCATTTACCAAAACATTGCAAAGGGGGTAGAAGACGAAGGGCCGTCCGAGGAAGACGTCGTCCAGGCATGCAAAGACGCCAACATCCACGAGTTCGTCCGCTCGTTGCCGTACGTATTCCCCTTTATATTGGCAAATATCTCTCGGCTGTTTGAAGAATCCGTGAAGACTAACGTCATTCCAGATTTGGACTCAATACACTCGTCGGTGCACGAGGGACCATGCTGTCGGGCGGCCAGAAGCAGAGAATCTCAATCGCACGGGCTTTGCTACGAAATCCCAAGATCCTTCTGCTTGACGAAGCAACATCGGCGCTAGACTCGGAGTCCGAGAAAGTGGTGCAGGTCGCTTTGGATGCCGCAGCTCGTGGCCGAACGACGATTGCAGTTGCGCATAGGATCAGTACGGTCCGAAACGCCGACTGTATTTATGGTAGGTTTGAACCCCAGCTCCTCCTCCTTTAGCGTGTGCAGGCTTATAGAAGCTGACGGCAAGCAGTGCTGGATAATGGCCGCATCGTAGAAACGGGAACACACGACGACCTGATGGAGATTAAAGGCAAATACTACGACATGGTCCAGCTTCAGAGCCTCGATCAAAATTCCTGAGTCATGCTCAGCACATGGCCGAGTATGTGTGCAGCCCGCTCAAAGATGGCCACATTTGCTGGTATATACGAGGCATGGTGGAGACAACGAGTATGTTTGTCTGTACGGCGGAGGATCAGTTAATCGGCCGTTGATATGCCGCTTGCGCGAGAGGAGGCTGCTGGTGCTGCTGCTGTCGGTCCAGGCCTTTTCCAACGGTATTGTTGCTGCTGGAAAAGGGGGTAGCAAGATGTCATTGCGCATACAAGTCGACCCGTTGCGGGAAGCTCGTGGCTGTAGGAGGTAGTCCAGTCGAGTCCTGGTCAGAATAAAGGTGGTAGACGCCTCCAAGTGAGTAGATTTTCCGGGCGAATAATGGGATGGCGAGACGGAGGCATTCTAGCACAAAAGTATGGCATCGGCAAAGACCGAAAATGTATTGCGCTTGTCACTCTCCTTGTTGTTCGTCGGCTTTTATATTATTCTTGTCTTGGTATGTTCTCTCGCTGGACGGGAGATGAAGGTACACGGTACATGTACTTGTAACCTACCAACTACTAATAACCAAGCAGAAGAAATCCGGACCGCCGGTACATAACGTGGTCCTAATTACCGTGCGGAGTACGGCGTCTTGGCATTGACAAGTGACACCTTCAATTAATCCAGCTATACCTCAGCTACCTACCTACTATCTCTAGACTTCCCAATGACCTTTTTAATGCTCTTTGTTCAACGCTTCTATATACCTCGCCAGCGTCACTTTCGACGCCGCCAGCTTCGTCTCCTGATTGTGGAACATGGTTGACGTCGCCGCCATCGACGCCGCCGCCGCCGCTCGTTTCAGGCGGGCCAGCAGGCCGCCAAAAGAGTTCACCTGAACGCTCACCATGGCGTGGCACAGGAACGCCCGCTCCACCCCGTCGTCGACGCATACCGCCCCGAAGCGCAGCTCGAAGCCCGCGCAGCCGTTGATGCCCAGCAGGCGATCCAGCATCTTCTCGCACAGCACGCACATGTGCTGCGTGACGGTCGCGATCACCGCCATCACCTCGGGCCGCGTCGTGCAAGCCATGCATTGGCTAATGTGCGACAGTTCTCTCGCCACTGAGCGATATAGGACGACGTGCTCGTCGAAGGAGCCCGCGTCCTGGGCGACAATGTGTGCACACAGCCGGTTCAGCATACATGCGGAAACGTTCAGGCACTCGCAGCCGTCTCTCCCTGCGCGGTGGTATCAGTAACAGTGATATTTGTGTGTGTATGTGGAGCAGCAGCAGCGGCATGCTCGATCATGGCGCATTATTCAAGGACTCACTTTCGCTCGGCTCCTCATTCATCACCTCGCGTGCAGGGAGCATACTCGTCGGTGTATTCACTCCGAAAGTGCATCGCATGCTGCACAATATCGGGTCAGCCCCTATCCCAGCGCGGATCACAAGCAACGACAGGCTGCACTGCGACTTACTCGGACCCGAATGACACTGGCGTATTATGGTTCTCGTCGTGGGGGTCACTCCACACATCCATGATGTTCGTGTATGTGGAGAGTTCCCAATCGCTCTGGCCGCATTCTTCTTCGTTGATCACTTCGTTGAACAATGGAGTCTTCGTGCCCCCTTTCACGGCGTCGGCCATATCGTCTTCTGGAGTCGGCAGCGCGGCGACGGCGGTGGCAGCGTGCTGCTGCTTTCCTCCCTGTGCCTCATGGCTTGGCGCTGGGGGCGCAGTGGGCTCCGAAAGGGAACTGCTTTTGTTGCTATTGCTGTTCCTCCGAGTCGTGTTACTGCATCTCGCTGCGGATTTGCCACTCCTCGACGGCGTGCTCCCCCCGCCCGCCATGCTATGGTCAGTCCTCCGGGGCCGTCCTTCTTTGCCAGAGCGATATACACACGTCGTCTGCAGCGAGTAGCACCGACTACAGCCCCCGATCTCGCCACTACACTTCAGCTACACCGGGGCCGTGTCAGCATGGCTTCTCTCACGGGGAGCGAATGGCGCGCGAGGGAGGGAGGGAGGGAGGGAGGGCGGAACGGAGAGAGGATAGTGCATGCCTTCTTCTCTCGACACAGGACGCAAGCTCGGTGAATACTTGCACATCTGCTTGCGCTGAGGGTCTCGTATTGTACCACTGGGCCGTTTCCGCTGCCCCCATTCGCATCGACACGCCACGACGCGAACATTGTCTATGCTGTGGCAGAGTGGCCGCATATGATGCTACTACATAAACCTCCGACTTTGTTCGACCATCCCCGAGCGACGGCCATCGAGCAAAAGGTCTAAAACCCTTCACGAGGAAATTGTTTGGACAGACCGAGGTGGATGCGATTTCCGACTAATTCGCTGCTCTCTTAGATCGACGACAGGGTTGGAAATCCGCGGGCTTATATGGACAGGCACTACCTTCAAGCAGCGCGCCCACTCACCCTCAGGCGAGAACCAGGCGTGGACTAACGACTGCCTAGTCTAGCAACGTACATGATGGAGGAGTGTAGGTCGTCAATTTAGCTCTTGGGGAGATGGCCGATTGGTGGGCGATACATACGGTATCCGGAAAGGTGCAACATGAGCAGGACGGAGTGCTCGGGGCACTACTATGGTTGCAAATTGACCACAGTCTCAAGGAAAAGAAGCCCCACTGCGCTCAGAGTCAGGTGGTCTGATCGAACCCTACACTCTGACGAGGAAGAGAGACGACGAAGAAGAACAGGAAGAAGGCCAAGAACAAGAAGAAGAGAGTCCAGACTCTGGGGTGACTCTTCGGTGAGTCGACCCCATATCCTGAATCCGGCATGTGCGGCAGGACAAGAGTACTTTTCGTAAAGATAGACCAACCAACACCCTGTAGTGAGTACATGAATGGTTGAATACACTAATGGTTGTTGTATCACGACTACGAGTAGACCAGGCAATATATCATAGGCATACAGCTGTAACAGGATGTAGCCCCCGCCCAATGCTTGACCTGGTCAAACCTTCACATCCGGGTGCAGATATCCGCTGGGTCTTCTGTGTCTTCTGTGTCATCTGACTGTAGCAGGCCCTGAATATCGTGGTCTGACTACAGGATGGTCCCCTATGGGTAGAACGGACAGCTCGGAGTCGATGTTCGTCGTGCTGCTGCTTGTAGGGGGGCTCTTACGGTGATCAATAGGCTCATATGCAACCGATCTCTCCGAGTCCGAGCCTAGCAGAGATGGTCTCTGGCTCCCGATGCTTGTCCAAATGGTACGATTTCCATGAATTCTCAGGTGTGTGAGACTGGAACGAAACAGGCGAGTGGAAGTTCCATCATTTCTCATTCCTACAAGACGATCATTCCTCCAAGCGGCTGTCGTGCATTGCAGACGGCTTCCTCTTTCATCCAGCTCGCAACATTTGCCTTCCATAACGACCATCAACATGCCCTTGAGCGGATCAGAGAGTGGAGTGTTGTTGGTCATATTGAAATGGGCCGAGCCGAGAATGCGGAGCACAGGCAGTTTAGCGTTGATACTGATACTTGTTTTGGGAGCAATTGTGGTGAATCGGTGGCAGCGAAAGCCCAAACTTCCCAAAGTTCCCATCTTGAAGCTATCCCCTCTGCCTGGCAAAGCGGGAGTAGCTGAGGACGTGGCAGCCTTCGTTCGAAATGGAAGGGATGTCATGCAAGCGGGATATGACCAGTACTCCAAGCACGGTCAAAACTATCTCCTGCGGTGAGTCCAACGAAAGTGAATCATCACAACACTCACATCTCGAGACACGCTGTCCGCTGATCGAGTTTTGGGGAGGATGCCGTTAGGACTCCCTGGGGCTTCATGCTCGTGTTAGCTCCGCGGTTCATCCAGGAGATGGTCTGGATGCCGGATGACAAGTTGGACAATCAACCTACGCACAATGAAATTCTTCAAACGCGATATACCATGCATCCGACGCTGGAGGAGGATCAGTATTATCTCGAAATTGTGCAAAAGCAATTGACGCGAAATCTAGGTGCGTTTCCCCCCCACACCTCTTGTCTTTGTTTCTGCCCCTGAGAACTACTAATGCGAAAGTGCACGTGAACAGGACCGGGCCTTCCAGATCTGGTTGTAAGTGCGAACAGCTAGTATCATGACTAGACCAGCATTGTTGACGTTCGACCACAGGATGAAGCAAAACGAGCTTTCCGCGGGCAGATTGGTGACTGCACGGCGTGGAAAGCAGTCGGCATGTGGGACGCAGCCTTCAAGATTACCACTCGCACCGCCAACCGATTCTTCTTTGGCAAAGAACTCGCCAGCGACGCCGAGTTCCTCCAACTCGCAGTGAGCTTCTCTTCCACCGTCTTTGACGGAGCTAACGTGCTTCGTGTCGACTACCCCTTTCTCAATTATCTCCCGTTTCTCAAACCTTACTTCCTCGCCTGGAAAACCAACGTTCAAAAAGACCATGCCCTCGCAAGAACTAAACTCCGGCCCACTCTCCGAGCCCGCATTGCTCAATTAGAACAACAAGAACAACGAGAAGAACAAGAACGACAACGACAACAATACCAATACCAAGATCAAGAACGAATTTATTATGGAAATGAGAAGAAATCTCCTCCCAACACCCCCAGCGATGCCGTCCAATGGGTCCTCGAAATCACGCCTCCCTCCAAGCGCAACATCGATCACCTCGTCCACCGCATGATGCATATTACCGTCGTGGCCGTCCACACCAGCAGCACCAGCTATCTCGACTGCATGAACGAACTAGCCGCACACCCCGAGATCCACTCCACGCTCCGCGAAGAAATCCTCTCGGTCTTCCTCTCACCAGAAGAAGAAGAAGAAGAAGAAGAAGAAGGAATCGAAGTACCAAAAATCTCAACCCCCACCAAGAAGAAAACAACAACAACAACAACTTCAACAACCCCCACCATCTGGCGAAAACAAGCCCTTTCCAAACTCCTCCATCTCGACTCCTTTATGCGCGAAACTGTTCGCTTACACACTAATGCATCAGGTCAATTGGATCGCGTGGCCATGACTGATGTGCAACTGAGCGATGGATCGATCATTCCGCGAGGCACATATGTGACTGTCCCTTCGGTGGCAATGAATGGCGATGCGGCCATTTGGGGCCCGGATGTGAATGTGTTTGATGCGTGGAGGTTTGTGAAGAAGAGGCAGGCGGGTGGCGGAGAGGAGGGCACGCAGCATAGTTTTGTGCAGACTGGAGTGGAATATTTGCATTTTGGGTGAGTTTTTTTTCTCTTCCCCTTCCCTCCTGCCTCTCTTTTGTCTTATTCTCTCCTCCCACCTCCCCCTCCTCTTCCTCCTCCCCTCCCCACCGATTACACACACATCCATATACTAACCATTTCACCTTTCCCCCTATTTCCTTTCTTCCCCAGCCACGGCCGCCACGCCTGTCCCGGGCGCTTCTTCTCGTCGAACGAAATCAAAGTACTTTTGATTCTCACGTTGATGAATTACGACGTCAAATTCCCGGATGAACAAAGAGGCGAGAAACTCCCCAACGTGTGGAATTGTCAATTGAGAAGCCCGAATCCCAACATCAAATTGGAATTTAAGCAACGGGAGAATGTGCATGAATTGTTTCGAATTTACTAGAACTATCTCAAAGAGAAAGGGATGATGGAAACTTAGAAGCTAGCGAGGTCGTGTGATTGGTATCGAGCGATGGTCGTATGTACATTTCATTCAATGGGGAATAGATGGTGATTTGTGGTGATGGTTTTGTGAGCGAGGTCGTGTGATTAGTATCGAGCGTATATATATATTGCATTCAATGGGGAATAGATGGTGATTTGTGATGATGGTTTTGTGACTGTCCTCTCTTACCTACGTCTCTGTCTCTCTCTCTCTCCCTCTCTCTCCATCTCTCTCTCTCTCTCTCTCTCTCTCTCTCGCTTTGAAAACGCAGCGAACTGTTTGGAACAAGATCAACGGTCATGAAAGCGTGTAAGGTAGTAATGACTGGTATATAGTGGAGACCTTCCATCAGGCTTAGGGCCTCTCAACGTTTGTACAGACGACTCTTCCCCTAATAATCAACTCAATCTTAATGCAAACATGAGCATGAAGCGAAGACTCGATCGTAGCACAGTGCCACTCCAACTCCAGCGCTAATGCTCGCTCGCGATATTCATACATTTTTGGGCTTCTCCTGCTCATCGTGTGGTTCCTCGTAGTTTGTGCTGCTCTCTTTCGTGTTGTCGAAATCAGTGTTTCTGTCGGCGTCTTGGGTGAAAGGCGGGTCATCGTTTGGCCAATACTACAAGGCCAATTCGCGATCTTTCCGCATGCCTTCCATTACAGCTTGCACGCCCCCTTCGCGCAGTCGAGCCAATACGACATACATTCCCTTCTGCGCCTTGGGCTGGCTCTTCTCTGTTCGCTGCATTCCAATGCTCTCAATCGCAGTACGGACAGCTCCCGAAGTCCAGTTCGAGAAGAAGCCTTGCTTTGCAGGCTCTTCATCGCTGGCGCCGACCACAGAGGTTGCGTTCGCCTGCTGGCCCCACCGTTCCCGCCTCTTCCGGATCTGCTCTCCAATCCTACTCTTGAGGGTCACACTCACATCCACATCGGTTCGCACCTCATTCACGTCGGTGGCGGCAAGGGCTTCGGGCCTGCGATAGGTGTGCTTCTCGATGACCGACAGAACGTTGTTCCAGTCCAAATTCCGGCTATCCGTTGCCATCCATCCCTCCTTCACGTCAACCACGCTCTTTTCGAGTATGAAGCTCTGGGTGCTGCCATCTTCGCTCGCGCCCAGGGCGCTTCGGGGAAGAAGGGCGAGTACACCCGCAGGTAGCCGGCTCTTCTTCAGATGCAGACGCACTGTCGTCAAGCGCTGGGTCTCCGGATCGTAGTGTCGCTCAATCGTGTCTGTCGATGCAACATGGCGAGAGTATGGATTGGGATAGCGGAGGAAGTAGGCCAAAGAAACGGCGCTGAAGCCATAGTCGTAGCTGTAGTTGCTCTGGTAGAATTTGACCATTGTCACCCACTCACGCACTCACTCACTCACGGGCGTCGGAGTCGGAGTCTGCGAGTCACGCCCATCCCCAGCGACGGGGGTAACTGATAGTGGTGATGATGGCCTCGTGAAGAGAAAGTGAATTGATGGATGGTGGAAGAGAAGTCGTGAATGGGTGGCGATGTGTGAGGCTGTCAGGTGCTGGTATCCTTGGCGCATGCTTGCCGCGGGAAAGCGGGAAGCATCGGCGTTCGTCAACCCCAATCCCGATGCCGATGCCATACTCGAGCCCCGCCCCTCCCGCGCGCCGCCAATAATTATTTTGGTCACCCCACTTCGGCCGTTAGTCATTCGATACCTTGGGAGGGACAGCACCAACAACATCATCAACAACAACAACAACATCAATCCCTCGAACACCTCCACCATCTGCACCGCCTCCACCACCTTCGCCGCCTCCGCCACCTCATGTCGTCCACGGACACTCCCACAGTTGGTGCGCCGCCCGCCGTGGCCGAGACCAAGGACGACAAGAAGCCCAGCTCCCAAAAGATCGACCCGTACAATGTTGCTGGCGAGGTGGACGACTCGGGCAATGTCAAGGCCATTGACTACGACCGCCTCATTGAGGAATTCGGCGTCCAGCCACTGTCCGACGACATCCTCCAGAAATTCGAGCGCGTTACCGGCAAGTCGGCTCACCTGTTGATCCGCAGAAAGATCTTCTTCGCACATCGTGACTTCGACAAACTCCTTGACATGTACGAGAAGTATGGCACTTTCATGCTGTATACCGGGCGGGGACCGTCGAGTGGGAGCATGCACCTGGGTCACACAGTGCCATTTCTGTTCACCAAGTGGTTGCAAGAGCTGTTCGATGTGCCGCTGGTCATCATGTTGACAGACGATGAAAAGTACCTATATACGCGCCACAAAAACAAGGGGGTGACGAAAAAGGGCGCCGAGGTGGCCGATTTCATCGATTATGCGCACGATAATATGAAGGACATCATCGCCTTGGGCTTCGACATGAAGAAGACCTTCATCTACACCGACTACGAATTCATGGGCGGCCACTTTCTGCAGAATGTGACCGAGTATGAGTCCATGGTGACGGTCAACCAAGCACAAGGTGCTTTCGGCTTCGATGGCAGCACGAGCATCGGGCTGACCGCTTTCTCTGCAAAGCAAGGAGCTGCTGCCTTTCCATCTTCCTACCCAGAACTGTTTGGCTACAAAGACTACCGCCTACCCGACCTTGACCGGACGGGTCTACGCCGACATAAAGCCCTGTCACAAATACCCGTCCTCATCCCCTGCGCTATCGATCAAGAACCGTACTTCCGCATCCTACGAGAACGCTGCAAACGCATGAAGCACGTGCACGAAAAGCCCTCTCTCATTCTTTCACAATTCCTAACTGCACTGCAAGGGCCAGGCGGGAAAATGAGCGCCTCGGACCCGAACTCGGCCATCTTCATGTCTGATAAGCCAAACGAGATCAAAAACAAGATCAATAAGCACGCGTTCTCAGGCGGTCGGGAGACGAGGGAAGAGCAAGAGAAATACGGCGGTAACCCCGATGTGGACGTCGCCTTTACCTATCTGTCATACTTTCTGGATTCGGACGAGGAATTGCAGGATTTGGCCGATCGATATCGAAGTGGAAAGATGGGGACAGGGGACATGAAGAAGCGATGTATCGCAGAATTGCAAAAGTTTGTGGCCGAGTTTCAAGAACGAAGAAGCAAGATCGATGATGCAAAGATGAGAGAATTCACGGCTTATAGAAAGTTGGAATGCAAGGGCGTTGATGCGGTGGCAGAAGGGCTCAAGGACTTGACATTGAAGTAGAGTCGCTGGCGCTAAAGAAAATTAATATCATCACTACTCAGCGACTGCTCGATGGGAAGTCTTTCGAGAGCTCGTTCGCATCCTTCCCGAGTCTGAACACGGCCTCGTAGCATATGCTCCATCCAGAGCTAATGCCCTGCGAAGCTAGTATTCTTCAAAAAGACCATGGCAGCACTCCATCAAGACGACGCCCAATACTATGGATATAGCCAGCAGCAAAGCGTCCATTAAGCCCTCCCTCTGTGGCCCATATCACGGACGTCCCACCTCCCTTGATCTTTGCAACAAATAAAAAATCCAAGTCATGAGCCAAGAGCCAGCCACCCTTGATATGAGGCAATCTGTAACTGACCGAAAGCGCCAGTACTACCGTAGTTGCGCTCAAAATGAGGTAGCATTAACAACTACCCTATCTGATCCATCAGCTTTTTTTTTTCTTCTTCTTCTAGCTCCATAGCATCCATCTTTGCGCTCGCTCCTTACTTCTTCGTTAGATTTACTCTCTCTTCATTTCATCGTATAATACTTTACATTTGAATGAATAGATATATCGAGAGAACGAGTACTTGTACCTCAGGTACCTACCTATTTTCCACTTTTTCTTCTTTCTCTTCTCGTCGTGCGAGGGTGGGTGGAAGGTGGAAGGTGGAAGGTGGAAGGTGGGAGGTGGACTTTTTACATGTCAAAGAAAGAAACCTTGGGGAAAAAAGAGCAAACAAACATTGGTCGAATCGAAGAGAGAGGGAAGACGGTTGGCAGAAGAAGAAGATGATGATGATGAAGGAGAAGATAATTTTTTTTCCGCGAGAGTTTATCCACCTTGGGGTATTTTCCTTCTTCTTCTTCTTCTTCTTCTTCTTTCTTTTCTTTTTCTTCTGTCCTCGTCGTGGTTGTTGTTGTTGTTGGTCTATAAGCAAACAGTTTTCTTGTTCCAAGGTCTAAAAGAAGAGAGGCTGTAATCTACAAACACCAACACACATCTCTCGCTCTCTCTCTCTTCGCGGTCCCTGATTATTTCTTGTCTGTCCGTCAATCTAGCCAGCATACAAACACACACACACACATACTTTCTTCCTTCCTCTTCTCCAAGCATATGAGACACGGACAGTAATCGATGAGCGCTCCAGACAGCACCGGAGCTCGGCCCTCAGGTGGCACGGTCCAGCTTCCAGCCAAGAAGGAAATGAAGGACAAGTCCAGCGGCATGTCAGTCAAAGAGCTGCTCATGGCCTGCCTCTGCATCGACGGCGGTGGCGCCGGTCGTCATTGGGAAAGACCATCACTTTCGCCACCACCTGCTCCACCCCCAAGCCGTGCCAATTCAGGCACTACCAGCAGAAGAGGAGCAGTGCATCCTCGTCCAAGACAACTCTCTTCATATGAGCTACGACAGAGAATGGCACGACGACCTGGAGAGGAGAGACTGCCACGTCACCACACTGCTCTTCCCACCAGTAATTCTGCTGCGCGTCGTCGGCAATTCCATCCCATCGTCACGGACAGCCCCACTGCACGCATTGTCCAGCCAGAGAGCTCGATTGCAAAACCGCAACGAGAAATTGAAGCGGAGAACCTCGCTAATCGGGCCCAGGACAAGTTGCACCTTGAGAAGATACGGCAAGCGCAACATCGCGGCAAGGAGCCAGAAAGTCCCAAGGCCATTCCAGCCGTTGCGGGAGATCTGGGTGATATTGGAACATCATCTCTTCCCATGAACTTTAGCCCTCGTGAACGCCAGCCCACAGTAGCAGATCTCAGCGGGGGCAACAGGCGTGGTACTGGTGGTGTTGCAGAGGTGAGTACACCCTAGCCTTGTCTTCGCCATCACCACCGAGGGGAGCCCCGAGCCAGGTTCTGAGGGCTCAAGGTTGTGTTGAGGCTGCTCAGAGACGGACTGAAGCGACAGGAGTTCTCGCAGTGTCTTTCCCAGTGGCATATCCGTTGAGATTTGTCCAAACAGGCTACAGGCTTGCAGCATTGGCGTACTCTCTCGCACCGCATAGCTTTCTAGCAGTAGCTCTTGCAATCAGCATACCGTCTGTCTTCATGCAAACTTGTCATGCTTTCCCTTTACTTTCACATCCAGCATCACCTCGTGATAATTGCCTTCTCTCCTCGCCTTCTTCAACTTCTTCACCTCATCGTCATCCAACCTCCTGCCCACCTCTGCCTCCAATTCCTTTCGACTGATCTTCGCTCGCACCTTCTCGGCCTTTTCCGTCTTGAGCTTCGGCTTGAAGCGCGCCTGCATGCGGATGCGAATACACGTCGTCTCATCCGCAGCCTCCGCATCTCCCCTCACCTCAGCAGGGTCCTTATCGCCGTCCACCGACAGATACGTCTTTCGCATCATCGTCTGTATCTCAAACTGGCTCGATTTCCCCTCGGCGGGAACCACTTTGAACGTCTCTTCCGGCGAGACTGCTTCTCGCGTAGATGACAAGATGCCATATTGGTCGCAACCGAGATACTTGCCATGATGTCCCTTGAAGGTGAAGGTATTCTCGTTGCCCACAATCTTCTGTGCAACCCATACCTGGCGCACGTCGTGTGGTTCCGCCGAGTGCGGCTCGTTCTCGACCATGTTTTCGATTTTGCTCGTGAAGACGCGTCCCAGCTGGTCGACTGCAACACACGCCACGGGTTCGCTGGGTAAGACAAGGATGACAGGGCCGGCGATGTCGTCGATGGCGTCTGCAGAGACCCAGTTCTCGTCGTCCTCGGCCTCGGGTTGTTGATGAGCAGACACGAGCTGCTTGGAGGCTGGCGGCGCATGCTCGTTCTCGTCGTGGGCGTCGTCGGCTTCTTTCTCTGCTCGCTTGCGCTTCTTGGTTGGCTTCTTATCGCCTTTGAAGCTGAGAGCTTTTACCATATTTGGTATATGGAGGATGTTGTTGCTGGACACTTGACGTCGCTCGGTACAAAGTTCAGTCAGGTATGCAAGGTATATGTACCTACAGCAGGAAGGAACTACATGTACCTCCTACACCTCAGGTTCAAACACTGTCACATGGAAGACAGACCCACAGCTATCAACATATAATTGTGCCACCCTCGCAATTGTTTCTGCCTCGCGCCAAACTGGAAACATGCAGGACGAGAAGAGGGATGCAATCATCAGCGTCTCGAAGACTTGCCGTTTACCATTATCATCATCATCATCTAGCTACTCCGATACGTATAACAACGCACCAGCCAAGTCCTCCCCCAGGGACAGTTCTAGCTGCGCCATCCACAGATGCACATATGCAATGCTATACAAATACCAAACGCCCGCTGTAACGCCCACGAATGACCATACTATGGCATGCTATGCTTTGCTTCTTCATCCTCTTCGTCTCTGTCCAATACTCTAGACACTTTTACTTCCGCAGCTGGCAGTGTGAAGCATAGCGAAAAAGGGGCAATACTCTATCGTTTCTGCGGCGCATTTCGTGCCGTAGCAGGACTAAGCTGGTCGATACTCGGACCAGAAACTGAGTCATCCATTCGGCTCACTTGTCCGCTCGTAATCTGGTGGTCATCACTGAGCTTCCGTGGCGTTGAGATTTCCCGCGGGCTTGACTCCATCTGTGGTGTGCGTTGCGCGATAGGAGAATGTGCGTCCCCGCGAGAATCTTGGACCTCGCAGTCCTCCTCTGCCTCGTCCTCGTCCTCTCCCTGGGCGTCAGTGTCATCCTCATCCTCGTACTCGTTCTCCTCGTCTCCCTCTTCATCTTCGTCAATCATGGACTGGGTGAGTTCATCATTGGTATCCTCATCATCGTAATCATCATCGCGTCCGAGCATGGATGCAATGGATTGATCGAGGCTGGGACGACCGTCGGGGTCGGAAAAGTACGAGTCCATCATATCGTCGCCGGCTTCGTCCTCGCTCAGGATGCTTTGGCTGTCTCTAGTGATGGTCGCCTGCAATTTGGGCACCGGCGAGGTGACAGGTTCATCCTCGTCTTCCGAGTCGGTGAAGTCTGCTAGATCCATCGGCTTACTTCGCCAGTAATTGAAATCGGTAAATTCTTCTCCGCCGCCCATGACAAGCAGACCAACAGGCGGGAAGTAGTGGTCGACAATTTCTCGCATGCTGCTATATGCCGTCTTATAGTGGTTCAGCGACAGGAGGTCCAGACTGATTTCGGAATTGGTGTTGATGGTGAAGATTCGTGTGGATGGGATGTTGACAGATCGGTAGCTGAGCGCATCCGTCAAGCGATTTCCGAATCCCGCGTAGAATGGCGAGCCAGCCTTCCCTCGACCGGCTCCCAGACCCCCAGGCAAGTTTGCCATATTCATGGGCTTGAGACCTGCCTCCAATGCATTTTCAGTAGTGTTCTGTGCTCCACCATGGCCGGCAAAGAGCGACATGATATCTCGCAAGCAAGCCATCTTGAAGATCTCCGGCTTGCGTAGGTACACTTCACGTCGCAATGCTGCGATGGTCCGATCGGGACTCAGAATGACCGGGCCAGGAGGGAGCTTGTACCCTTCCTGTGTTACACCCTTGAGGTATGCTCTGGTAGTATCTGCTTGGCCCACACTTCTGCTGGTCAGATACAGAAAGTTGTAGCCATTGGAGGCAATCTCAGTGTAGAGCTTAGCGACGCCTTGATGCGTCCAATCTCGGCCAATTTTGTTGAGCACATGCCCCAGCACGTCCGACTTGGTAATGGTTCCATCGATATCCGAAATCACAATGGGTACGTCGTGCCTCCAGTACCATAGAGTGGCCTCGCATGTGGCACGGTTTACGGTAAAGGCCATGCTATTTGCTCCTGGTTTCAGATCCATACCTTTTAATTGTGCCGACGTGAGACGTAGCGTTTTAGCGTAATTCTTGTTGGGATCTCCTGCGATCGCAGAAGACGATGAGGGCGCTTGGGAACCTATCTCGACCGCACTATCGGAGTCACGCCGATTGTGAGAGTTGACATAGCCAGACTTCGAGTCCACGCTTCGTGTATCGTCAGAGTGATAACCTGGATCCGAGATGGCATCTGTAGAAGCATATGCCGTCGGATTGTAGCTGCCCATGCCCGACGCCACTGCACGCTTGTTGGCGGCATCCTTGGCTTCTTCACTGCTGTAGATCCAGATGTTACCCTTTTCGTCAGCGCCGATGAGTGAGCCGATGTCATAGGGGCCGTCCAGCTCTTCTGAGAGGAGCTGTCTGGCGATACCTTCTGCCTGCAGGGCTTCCGCGTTACTGCTGCCATAATTACTCATATCGAGCATGAGATCACCCGACTCGGTGACCTGATTGCTGATATTTGATGTCCACAGCTTCTTCGACAACGCGATGGCGCGCTCCTTTGCTTCTGACTGTTTCGACGAAGGGGCAGAAGGAGAAGCAACAGCAGCATCGTCTAATCCGTTCGTTCTCCTGCTCGATGGACTAGCCGCTCGCTCTGACCCGGCCTGCATGATGAGCTCCGAGTGGTCCAGGGACTCGTTGATGACGGCTCGAGCCGCGGGAAGCGCACTGTCGGAGGAGGTACGATCGAGAGGATGGTGCAGGGCGCTGACAGGAAATTCGCCCGACAGTGGCCGTGGTCGGGGCGATTGTTCATTGTCCGAAGAAGTCGGAGGCTGCGTCGAGTTCTCCGCATCACTACTAGGCCTTCTCTGCAGAGGAGAGGCAGCAGGAGTACTTTTACTGTGTCCTTTGGAGCGAGATGCCCCATCTTGTGCCAGACCCAAGGCATTCTTTTCGAGATCGAACGACTCTGGCTCTTGCAGCGCAGGCGGTTCGGGGGCGCTGGCTTTCAATTCTGGACTGCCGGCTGGCGATGCCAGAGGCGAGGTTTGGAGGGCTTCGGGCACATCGTCCAGGGTCTCGAAGACGAAAAAAGCCTCTCCTCCCACGCCCAGCTTCATGGGAAAGTCCCGTTTCTCGCCATTCACCTTGAATTCCACCTTCTTTTCCGAGGGCCGCAGCAGAGAGAATTTGCCGAAGCGAATGTGAAATGGACTACAGGCCAAGGACCCATCTTCCTGCTCGACGACGACGACATCGATGGCACCGGAGAGGGTGGCAGGATTGATGGAGTTCCAGGTATTGGACACGCCTCCTGCTAGCGATCGTACGTATTGCATTTCGTCGGGCTCAGAGGCGCGGTCACAGCAGGTTCATGGGAAGCATGTGTGTGTGGGTGGGTGCGTGTGTGTGCGTGCGTGTGTGTGTTTGTTCGTGCGTGCGTGTGTGTATGAGTGGGCGAGAGTGAGAGAGCGAGTGTGTGCGTGTACGTGTGGGTATTTGTGCGTAAGGTATGTGTCTGCGTGTGTTTGCGCGCGTGTGTAGGTAGGGTAAGTAGTATATCTAGTACTCAGCGAGCCTAGAGGAATGATGGTATGAAGGAACGAAGGTATGTATGCGTGAGAGGTCGGTGGTGATCAACTTAGTACATGTGGTTTCTATGTCCTGCTGAGATAGTCGATTGGAGAGGCGAGGCGAGGCGAGACAGCAGACGAGACGGAGGGAATTCGGGGTGTTGTGTAGTACGTTACCTCTAGTACTAAAGGTATGAGGTAGGTAGGTAGGTAGGGTGGTCAGGACCGTTACCTAACGTACCTGTAGTGCATCAATGTCAGTCAGCAGTCTCAGCAATAGCACGGGACCCACGTCACACGATCCGGTCGAAGAAGAGCCGAGGCGAGGCGAGGCGGGTCGCGGGTTGGCGGGAGCGGGAGGAGGTGAAGAAAACGCCGGAGAAGACGTGGAGGGCCTGAGGCAGACTCATCCAGTGCTCAGTTGCAGACTTGCTGTGTGGAGGAGCCGGCACGCCCGGCAGAGCTGGCAAAGTCAAGAGAGCCTGGTAGGCTGTACAGTGCTGCTTACCGAGGTGGCCCAGGTCTGTGCTTGCGCTAGGGGCGGTCCGGTATCAGCTAACCGGGGATAGTGCTACAGAACCTTTGAAACCCAAATCTGCAGCGAGATATCGACGTCTTTCGGCCCTTTCCTGATTTATACGCGTCTATACCTGTTTAGTCCGCTCGGACCGCTCCTAGCGCCTGCACAGACCTGGGCCACTTCGGTAAGCAGCACTGTACCTGTAGAGAGGAACAAGGTTGATGGCGATCATCCCGCAGTCGCCTAGTCTTGCGGAGAAGAAACGCCTTCCGAATCATATTTCTCTCCCACTGCCCGGACAGCTCCATGTCACCACCAACTACACACACTACAGGTATACTTGTAGTTCACTTCCATCGTTTTATTGCATGCATCTTCTGCATCTCTCCTTCTTCGTCTTCATCGTCATCGTCTTCATCTTCTTCTTCATCTTTTTCGTCTCCCTCCCACACGCCTGCTCTACGCACGTGTGCGGGGCGGACGTCCCTACATATTCATTCGTATCTGGAGCCAGTCTAGTATGCTGCCTGATAGCCTGTCGTCGCTCACACCCCATGGCCGGTCCTCGAGCACCGCAACATGCGGCGGGATGGTTGGCTGTCGCTGCAGACCACATTCGAGATAGCGGTTTTGGAGTCGACGTCCTCTCGTCTACCTCGAGCAAGCTGTGGCCCTACATGCTGCCCTTTGCTCTGTACTTCAAGCCCTTGGTGGTCTTGACCGCCTTGACATGGTACGCTCCCTCCCCCCCCCCTCCCCTCCCCCAACACCAATTCCCACCACCACCACAAACTTCCATGCGGTTCTGATGTGTCCATTGCCGCGACCTGCAGGCTGATCTGGAGAGCCTACCAAGTCCTGAACAAGCCGCTCGACGATCTCGCCGGTCTCCTCGGCTTCGACATCCCCTCTGCCCCAGAAATTGACCTGGCCGGAGTCAAGGCAGATGGCGCCATTGTGCATTGGTCGCTGCCGGAACCTCCTCTGCGCATGAACAAGAGCACGCACAAGTTCGAGGTCATGGTAAATGGGGACTTGATCGCCTCCCTGTCCGTCAGGGAGTCGGCCGCCTTGATCACCGGTCTGCAGCCTGGCTGTTACTACGTCGTACGCATATCGCTGGCCAACAACCAGGATTTCACCTCCAAGAGCCTTCCTCTGCGCTTTCGCACCAAGCAACTGGCTTCCGGCGACTTCTTCACCACATCACTAGACGACGACAGCGATTACGATCTACCACAGGTGCCCATCCAGGCCGTCCCGTATCGTGGGTTACACGGCATCACATTCGCTCGACCAGACGCCCCACCGCCCATTACCCGAGAGAATAGCGGGGCAGGAGGCCCGACCAGAAGCCTCAAAGGCCGAAGGGCTTCGCCTTCTGCACTCGATCTACAACAGCTGGACCCGCCTGCCGACCATGTGGAGCCTCCCGAAGGCGCTGAAACTATCACGCGATTGACCGAGAGGCTCGATGAGATCCGCAGGGAGACGGACGAGGCGGAGAGGCAGGCGCGAGAGGAAGAAGAGGAGGATTCGAGGCTAAAGGAGGAATTGATCAAAGAACGAGACGAGTTGAAGGCAGAGGCGCTGGAGCGAGACAAGGCGAGTCGGAATCTGAAGAAAGAGGTTAACACATTGGAGCGGCAGAATACGATCGCGCAAAATGATAGAACCAAAGCCGAACGCCTTCTACAGCAAAAGAAGCAGGAACGGGTCAAGATGAAGGAAGACATGGCTCGATGGGACCGTGAGACTGCCAACATGAAGGAGGAAGTGGAGAATATTCGGAAGGAGAAAGAGGAGTTTCTGCGGAAGAGCGAGCAGGAAAAGAAAGAGCTGCGTGCAAAGCAGGCGGAACAGGCGGCCGCTCTCAAGCTGCTGGACGATGAGGTGAAGGAGAAGAGTACCGAGATCAAGAAGCTGGAGCGCAGCATGAAGAACAACTCCCCCAACACCACCGAGCAGGAGCCGAACCTGGTCCAGCAACATCAGCAGGAAATGGAAGAGCAGAGAGCGTGGGATCAGCATATCCAGCAACTGCAGCATCAGTATGCAATCACTGTGCAGAAGCTCGAAACATCCAAGCGTATGCACGCTGAGCAAGCAGCATATCTCGAGCAGCTTCGCGCCAAGCGTCGACAGGAGGAGGCAGCCCACCTCTACGCGTCTCCGCCCGCCACTCAGGAGCGACCACTGCGTAGGGGCGATAGCAATCGCAGCCGCAGAGGTCAGAGCGGCGTCAGCGCATCTGATAGTCCTCGCATGGCAACCTTTCAACCCACATCTGCCGCATTCCCACCAGGCACTGCCGCCACGGCATCGATCTTTCCCGGAGCATCCACCTTCTTCAATATCAACAATGGCATGACTCTTCAGGGTCCCAGCAATGGCATGACCGTGTCAGAGGAGGAACGAGAGCGATTGACTGGCGGTGCCCTGATGAGTCCCGGTGCGGGTGCGAATCTGATACCTGCAGACCTCTTTGGCGAAGGCGATAAGACGCTCACGGAGATGATTCTCCCTGGCCTGGGTGCCCTTCCTGGCGTACCCGAGCCTGCTTCCACTGTTCCTCCCTCGTCCGCTTCTCAAAACCATGCCGCATCCTTTGACCCAGGGCCTGCATCTCCAGCTTCGGTTGGTAGCGGGCCGACAAGCCTGTTCGCTAGTCCTCGAGCAAGTGCACAGAATCTGGTTGGCTCACCCGAAGGTGTAGAGCGTGTGATGGATTCCGACCGTCGCTCCATACGCTCCACTCGCTCCAATCGTGCTATTAGCGGGACCGGCAGTCGTTTCAGTGGCATGTTCGGGATCAAACAGCGAGCCAAGACGAGCGGTGGCGAAGAAGGTCTGGCGCTGAGTAAGTCAAATTCGATGCCTCGACAGGATGGTGGCCTTGCTGGGATCGATTCCGAGACGCGCAAGCGGAACAGTAGCATTTCTGGCTCCATGCTCAGTGGGCCGTCATTTGGTGGCGATGTCGCATTTGATACCCCTCCACTCCCCGCATCCTCGCGGCGCAGTCGAGCCTTTGGGCTGTTTACCAAGTCGAACACTGATAGCGGAGGAGGATGGCCCAGCACTTTCACCGGCTTTGGAAGACGGCCTACATCGCCTCGGCCTGGGTCGACTCACTCCAATGAGTTGCCACGGCCGTCCTTTGACAGCAGTCGGTGGGGTGGTGATGGTTGGGGCCCCGGAGATGTTGGTGGCGGTAACAGAAGCAGCCCACTGGCCTTTGGAACTACCTGGGGGCCGAATCAGCCACCACAGCCACGCATATTTGGCTCCCGTCATACGTCGCGTCGTCCATCTGCACAGTACGGCGTCAGCGGTCCTCCCGACGACATTACCGAGGACGAAGATGACGATCGCTTCGACGATGGCCGTGCTTCCGCCCTAGGACCTATCGGCAGCAAGCCGCGCACGAAGGCACCCACGGTCGCGGAACCGCACGACGAGGATGTACCGCGGCTCAACCCGGCCGCCAAAGACTTCAAGTCATTCTTTTCCAGCATGAAGCTGAGCAAGTCGAGGGGCGAAGGTTCCTCCAACGCAGGCTCTGCACACAATACTCCCAACCTCGCTCAGGGGGAAAATGAAGAAGAATTCTCGCCGGCCAACAGTCGCAAGTCCCGCGACACTCGCAGCATTACCACGGCCGAGTCGTCCCTGGCAGAATCGGGGCGGAACTCCCCTGATCTCATCCGCACGTCGTCCTACACGTCCGAGGCGGCACCCTCTCCACTCCTCGGTGGCAGCTCTGTCGCCAGCAGAGAATCATTTATGCAAAAGATATCTCGCAAGTCGTCGTCTGGGGGCTTTGGACTTCCCCTCTTTCAGCGTAACAAGTCGAAGCTCGATACCCACTTGCAGACGACAGAAGACGGACAGCCACAACAGCTACAGCTACAGCTACAGCTACCACAACCACATGATGGCACTGGGTCATTGAGTGCCAGTGTGAGCAGTGTGCGAGACGGTAACAAGGATGCCGCTGCTGCTGCTGGTAGTGGTGGTGGTACTGGTTCGACTCCTGGTCGCGAGAGCAAAGAGCAAGCGCGGGGAAGTGGTAGGAACTGGAGCAATGTCTTGAAGCTGGGAGGAGGCAAAGACAGGAGGGGAGAGAAGAAGGGAGGGGGCAATGAGAGTCCGAGTCTGAGCGGCATGAGTATGACGACGGATGAGGATCGCGATGAGCGTGAGAAGGATGAGGTGTAATAGGTGGTCATCAGTGAGTACATTGTACGTGTAGATGAGAGTCATTCTCTGGCTGTTTCGACAGCGAAAGTACCTCCTAATGGTATATATGTATACCTTGTATATAAAGAGGTATCACAGCAAAGTTGTGTTTTGGTATAATGTAAATCTCGGGCATGAGATGGTGACATTTCGATTATAATGCACTATCCACCTCCTCGGCCACGGCAGGTTCCACAACGACCTTTTCAATGCACTGCAACGTCGCCCGTAGCGGCAGTCCCACGACATTATCAAAGGTGCCATCAATCTTCTCAACCAAAATACTCCCCACACCCTGTATCCCATAGCCACCAGCCTTATCGGCGCCTTCCCTCGTCTTGACATAACTCCACAGCAAATCATCCGTGACACTCTGATCAAACTTGACCAACGTCTCCTCAACATGCGTCTCAATGGCATACCCCGGATCCATCAACGATTCCTGAAACGGAGCCATACACACAACCGCAGTGTAAACTTTATGCCAACCCTGATTCTGATCGCGCAGCATTTTCAACGTGTGAAAATGTTCATTTTCCGACCGCGGTTTCTCGAGAATGTCGCCGTAGTGTGATGCGACCACTGTGTCGGCGGCGATGACGAGGGCGGGCTCACCGCCTTGCGAGGGAGAGTCGTCGATGTGTTGTTGGTAGACATTTGAGCATTTTTGTTCGGCTGTTGCGAGGACGTATTCGAAGGGGCCGAGGGATTTGGATTTGTCTTCGGGGAGGGTCGAGGGGATGATTTCGAGGTTGGTGAGGCCGATCTATACCTAGGTACTTTAGTTTTTGGGACAAGAAAGAATGTAGGAGACTTTTTCTGGGGGGTAGAGAGGTTGTTGATCTAGCGGTGATGGATGGGACTGACCTGCGCGAGAAGTTGTCTTCGTCGGGGAGAGGCAGATGCCAGGATGACTCGTTTCCCACGGATCATGTTGAGTGCTGGGAGATTCAATGGCAGAGGCGCTCGAGGTCCCGCTGGGCGCTGTTGGGGCGGTGCAGGGGCAGCGGTAGGGACAGCGACTCCGCCGGTGGCATCGTAGGCGGGCGGTGCATCGAGGGGTATCTTTTCGTCCACCATGGTGGTGGTGGTAGTGGTGGTGGTGGAGGTGGCGGTGGCGGTGACGGTGGAGGTGGTGGTGGAGGTGGTGGTGCATTCACATGTGAGGGAGAGTTATCGATTCGATAGGGCTGAAGATGAAGTCATGGCCCGCGCGTACCTAGCAACAGCAGAAAATACGTAACCTCAGGCAGCAGGTGTAAAACAGGTACGGAGAGCTTACTCCTTGCAGCAGCGCACCGGCACATCAGCGCTGATCATCAAGCTCAACTCTCGCGGAGACACCACCCGTTCGGACTACCACCGCCGACGAGACACGGGAAGGTTTGTAAGCTTGTGCTGAGTACTTGTCAGTGGTAGACGGAGCGGCCGTCATGATGATTCTGCTGCTGTGCTCTCGAGCATATATACATAGGCAATAAAGGTACGTGTACATGTCGTCTTGTCTGCCCATCTACCATTCACTCTCACACACTCTCTCACACGCACTCTCCTCTCTCCTCTCGCCCTCTCTCTCCTCTGCCTCACTACTACCCACCAGCCACAGCAGCTATGGTACAGAACAAGGCTTTCATCTTTGCAAACCCGCCTCAAGGCTGGCCTGTGCCGGGAAAGGACATCAAGACAGAGAGCAGCGACTTCGATGTCGACCAGCAACCACCCCAGGGCGGCTTCACTATCAAACTCCACTATGCTTCTTTCGACCCATACCAGCGAGGACGTATGAGGGCGGCAGATGTCAAGTCATACAGCCCACCTTTCGATCTGGGCAAGCCCATCACCAATGCTGCCATTGCCACTGTAATCAAGTCCGACAATGCCAAGTTCCCGGCGGGGCAAGTTCTCGTCGGTGCCCGTACCTACACACAAGAGTACGCGGCCATCACTGCCGAGGAGGCTGTGGGCTTCAAAGTGCTAGACAACCCATACAACCTCGACGTCAAATACTTTCTCGGCCCATTAGGCATGCCCGGCCTCACCGCCTACAGCTCCTTCTACGAGATCGGGCAGCCGAAGAAGGGCGAAACCATCTTCATCTCGGCCGCTTCGGGCGCCGTGGGTCAACTCGTGGGCCAACTCGCCAAGCACGAGGGATTGAAAGTGATTGGCTCAGTCGGCAGTGACGACAAATTAAACTTCATCACCAAAGACCTCCAGTTCGACGGCGGCTTCAACTACAAGAAAGAGAAGCCGCTCGATGCGCTCAAACGCCTCGCACCCGATGGAATCGACATCTACTACGAGAATGTGGGCGGAGAGCAACTCGACGCAGCGCTGATGCACGCCAACACATTCGCACGCATCGTGGCATGCGGCATGGTATCGCAGTACAATCTCTCGCCCGACCAGGCATACGGCGTGAAGAGTATGATGCAAGTGGTGGCCAAGCGGATCAAGATGCAAGGCTTCATCGTGACAGATGAGAATATGGGGCCACGGTATAGTGAGGATCACCAGAAGAATGTGCAAAAGTGGTTGCACGAGGGCACATTCAAGGCGAGTATTCATGTCACAGAAGGAATTGATAATGCGGCCGAAGGGTTTGTGGGCATGTTGAAGGGAGAGAATTTTGGCAAGGCAGTGTTGGAGATTAGTAAGATATAATGATCAAGTGGCGATAACATGAATGTGACGAGACTCAAGAGAGACACGAAGAATGTTCCTCCCCAGACGCTATTTTCTCGTTTTCGCTTTTAATATTCAATAGCTTCAAGCAGAGAAACGTCGACCACACGTGATCGGAAGTCAGCGTAAAGTTCGACCCACCGCCCTTCACAGCCGAGGGCGGCCGGCGGCTACCACACAGAGTCACAGACAGACCCAGCAAGGCAATTTTTTACGAGAGACGAAATTTGATTATTGATTTATTGAGAACCCGCTTTGCATTGCGGTAGACGTGAAAATTTTCTCATTTTCTTTTGCATAAATTCAAACTACCTCCCACAACGCCCATACATACCTTACCTACCTGAACCTAACAAAACAACAACACAACCACCAACGACTGACACACGACCAACACAAAAAACCATAACCCACGAGAGTGAGGTAGCGTATGAGCACACCGCCCAAAGGCAGCACGCCAGGACCAATTTTTCACTCGTCGGAAAAACCAAGCGCTTCTGTTGAAAAGACTTTTTCGCCTGCGTGCTCTCTACACCACGCAGCCGTGAAGGAATCATGCGAAGTTACAGGTTCACTAGCCTCTATGTCCCAGGCATGCTCGCGGGATGAACAAGACGGGCAAAAACTCACTCTTCCTCTTCCTCTTCCTCGATCAGACCCTCGCGTTGGGGAAAAAAGCGTCGTCAAGGGCAAAGAAGAAAAAGATATTTCTTCAGAAGAAGAAGAAGAAGAAGAAGATTCAGAAGAATCAAGCGGCGGCGACAACATCCACCCCTCCCCCACCAAATCCAGCAGCAGCAGCAACAACAACATCAGCCCTCATGAAGAATTCTATCCCGAAGGAGGCACACGCGCCTGGCTGGTCGTCCTAGGAAGTTTCAGCGGCATGGTAGCCGCCTTAGGAATCATGAACACAATCGGCGTCTACGAAAGTTATCTCGCGCGCCACCAACTCGCCTCCTACTCCGCCGCCTCCATCGGTTGGATTCTAAGCATATACGTATTTCTCGCGTTCGGAGCAGGTCTTGTCATCGGACCTATTTTCGACGTCCACGGGCCTCGATGGTTACTGTTCGCAGGGTCGATTTTGATTATCTTGGCGACCTTTTTGTTGGGCGTGTGTACAGCTTATTGGCATTTTATTCTCGTATTTGGAATTCTGGCGGGTCTGGGCACGGCTCTGATTTTTACGCCGACGATTGCGGCTGTCGGACACTTTTTTTATGAGAAACGGGGAAATGCGACTGGTGTTGCTGCCATGGGAGGCGCGATTGGTGGGATTGTGTTTCCTTTGATGCTGCAGAATTTGTTTCCGAAGGTCGGTTGGGGTTGGGCGACGAGGATTCAAGGGTTTGTGTTTGTGGTGCTTTTGGTGCTTGCGAATCTGCTTGTTCGCTCGAGATTACCCCCCAGGCCGAATCAGTCGATTATGCCGGATTTTATGATTTTTCGACAGTTGAATTTTGCTCTTGTCACTGCTGGGACCTTTTTTATGGAATGGGTGAGATTTTCTTTTCTTTTCCTTCGTTTTTTTCTGCTCTATCCCTTTTTTCCCAACCCCCATCTAACACTTATTCACCCAGGGTCTCTTCGTTCCAATCTCATACGTGACAGCATACAGCCTCAGCTCAGGAGCCATGTCCACAACCTTCGCCTACCAAATCATCGCCATCCTCAACGCGGGCTCCGCAATCGGCCGCTGGCTCCCCGGACTCCTCGCAGACAAAATCGGTCGATTCAACGCCATGCTCCTCGCACTATCCCTCTGCGTACTATCCTCATTCTGTCTCTGGCTCCCCGCCACAATCCTCTCCTCCTCCAGCACCTCCTCCCCCGCTACTCACACCAATACAATCTTCGCCCTCACAATCACATTCTGCATCATCTTCGGATTCGCCAGCGGCTCGAATATCAGTTTGACGCCTGTATGCGTTAGCATGTTGTGCAAAACGGAAGAATATGGAAGGTATTATGCTACTTGTTATTGCGTTGTTGCAATTGGAACTCTTACGGGGATTCCTATTGCTGGGGCGTTGATTGAGGTGTGTGATGGCGCGTATTGGGGTACCGCGCTGTTTACGGGTTGTTGTTATGCGCTTGCTATGGTGTGTTTTACCGCCGTGAGAGTGCGGATGGTGGGTTGGAGGGTGGATGTTAGGTATTGAAGGATAGATGGAAGGAAAATGGGAGAAGGGGAGGAGGAGGAGGGTGAAGGACTTCGATCGATCATGGGAATGGTGGAGACTGTCATTATGGACTTTAACGAATTGTTAGTTGAATAGTAGTGACTGGTACGTGGCTCAAGGTAGGTAGGGCAGGTCTGAGCCGAAAATATTCAGTCATTACTGCAATGAAAAGAAAAGATAGATAAAAGGGAAAATAAAAATACAAACTTCCTTGCACGACGGCAAAAGTGCATCTTGGTGTTTTTGTTTTCTTGATGACTGCAGCAGCAGCCTGGAGCAGGCTATCTACTCGCTCTCCTGTCTTCTTTTTTCTTCCTTATTCTACACCCCTTCTATCCCAGCCCCTTCTGGTCCCAATCTATACGATTACGGATTCAAGTTTGACTAATAAGTAAGACCATTTGTGATTCACGGTAGAGAGAGAGGGAGATATATATAAGGGAGGAGATAGAGACAAGAAGAGATCTCCAGTTCGATTTTCTTTTTCCGATCTCTAGAACAGAAGAAAAGAAGAAAATAGTGATAGGAGTAAGAGACCTAACAGACTACATACCTACTCCCCCCCTCCCTCTCCCTCTCCAAAAAACCTATGAAAACGCCCTACCCACCACCTCCGTACAATCCCCCATCTCCCCTCTCCCCCTCTCCTCCACACCAAGTAAACTCAACCTCTCCCAAGCCCTCGCAAAAGCATCTCCCCACTCCGCCTGCCGATCCACAAACCCCCTAAAATGCACTCCAACGCCCTCCTTCGACAAATTCCTACTCAAATTCACATCACTTTCAAATCTCCCCACTCCCGAAACTGGAGGAGGATTATTATTATACACTTCACGATAGTATTTCGTATCCCACACTCCCGGAGTAGAATCTTGCGGCGTGCCGACAGGAATTCCGAATTGGGATTGGAATTTTGCGATAGATGTACTGTGTGCTCCGATGAGAGCTGCGAGATCTCGAGGACTGAATCCTTTATCTGAGAAGAGGTTTAATAGGGAATTATGATCTGATCCGGGCCCGAAGGCTTGCGGGAGAAGATTTTCTGGAGAGGCTTGAGAGGTATCTTTGCGTCCGACGAAAACGCGTCCGATGCGGCCGCCGGGACAGGCGAGGATACCTGTTGCTCCGGCGATTTGGATGAGATCTGCGGCGGTGAGGGCGTCGTTTGAGGTTTTTTGGTAGGAGTGGAATTTGGAGGTGAGGAAGCTGTGGTAGGAGTGTAGTCCTTCGTTGTCTTTGCGAAGGATTTCTGTCGGGGAGAGGAGGAGTGAGCCGTCTGCGCCGCCTGCGGCAGGGGCGTAGAAGGGTAGTTTGGAGGAGAATGCGGCGGCGTCGTGGAAGGCGAAGCGGATGGATGCTCGAGCGATGTTGTTGCATTGTCCGTTAGGGGTCCGCATGCTTGATGCTAGGTCGGATACTACGGCCGTCCAGAAGTCGGGACATGTTGTCGAAATTGGTGAAGATGTCGATGAGACGACGGGAGGAAAGGAGTTGGTGGAAGCTCTGGTACTCGTCTTGATGGTCGAAGAAATCTTGGACTGGCCGTTGGGTCCTGGGTTGATGATGGTTTCCGAGAACGCACTGACAGCTAGATGGCTGCACAGGCTCATGCGTACGAGCCACAGAGAAAGTTTGGACCGCATCCTGTCAGGCTAGAAAATGATCTGTGGAAGTATGACTTGAAAATGTCATTTTGGTGCCGCACGCAATTGTTCTTATACCACCTTCAATTCCCACCGCATCGGCAAAGTCCACAAGTCACCTCGCTTTGAAAGGCACCGCATCTTGCAGCAAGTTTTTACCATAAGCAATGTCCCCATTGCGTAAGCTTCAGATGTATGAATTGCCTCCTTTCGTCTCGTCAGCTACCATATATAGAGACTGGTGGTTCTGCCGCCACGCCACATGATTGAGAACATGTAGCACCTGGCTGTGCTGGCGTTAGCGTACAACATGTGATGTATACGGCTTCCTGATCCCATTTCCGGCCACAAGCTGACTTTTCATGCAGAGACAAAGTTGTATGCACATCAGATGTGAGATGAAAATCAATCAGCTTTGCACTCACCTGATCCGGTCGATATAAGCAAAGAGTGATTTGTGGCGCGTCGGGCGCTCCCATGTGGAACGGTGTGAGGGTGTGCCATGTGAGAAGTAAGCACGGAGCTACAGAGAGCTCTCGCGAAAGTGGCTCAGCATAACAGTCAGACCAGACAAGACGTTGGGTTGTCTCTGTCGTGGTAAAGTAGAAACGTGTTCTGTCGTTGAAGTGGATATTATACCTGCCATCAGGGCTCGTGCTGTTCGGTCGTAGCACGTTGCATACTGACCGGAGTTTGCGCTATCAGGAGCCTAGGCCTAGTGTCGACATATACCTGTCCCAAATGATTTTCCGGGCGTTGCTTCGTCTTCTACGATGCAACAGAGAAATACATCTTGCTAAGTATCCATGCGAAGCGAAGGCCAGATGACACGCGATCGCCTGATCTCTCAATGGTCCGGTGGCTCTCCATACTAGTACAATCAGGCCGAACCTGCTCGAGGTCAGCACTTGCTCGCATCTCCAGGTCTACCTCGTCCTATGTCTTTCGACAGAGAGCAATATCGCGTGCGGTCCTCGATCTCTTCTCCCACTAGAATCGTCCAATATCCGCCAAAAAGCTGTGCGTTGACATGTTTCCCAAAAATTACTCACCAGGCCTCTATTTTCCACTGATGTATATCTCCACGTACCGTAACCAGGGCTTCTGTCGTCCACCTAAGCACTCGCACCTCAAACTACCATGGATTTCAAAAAGACAACCGCATCCACCCTCTTCCATCAAAACCTCTCCTCCATCATCATCATCAAAACAAACAGCACCTTATCAGCCCCCACCATTCAGCTCTCTCTTCTGTTACAAAAAAAGAAAGAAAGAAACCCCCCCCCCCCCCCTGGGAATATTTTCATGCTCGAAGCGTAATGTACCGTGGGTAAGCGTTCTTCCTTTTCACCTCGCTCGCGCGATGGAAAAGTGTGGAAACTGAACAGCGTGGGGGAAAAGAAAAAGGTCGTGGTAATTCAGGTAGGAGGTACCTAAGGTACATGTATCTGAACGCGTTGCACTTGCGAGTGATGTTGTAATATCGGCCGGACCGAACCTGGATTCTTGGCGTCTTCTGGTTCTCCTTCTATGACACGGCCTCATCACCATCTTTACTACATTTATCTATCGCTTTTTTTTGGTCTTGATCCTACAATCTAGAGCTGTAATGAATCAGGAGTGCAACGTGACAGGACGCACTCCATCTCAATCTGGTGAGATGTAGCGAATATTCCACAAAAGTCCTGGAAATATGAGAACCTCGCCGTCCTCCTGCATGTTACAAAGTCGTGATGGCGTTGCTATGATCGTCGATACCATTATCTATACACAGATTCATCACCCCAAACCCATGCAGAATGACATGTACCAGAACACCGCTATCACGGCCAAATCTACAGGCGCCAGGTCTGGGTTGATTCGCCATCCCAGAGCAGCGGCCGTGAACACCATGCTTCTGTCAAAATCGTGCTCCACCTTCGCCCTTGTCGCAATGAGTAGCTTATACTAAGTTAACTCCATCTCCCCGTCATCCTCGAACGTCTCTTCAGCTTCTTCGCCGTCCACAGTGGTGCCACTCGTGCTGCCTATCCGACCTCTCTTGCGGCCATTGCCCCAGAGCATGCCCATTCCACTGCCCAATCTCGCTCCTCCAAGTCCGCCAACAGCTTCAAGCTCGTCGCCACCCACTACACGACCTTCAGCATCGATGCCTTCGCACAACTCCAACATAGCAGCGCGCTTGAGTCGTCTGAAGCCGTCTGTACGAACGATGCGACCCCAGTGAGTCATGCAGAAGCTTGCAGCTCTGCGCTTGAGCCAGTCCTCTTGTGCCGTGCTCGCGCGGTCGAAAATGAGAGCTCCATGCTGAACATCGAGATCGCGAACCAGGCGGTTGACACACAAGTGCCGGAGTCGAGGCATGTCGTAGATATTACTCATCACGAGCATGTTAGCCACGTCTTCGAGAGTAGGCCCCCCGACGGCCAGGCTTTCTGCTGGCGGAGCAGATATCGAGTCTGTATACAGGTAGTAGAGGAATGCTTTGACAGCTGGATATGGTTCGGGTATATGCATTCGCCGAGTGTGGAATTCTGACATTTGAGCGTTGTAGAGGCGTGAGAAATGCGGCCAGCGCGCGCTGAGAATCAGTCGATGTACATGAATGGGAGGAGAGTTGTGACTGCTGACATCGGGAGACGATCCCGCAATGGGCGATACTGGATCGTCGTCCGATATTGATTCGAGGTCATAAGTATCGTCCTTGAGTGCGGTGATGGTGAAGTCTGTGCCTGAGCCTGTTTCGGGTGGCATGTTGAATGTGCGTGCAAGATCTGCACCAATTGCAGACAGATGTGAGTTTGTTTGTGAATCGGACGTGGGTGGTTTCTGCTCGTTCCGTGCTTCTTGGCTCATCTTATTTCCCAGTAAGCCAAACTTACGCAGATCGATTGGCAGCACGTCAGAGAGGTACTCTTCAGTGTCGCCATTGACACCATTCGCAGGCATCGTTCTGGGCGAGCCCAGCAGCCACGCATGGGTGCCGTCTTGATCGAGACAGCAATAGTGCCATCGGTAGAGTGGACTGAAGAGATCTTTGCCATCAGCCAGCTTCTGCCATCGTAATGAATCCAAGTCAAGAGCCGAAAGCGAAGTTTCAAGCGGCATGTTGGTGGCGGGTGTAACAAAGTCCAGCATGCAGCCGGAACTGAAAACATGGAAATGAGTGCCCACATTCTGCATAGGCAGATTTGGCGATGAGATGAATTTGAGGCTCGATATCGAACCAGGCGCGACGGGTGGCGCACGTTGTATTTGCGTTGCCGAGTTCGATTGAACGCCGGTATTTGCAGCATATCCATTTGAGCCAAACGAAGGCTGTGCTTCAGAATAGCTCGCGAAGCTATTTCTCAAAGACCGTGCATCGTCCGAGCCAGCCATGCCATACGACGGGCCACCTTCGAACGCCGGTGAACCTCTAAAGTCCAGCCACCAGATCTCGCTGGTCCGATCCATATCCTCGCCCATACCTCCACTGACCCAGATCTTTCCTCCCCACACCCAGCTCGCGTGATCGAAGCGTGGGACGAATCTCCACGTGCGACTCCAGGTCCACGTCTTGAGATCAAGATAGCAGATATCGTCAAGAACACCGTTGTCACTACCACTCATGCCTCCACAGATGAACAGCTTGTCATCGTGAATGACGGCCGAGTGCCTTGCTCGGCCTCTGGGAACAGGTCCATTGATATCAGGTTGCGCCCAGTGCGCAGTCTTGATGTCGAATATCACCACATCAGAAAGGTGTATCCTGTGTTCGTTTTCGCCTCCATAGACGAGCAACTTATCGCCTTGCCAGAGACATGAAGTGTGTCCCATCCGTACGCCGGGAATATCACCGTAGTTGTCGACTAGACTCCATTGTCGCGCGGACAGGTTCAGTTTGAGAACGTGATTATACACTTCGTCTGTGTACTGATCAAAGCCGCCAAAAGCATATATCAGGTCGTTGCCCACGTATGTGACCGAAGCATTCACCAGGCAGGCTGGACGTTGGCCTACGGTGGTGATGATTCTGGGCATGTACGGTTCTGCGGTGCGCCGGCGACTATTCTTAGTGGGTGACCGGCTCAGAACATATGTGTTGTTCGACAGGGCCGAGAAGCGCGCGCTGGCGGACGACATTGCCATCTCGGGATCTGGCACGTCCTCGAATGTTTGAGCGCGGGCACGAGTGCGGCGGTCGGTGGAACTACAGTGAGCACATAGCTCAAGTCGCGTCGCGAGACAGGCAGTCAGCACAGTAGTCGGTAAGATACCGCTCAGATCAGCGCAGGAGTTGTTATAAGGCCTCAGCGAGCGATAGTAGTGAAGGATGTTCGGGAGTGATTGTGAGGATGAGGTGGATTCGAGAACAGCAGGCAGGCATGGAAGCCAGAGCGAGCATGTGGCAGGCGGGACGGGAGTCTCCGGCCGGGCCTCGGCACATCCCGTACCTCCTAACAGAATCGGCGTCATCCTGTTGCTCCTCACGACCGTGGCAGACGAGAGATCAAAACAAGACTTCTTCTTCAGCTTTTTCCAATTTCCTTCTCTCTACACCCACACTCACAAACCAATTCACACATCCGCGCTCGTCACGCACCCAAGGCTCTCACGCCTTACCTACCTCTTACCATCAACGGCATACTGCAATATATTCCGCGAACATACTAACCGGATCCCTTGACTGGGCCATCTACAGGAACTTCGACACCAACACTCTGCATTCATCAGCGGATATGGCAACTGCATCAGTATCGACCCCCATTAAACAACGCCGTGATGGCATCTTCTCCACTCGCCTCGCTGGTGGTCGTATGCCTCTTACTCCCTCGCCTCAGACGACGCCCAAGTCGGTGAGCTTGGAAGCGAGTGAGAGCATTCACCATGGCAACGTCAACTTGACTTCACGCTTCTCGCGTGCCCAGTCCAAGACCAATGTCCGCGACTCTCCCAAGTCCAACATTGCTCGTCGCCACCCCCAGTCGCCCCGCAACCTGGACAACCTCATGAGCGACTTTACACTCTCCGGCACAGGCCCACGCCCTGCTTCGTCGGCCAAGAACACCCCAACGCGCCCCAAGAGCTCGCGATCTGGCTCCACCCACCGCACGCCAAAGAGGAGCCAGGGCAAGATCAACTACACTGCTGCCGATCGCTTCATTCCAAATCGTGATGCCAGCGAGGCTATCTCCTCTCAGGGTGCAGCAGTCAAGATCGACAACGAGCGAACTCCAGCACGCCGACCAAAGTCGAGCGCATCCGACGCTGCAGGCGTTGCGAGCGCTTTTGACATTGGTCGTCACTCCACTTCGGACACCGCTCTCTCTCTGGAAGGTCTGAACCTCAACGACAACGAGGATGACGAGGATGACATCCCACGTACCAAGCAGAGCCCAAACACGGTCGCCTACCAGAAATCAGTCGCCGAGGCTTGCGGTGTCAGCATGAAGCAACGCATTCTCGCCTTCAAGCCTGCTGCTCCGGAGTCATCTCGCCCCATCGATCTCCGCTCTCAGTACAACCGCCCGCTCAAGCCAGCTGCCGCCTCTGCATCTCAGTTTCGTCGTCGGGTTCTTACCGCACCAGAGCGTGTCCTCGATGCTCCAGGCCTGGTCGATGACTACTACCTCAACCTCCTTGACTGGTCTTCCGGCAACCAGGTCGCCATCGGCCTTGAGCGCAACGTCTACGTCTGGTCGGCCGAGTCAGGCTCCGTCTCCAGCCTACTCGAGTGCCCAGCTGACACTTACATTGCCTCTGTCAAGTGGTCTGGTGACGGCGCTTACGTCGCCGCTGGACTCGGTACTGGTGAAGTTCAGATCTGGGACGTCGAGGATGGCACCAAGCTTCGCTCCATGCACGGTCACGATACTCGCGTCAGTGTTATGGGCTGGAACAAGCATCTCCTCTCCACCGGCGCCCGCTCTGGTCTGGTGTACAACCACGATGTTCGCATCGCCCAGCACAAGGTCGCTGAGCTCGTTTCCCACACCTCTGAGGTGTGCGGTCTCGAATGGCGCGCCGATGGTGCTCAGCTAGCTACCGGTGGTAACGACAACCTCGTTACCATTTGGGACGCACGTCAACTCACCGCCCCAAAATTCCAAAAGACCAACCACAAGGCCGCTGTCAAGGCTCTAGCGTGGTGCCCATGGCAGTCAAACCTCCTGGCCACTGGTGGAGGCTCGCATGACCGTATGATCCACTTCTGGAACACCACCTCTGGTGCCCGCGTCAACAGCATCGATACTGGCAGCCAAGTCACCTCTCTCCGCTGGAGCATGGGCTACAAGGAGATCGTCTCCTCTTCTGGCTTCCCTGACAACTCGCTCTCCATCTGGAGCTATCCAACTCTGGTCAAGAACATCGAGATTCCGGCCCACGAGTCTCGTGTTCTCCACTCGGCGCTCTCTCCTGATGGACAGATGCTCGCCACTGCCGCTGCTGACGAGTCTCTCAAGTTCTGGAAGGTCTTCGAGAAGAAGGCGGGCTCAAGCAACTTGGTTGGTGGGTCTAGCGCTAGTGCGAAGGCTAGCTTGACCAAGGCCACTACCATTCGATAAACAATGGATTTCAGCACGAGTGACAGGGTCCGGCATTTGTGTTTGAATGACTTTGGGATTGGCATATGATGATGACGGCCTAATTGTGGCGCAGTGTTTCTGTTCGTTGAGCATTTCGAAGCGGGGGCATTTCCTACATGGCGTTGTCACTCAGGATGATGAGAGTCTTTCAGTAGAGAGTTAGGTTCTCTCAAGTACATTTGCGTTTAATGAACAACTCACCCTCGCTATTCGCGCTTTCAATATTGGCCTTCCCCCCATTGTTCTCGTTCCAGAGTCGTCCATTCGCAATGAGTATAGCGATCGCCTCCGGAAGAATCTGCATATCAGAATAAGATTACAACTACTATGGCCTGACTGCAGTGAGCCAACGTGATTTGCTCTAGTCACCGTGTCAAATGTGAAGAAAACGAGCTTTGAGTTCGTGTGAAGTTCACAATTATAGGCAGAGTAAGGTACTAGGTAGGTACATATACCTTAGTAAGCAACGGAGCTCCACATCTTCACATGCATCCGAGGCGGCTGGCTCTTGGCCGACACATGCCTCTCTACCTACCGTAGAAGGTAACCTCATCCTGCCAGTCACAGGAACAGCAGAACTGAGATACGCTTTCTCCTTTCATTCATTCACCTAATACGCCTCTGGAGAATCACATTCACTGTAACACCCGGATACGTGGAGATATTAGGTCATATATACCTGAGAAATGCCTCCATAGGTGGCTTCACACTCGGCGACAATGGCGAACCAGTCCACGCTCCGCCAGCGGCCCTCCGACCGCCTGTCGCAATGGTTCGACCACTTCTACGTACGACTGGCCGCGCGCATCGACCAGCTGCAGAGCCGCAGTCCCCTCGACAAGACCACGACACGTCTGGTTGCCACTCTTGCCCTCGCGCTGGCCATCGTCACCAGCAGCTATGGCGGCTATCGATACTACAAAGGCGTGGAGAAGGAGAAAGAGGTGGGCAGGAGGCTCCTACGGCGCAACAGTGGGCTCAAGGCCAAAGACGGAACAAGGACCATTTACGTGCCATACAAGGATACCAGCAGCAAGGTGGTCATACACCCCATCAAGGCCACGACGTTTGACGCACATAGGCGCTTCTTCCTGAATCCGATCCGCCAAAGAAGCTCAGGCAGACAGATCGCGCTGGATGCGCCGCCGACGAACATCAAACCGGGCCTCAATGTTGCCTTTGTGCATCAGTTCATGGCAATCATGCAGATTGCGGTGCCGCGACTGGGTTCCAAGGAGTCTGGCCTGCTTGCGACTCATGCCTTCTTCTTATTGCTCAGGACTTACCTGTCTCTCGTCGTCGCTACGTTGGATGGCGAGATTGTAAGAGATCTGATCGCAGGACAGGGCAAAGCATTCCTGCTAGGCCTTGGCAAATGGCTGTCCGTAGGTGTTGTAGCCAGCTACACGAACTCTATGATCAAGTTTCTGCAATCCAAGATCAGTATCGCCTTCCGAACGCGGCTGACTCGATACATCCACGACCTGTATCTGAGCTCAAACATGTCATACTACAAAATGCATACGCTCGATGGCAGCATAGATCAGGGAGCCGACCAGTTCATCTGCCAGGATCTGACTTTGTTTTGCGACAATGCAGCTCAGCTGTACTCTAGTCTTGGGAAGCCCTTGGTAGACCTGTTCACATTCAATTACCAGCTGTATAAGTCGCTGGGCCCTTTGGCTCTGGGCGGCTTGCTGAGCAATTATGCGGCGACGGCGATCTTGCTCAAGAGACTCAGCCCTCCCTTTGGCAAGTTAAAAGCAGCCGAGGGACGCAAAGAGGGAGCGTTCAGAGCATTGCATTCCAGACTCATCGCAAATGCCGAAGAGGTGGCCTTCTATGCCGGCGGACCCACAGAACACGCCTTGCTGGATGCTGGCTTCAAGGAGTTGAGGAAGATGATGGAGACGATATACCGTGTGAAAATTGGTTACAATATGCTAGAGGATTTCGTGCTGAAGTATACCTGGTCTGCACTTGGATTTGTCATCACAAGTCTGCCTGTGTTCCTGCCGGGCCTACACATTGCACCAGAGCCGCCTAAGAAAGCTGGGGTCACTGGAGGCTCACCTGAGAGCACTGAAGATAACAAGACGGGATCGCGTACAAAGCAGTTCATCACCAATAAGCGACTCATGCTCAACCTCGCGGATGCTGGCAGTCGCATGATGTACGCCATCAAGGACTTGTCTGAGCTTGCTGGACAGACTAGTAGAGTATTCATGCTCATCAGCACCTTGCATCGTGTACATGCAAATGCCTACAATCAGCCCAGAGACCGATACCCCGAACCGTACAATCTTGCTGACGTTCATGGCACGTTACATAAGGGCTACGATGGTGTACGGTTGGAGGATGTGCCCATCGTGGCCCCTGCACCACATCCAGGTGGTGGCGAGGAGCTCATCGATAACCTTTCGTTCGTCGTAGGACCAGGTGACCACTTGCTCATCACGGGACCAAATGGTGCTGGTAAGTCTGCTGTCGCGCGTGTGGTAGCTGGATTGTGGCCCACATACCGTGGCTTGACCTCCCGACCACGCACCACCGGACAAGATGGCATCATGTTTCTTCCACAGAAGGTTTACCTCAGCCATGGCACTTTGCGCGATCAAGTCATCTACCCCCATACGGAAGTGGAAATGAAGGAGGCAGGTCGTACGGAAATGGAACTGCTTGGAATCCTTGAAGAAAGCAAACTCGGCTACATTCCTGATCGCGAGGGCGGCTGGGATACAAGGAAGATGTGGCAAGACGTGCTCAGTGGAGGCGAGAAGCAGCGTATGAGCATAGCTCGATTGCTGTACCATGAACCACGATACGCGTTCATTGATGAGGGTACATCTGCCGTCAGCTCTGATGTTGAAGGGATCCTGTACGAGACATGCAAGAAGAAGGGCATCAGTAAGTTTTTCGACCTCTTCCACCCATTTTCTCGAGCATAATACTGATGGAACTCTGCAGCTCTCATCACGATCTCCACGCGTGCCTCTCTCAAGCGATACCATTCTTACACTCTGACACTTGGCCTCGGTGAAGAAGCAAACGAGTATGAATTCAACAGAATCGGAACTGCAACCGAGAAAAGCAGTGTGGAACGAGAAATCCAGGAGTTGCGTGAGCAACTAAGCCAGGTCGAGGGCTGGAAATTGAGAAGAAAGGCTATCGATGAGGAGCTATCCAAGGTGTGGGTATCTGGGCAAGAGCTGCCGGCGCCTGATTACCACAATGGAAGTTCCGAAGGCGAGACTGTCAGTGTCTGAGGTACATGTAGATGAATAGAACATTTCATCCATTCTTACACCGCCCACATTCGGATGGCTAACTGCGCCTAATCCCCAATCCAACGCTACACGCTTTTCGTTTCCTCAAGACTCGGGCTAGAGAGAAAGAGATTCTGTGCCTAGGTCTGGTTGAACACGGCCGCTGAAGCAGTGAAACAGAGGGGAGAGATAGGAGAGATTACAGAATCCTGCAGTACCTTAGATATCTTTTTTATCGAGGTTGAGTTTTTCTATTTTTCATTCTAATACTACCTGGTACTAACTCTACCCGTGATAAGAACAAAATTGGAGGCTCCAAGATACTCCCCACGCACACATGACATGATCCATTCAATCTAAATCACAATCTTGCACGCATGTGCTACAGGAGCAATCAAAAACGCATTCTCAATTTCCATACTCTCAGGCGTCGTCGAAGGAGCCAATCGGGCCTTGGGACATTTTCGAAAAAAGGCGGCTGTCGCGAGTCGTAATTCCATGTAGGCCAGATTCGAACCAATGCAGATTCGACTGCCTGCGCCAAAAGGTGACCAGGAAGCTTTGACATCATCTCTGGAGGCGAGTCCGGAGAGCCAACGAGAGGGGTCGTAGAGATCTGGGTTTTCGTATATGCTGGGGTCGCGATGCATTGTCCAGGCTTGAGTGGCGACGATGGTGCCGGCGGGGATGTGGTAGCCTCCTAAGATGGTACCTCCGGGTGGGGTGATTCGAGGAAGAGCTGCAGGTGCTGCGCCGTATAGACGCATGGTCTCTTTGATGACTGCGTTGAGGAATGGGAGCGTCTCCAACTGCTCATCGGTATATGGTTCGGTCAGGGCGGCGACTTCTTTCTCGAGCTCGACTTGTATTGTTGGATTTGAGAGGACTGCCCAGATCAAGTACATCAATGTCGTGGCCGTGGTGTCTGTGCCAGCGAAGATGAAGGTGGCCGCTTCTATGACTAATTCTTCGTCGGACAAGATCGCGTCCTCTTTTGCGGCATCGGCCAGTACTTTGGAGAAGATGTTCTTGGAAGTGGACTTGGCTTTGCTGTTCTCCACTGCCTTCTTCCCACGTTGGAGAACGACTGGGTTGCCTACAAGAGAGACACGGATGGTCAGCGGGTATTCACCAGGTAGGCAAAGTATTGATCTTCCAGTATTTGATTGTCAACGCACCTTGAAACATAGCCTGCAATTTGGGGTACGGAATATGCTTCACAATGGCATACAGCCAAGGGAAGCTATATGCGAACATGTTTCCACGATTGTTTCTTTGAAACCTGAGGAGCATCTCATCCTGTTGGCCCCTCTCGAGCATGTGGAAAGCCTCTCCAAACATCAGCTCTGCGACGACATCGCCAGCGAAAAGAGGTAGCCATTTCACAAGATCGACTTCTCCGGACGTCGTCTTGGCTTCGGTTTTCATCTGTGTGAGGAGTAGTTCAACCTTCTTGTGCACAGTCCCTTCCCAGTTTGAGCGTAAATAAGCTTGTGTAAAGCCACGGGCGAGCAGCTTGCGATGTGCAGCATGTTTGACTGGGTCTGTCATCTGGAATAGTCCATAGGGCGGTTCTCCAGGCTTGTTGGGGTTCAGGAAGCGGTAAAACTTGGTTTTGTAGAAACGACCTCCGATTCTGTGAATCTCCTTGAATGCTACGGGGTCCGAGATGAGGACCTCATTGGGTGCCGTTCGCACAAATGGTCCATATCTCTGGTGCAAGTCGTGGCAATAGTGGGCTTGACGTCTGAGCACTGTGGTATAAAGTCGTGTCGGTATCGCACTGATGGAGGCATACCATGGCCCAGGGATCTTGCTCAGTGGTGAGAGGAAGACATTGTAGAGAATCTGTGATGTGTAAGCTTGGCGTGATGCGTTCGTTCCCTTCCAACTTCCAATGCCATCCACGCACCTGTCCAATCTGGACCAGCAGGAATATGGCCGCAGCCGCTAATATCAGTCGTGTAGCACTCAACTCCATCATAGGCTAGGAGGTATAGGGACGGGAATGGCTGAGCGTAGTCTCTAGTCTCGGGTTGTGCGCCTTGGTCCTGTGGCTTTGTATCATTGCTCAGAGGACTCTCCGCCTGCCACCTTTGCTGGGGCTCATGACTGTCATGTTACGTCCCCAGGGCCCAAACATGGAAGGGCGATCCGTTGAGATCCGCACCGCCCGCATCTTGAAAAGTCTTGTGCGTTTGGCGGTAGTGTGGTAGTGTATACAACGTTGGACTACTCGACCAGTCAGTCGCAGGTGACGAGGATCTGCGCGGTCGCACAGAAGCCAAAAACAACGAAAGTTGGACGTAACTGGGGCGTACCAGGTACATTAACAACGTTGTGGCTACGTCAACCACGTCTCTTTGTGTGGAGAGTTAATAAATATGTGCCAAGGACATCGGTCGGAGTTTCGATATGCCCGCGATCTTGCAGCACTGTGACAGTTGCACACCCTGCGAATTGGCGGACTTAATGCGATGCGCAACTTTGAGCTTGACCCGAGTCTCCTCTGCTACCTATGATGCTGGTCGAACAGCCCGTCAACGAATGAAAGAGTCGCCAAAAAAAAAATCAGCCTTTCCACTTCACTTTACCTCCTACTGCACCTTTCACACTTCAGCTTCCGTTCACCGCCGCCGACTTGCGCTGGACGAGTGCACAAGTCTGGAAGGCTTAAGCGCACCACATTACCTCCTCCTTCGCCAGTCACTATGGCGGCTCCCAGTGCCTTCATAGCGGCTGACCTTTGGAGATAGAATGCCAATTGAGCAGAAAGTGTGACATCTTGGCTCGTTGTCACTCCCATAAAGTTCTGCCACTCTCTGAGAACCGCAAAGTGCCGAGAGTCCTACCTAGCACGCGCAGGATCCACGAAACAGATTCTACCCTGTACCTCCTACCTCCTAGTCGTACGACGCTTCAGTAACTTTCTACCCAAGCAAAGCTCGTTGTAGGACACCACTGGAAGCTTGCGCCTGTTGCAGAGTTGCCCGAGCATCCACGGCAAAAAGGCCTGCCCGGCGCAAAAAAAAGAGAGTCGCCGACATCTCCGACAGATTGGACACATGGTCGAGGTGCTATATGACAATGATGCAAAGGAGTTGATTCGGGCCTGGCTGAATGTAATCGTCTTTGAAGCCTTTAACCGCGGGGTACAGGCTGATCTGGAAAGCTAGCTGGTAAGATGTCCTCGGCGCAAGCTTCGTAGTGTTGGCTCACGAGTCGCGTTGTCTACCTCCTAAAACGATGCAGCAGGCATCAGGTGCGAGATGACTGAACACACGAAGGAGTATCTCGATAGGCAGACCTCTCACTGTGGCCGTATTTGTTGCAGCAGCAACGGGGTCCATGTTTGTGTAGATGTCGGATTGAAGATTTCTGCCAAAGTGCCGCGGATATACCTGCCGTGCTATCGGAGGTCGCAGATGTATACCTAACGAGAAAGCAAACTTTGATCCCAGAATGATGGTGCAGATGCTTATTCGTAGTTTTAATACATGGCGCATAGGAATATTATAGCATTCAAGTTGGCGATGACTGGGCCGAGTGCACGCATGCTACGATTTCCTGCCCGCGGCTTTCTAGTGCAGCGTCAGCATGGGAAGCATGGGAGCGTATATCAGGTCATACGATGTAGCAGTCTTTCAACGCGAGAAACTCTCTGGCACACATATCCTTCTTGACGTTCTGATAGTTGGCCGCCACACACTTCCCATAGACAGCGCCCTGGATGCTGGTCAGTGTGTGGTGGTGAACAAGGTGCCGAGCATCATGAGTACCTCAGGCGAGCATTTGGCGGCAGCTTCGGCGAATTTCTCAATAGGTCTTGTCCTGCCAGGCATCGTGATGGGCGGAGTGGACAGGGTGGAGGGATATGTGGGAGAGGAGGCGAGTTGCTGGACACCCGTGTTAATATGAAAGTCGTCAAGAACATGGAATTCTCGGCAGTGATCCGATTGGACCAAGCTCAAACCTCGCGACGTCCGACGACAACCACAACAAAGCGCGTAACTTCGTTGCTGTCGCGTCGCAAAAACCCTTTCCCAGACTCACACACCCGCGCATTGCTCCTCACCAACAGCTTCTACCCACACATCTCATAGCCAGAGGCACAGCGTAGTCGCATCTAGCCTCGCTAGCCGATGGAACGCCGCACCAGATGACCAGGACATACTCGAAGCGCGTCCGCCGGAAATTCGCACCTTAGGGTCAGGCCGACTCGTCCATGAATGGAGCTCAACATGACCGCGAGCTGCCCGAGCTGAGCAACAACCGTGCGTATCTTCATTGGCGTCGCTGATCCTGTTGACACTACTGAACATGTTACAGAAATTGAAACACTTTACCAAATCTGTGTATCGGCCTCGAGATCTGCCAGTCCGCCAATCAAGGCGCTCTTCACCGAATACGATGCATATGTTGAAGAGCAAGGCCTGGATCCGGGCCATGAGAACGCGCTATTTCGCTGGATATGCTCCATCGGCGACAGCACGCGACAGCAGCATGGATTGGGACAGTCGATTGATCTGGTGCGCGGGTTGAGGAGTGTGCTTGCCGCGCAAGGTATCGAAACTATATTAGATGATGAACCAGAAGACGAAACGCAATCACTGCGCGTTTCCAATACACCACCTAGGAAAAGGGACTCGAGACCGGAAAGACGCGTCTCCTTTGGCGATGCGCATGTGGAGGAGACGTGGTTGAGCGAGCACACAGAGTCGCTTCGACCACTTCCGGCGCCAGTGCAGAATGGGTTGCTCAGCAAGCCACCACGCAGCGGTAGAGAGCCAAACCGCACACAGCGCGCGAGATCAACGAGCAGTTCGTATGTCTATGAAGCACGACGGCCTTCGCCGGAGCACCGTCAACCCCGATTTGAGGACCCCAAGAACTCGACGCTGGTGTTTGAAGTGTCACAGACCCAACTTGAGCAGAATGCTGAAGCCTTCTACGCGACCAGCGAATGGCGGACAGTGCGGCGTCTCTTTCATATCTGGCATGACCAAGCGCTGGCATTGCAGAGTCAGCACATGCAAGCCTGGACATTCGCCGTCAACCATGATCGGCGCAAGCTACTCAAAGAGTCGTTCGACACACTAGTTGTACTGTGCGAGGAGCGCAGACTGGAGCGAGAACGAGCTCTACAAGCACAACGATGGGAGGATGAACAGCAAGCTCGCGAGCGCGATCGAGAAGCTGACCTTGAACGCAGACTGCAAGCATACAAGCAGCAGCGTGATGAGCACTATGTGTGGAAAGCGTTCAGCAACTGGCACGAGTCCCTACAATATCAGAGACGGTGTCGCGATATTGTCAAGGAGAGCATTCTGAAAAACAGATACTTCCACAGGTGGCGCAAGCTGACTATTGAGAATGCTACGAAGTCACGCAGCATATTGACCCAGAAGTACCTGGACTTGTGGAGAGCCCAGACTGCTCAACGCATGCTGGATCACAAGCAAGCTGAAGCTCACTATCAAGAGACTTTGACCATGCGATGCTTCCAACGCTGGTTCTGGGATTTCTGTGCCCTACGCGTGGAGCGCTGGCGCGACCAGAGCCTGCAGCGCAAAGCCTTTGATACATGGACTGCCAAAGTGGAGAGCCACCGGACTCGAGAAGACCAAGCTACAAGGTTCCGACATCAGCGACTATTGCAATCAGCATTGCGGACTATGTCGCAACGCAAAAATGAGTTAGAACTGGCCTCTCAGACTGCAGAAAGCCTGGCTCGGCGAAAGCTGACCGCACGCTGCTTTGACGCTCTAGAGATGCGGGCGAAGTTAACACCCCGCGAGAAGATTTTGACACTCAGGATCAGCTTAAATTTGAAGCGGAAAGCTTTCCAAGTCTGGAATCTACATTTCACCTTATCCCGACAAGCTGTGGTGGTTGATCGGAAGCGCATTCTGCAATCTACCTGGACTAGCTGGAATGATGCTCTTCGATGCAAAGCACTTGGTCAGCGTATTGACGAGCGTATCGCAGTTGAGAACTTGTATAGGTGGGCTTTGCAGGCCCGCCTCAAGTCGTTCCAGCGTGCGCAGAATGAGAAGTTGATGCGACGGACCTTCAATGGATGGGCTTCCAGGCTGTTGGAGCAGGACGCCATCCTCTTGCAGGCAAGCATTGAGTTCGAGACCAACCAGCGATGGAGACTCATGCGCTTTGGCATGACCAGCTTAAATCGAGCAATGCGGCAGCGTGAAGATGCAGAACGGGCGGCTGTGGAGTTCGCTAACAGTCGAGCACTGCCTAGGGCCCTTGTTGTCTGGAAAGAGAGCTCCGAGCACGCACGTATGCTTGCCAAGTGGGCATCTGATGCTCGGTTCTATGTGCTTGCAACTCGAACGTTGAAGCTGTGGCGAGAACGGACCAGCGAGCATAAACATCAGCGTCGACGCGATGCATATGCTCAAGTACGGTCGAGAGTCAAGCTGAGAATCGCCACTCAGTGTTTCCACCGATTACGAGATCGGAGTGTCGAGGTACAAGCAATGAGACGAGAAGCGGACCAGCGAGCGCGAGCTCGTCTCCATAGAATTGGCATCGAGGCCTTCGACAACATGCGAGTTAAGGCTGCACAGTATGGAGAGCTCACTTTACAGGCAAGAGCCATCGATCAGCAGAAACTTCTCAACTCTGCGCTGGCTGCTCTCGTGAACGAGCAGATCGATCTGGCAACTCTCGACCAGCAAGCTCTTTTGTTTCGACAGGAGACGGATCTTGCTCTCCTCGCCGGCGCCCTCAAGCGCATGCAATGGGGAACATTCACGGCCGCTCGCCGCGTTGAGAGCGCTGATGCCCTGTGGGCGCGCAATCGTGATCAACACATTAAGCAGATGCTGCGACACTGGGCATCGCAAGCCAGTGTACGCAAGATTGCGAGGCTGAAGCTTCAAGAAGCAGGCGAGAGTCCCAGCTTGCGACCTGCGAGTCGTGCCGCTGCCAGGTCTGCCGAACGACCAAGCTTCCCTAGCTCACCTCCTGCAGCTGCTGCCACGCCGGGCTACATGCGAACTCCTTCCAAGACGCGAAGACCAGCACGCTTCAAGCCTTTGCCCACCCCAGCGCATGTGACGCCCTTTGCATTTGATCAGTCGTATCTTGTCACGACCCCTGCACCGTTTGCTGCAGTCAGTCCTGATGTGGGAAGGGAAAACACAGAAGCAACCGACATATTCGAGGGCTTGACTCCGCAAATCACACCCTTTGCACGAAAATTGAGGGCTGGTGGAGTCAGTGCCACACCTGCACGGGTACCACCAAGCGCGCTCAGAACCAGCTTATTCGGAAGATCGTTGGGTCCAGGTGGGACGGCAAAGAGCGTGCGCTTTGCTGGTTCCAGTCGATTCGGCACGGGGCTGGGCAGACTCAGCAGTGCTGGGGAGAGTTCGTAGGCGCCATAGTTGATTAAAGCAATGTCTATGTCTCCAGCCGCATCCGATATTGCGACGCTCCTCCAGCCGCAGTACATGTGCTACGGCACTTGTGCATGGCATCCGTGAAACCATCGGCAGAACGACGTCCGGAGGAATCCGTCCTGCCATCCAACCTGTACCCGGGCAAGTTGCGCGTGACATCTGCCAGCGGTGTCACATCGAGTAGCATGATCGGCAGCTTGTAATCGGAAAGATGGGGAACAATAGGTCAGCGTCATATTGAGCTCGCGGCTACGTACATGGCCTGCTGGCACTCGCTACCTACCACGATGGTACGCAGATCGTGGCAATGCCCAACCGAACCAAGATGGAGGCTCCCCATTCCCTCGTGTTGAGCGGCAGTCCACATTCTGGAACGACAACTTCGCGAGAACGTTTTCAAAAAACATACCTACTCGCGATGAGAATCACGGTCCCCGTCACGAGACCCATGATTTTACTTGGAACAGGCTCACCTCATCGGAACGTTACATGCACTGATTCTGTATCTGGACCCAACACGAGCGCGGGCGGCTTGACGAGAGCAGGCACTGACAATTTCAAGCCACGCGCGACGTCTCATCGGCCGGCACTCGCACACAATCGAAGACTGACACTCGCTATTGCTGTGCCACTCTGCTGTCTGTTCCTGCTCGCCGTCCTCGGCTGCGTACTCTACTGGACCAGACGTCGGCAACCACTCCGACACGGCACCGGTGGAAGACGGAAAAGTGGTCCAGAAGTCCATCGCAACAACTTCATCGAGCCTTCAAACACGCCCCCTCCTACGGAACCGAGCTCAGAAGAGCAGCCTGAATGGCAGCGGCCCTCTACGGCTATCAAGAGATCGGATGATGGCTTGTCGAGAATCACAGAACTGCCTTCGGTGTCTGATGACACGCCTGGTCACCGCACTTCACGCGAGCTTCATGAACAGCCACTGTCACCGACTGCACCGCCACCAGAACTTCCTTCTTCACTAAGTTCTCAATCAGAAACAATCAATAGTCCGGACAGCAGTAGCGATGATTTTGCCGGACACTTGAGTGGACTCGACGAAGATCCCTTCTCCGATCGTGCTGCTACTGCTGCTCCGATGCCACGCCAGGAGACCTCGCCCGAGATATCTCCGTCTTCACTGCCCACTGCTCAGCATCGACCTCAAATCGAAACTGCCAGCTCGGTGGGTGCAGCCACGTCTGAGAGTTCTGCTGAACATCCTGTCACGGCCATCAATACGCAAGGACCCAATAGTGTGAATGAAGAACAACAGGATGACGAACCGAGTAGTAGCCGAGCAGTAGTTTCTCGAGCAGCATTATTATCGTCCGAACTCGAACATTCTTCAATCGAAATTGACGATGGCACTCCTTCGCAAAGTGATGACCCTCGGCACTTGCAGCCAGCAAGTCACTCCGACGAACCTGTACACCATCATTCATCTATACTCGATTCCAGCACTGCTCCTCCTCGCGATAATGACACATCCTGGAATCCTTTTTCTTCTCCCACTATACCAGCCACCTCTGCACGTAGCAGCATCGTAGGAGAGACAGAGTTACCACCTCAGCGTGAAAACAACGACGACGATGTGCTTGACCATGTGCAGCAGCAGCCGCCGCCCAGCAACAACAGGGCAGAGGATACGGCCTCGAGTAGGGAAGAAGAGCACTTTCTCGATGCCTTTATTTTGCCGACTCGCAGCAGCAGGAGCAGTAGCAGCAGTCACGAGGAGTTCCCGGCGCCGCCACTCTCGGATAGAGGCTCTTGGTTGCATCGTGAGGAGGGGGAAGAGGAAGAGGAAGAGCAAGATACAGGCGCTACTAATACGGAGTAGCTGAGTGGTGGTGACACTCCTACTAGATGAAAGTCCCCCGCAATAGGTGGTGGTAATATTATGTGTATGATTTTATGGATGGATGGCTACATATGTGTACTTTTTTGTACTTTCAGGTAGGTAGGTAGGTCGGTAGGTAGTGAGTTGTACTTGATAGTAGCCCACCTCTCTCCTCCTCCTTTTTCCTTTTTGTCTTTTTTTTTTCTTTCTACGCACACATAAGATACTTTAACCTAAACACTTCTTATTTACCTACCTAGCAGTATGTATCAAGCATACCTACCAATCCGAAAAAAGAAATTCTTCTACTTACCTTTACCTTTACCCTTTGCTTGTCAGTAGCACAAAACCTACCTCCTACATTACCTTAACATACCTATACCTAACCTAGTACACACAAGTCGCACAACATATAACCTGCAACATGCAACACCGCACGAGCGGCCAATTTGTATTATTTGGGGTCAAGTACCTTAGGTATCTAGGTAGTTTTCTATTGTACTACTTATGTATGTGTGTATGCGTATTTTGTATTACTTCTGTATTTATTGTCGGATAAGTGGAGGTAAGGTAAACTGTAGCTAGCTAGCCGCCTGGGGGCTTGTTTATGCTTGTGGAACTTGGAAAGGTATGTACCAGGTATGTGTTGATCTGTCTTGTTGTAGGGGATGATGATAATTGATGAGACTAGGTGGAGGTGTTGTAGGAGCGTGTTGTGATGTGTATAACGAATGCTAGGGTTGGTGTGATATTTAGGAGGTAGGAGGAAGGAAGGTGGATATCTCTGGTATATTTGTATCTCTGTACATACTTGTATCTCTGTACATGTACATGTATGATGTGGGTATATGTATATATGTTGTACTTTCTTCCTTCGTGTTGTTTGGGAATGGTATATGATCGGTTTCCGAATTCTTCCTCTTCTTCTCCCCCTTCTTCCCCCCTTTCCATTTCCATCTCAACAACATAAGTACACTACACTACCTCCCCTCCCCCCCCCCTCAAAAACCCCCTTCCCTCCCTCCCGTCCAATCCATGTACTACCTTACCTTCCAGGTTCCCTCAGGTAAAACGCCCTCCTCGGCTATAGACCTTACCTTACATTACCCAAGGTAGGTAAGTGACGTTACACAAGACTTGTATCACCCCATTGCAGATTCGCGTAACAGATTTTTTTTGCACAACAGTTGACGCATTACATGTACCTACAATGTACCCATCACATGCATGCATTGTAACAAAGGGGGAAATTTTTTTTGGAACCGGATGAGCTTGCAGCAAGCCTTTTGAGCTACACCTGAGCTAAGCTAAGCTAACCTCTCTGTGATTCCTGTTTGTGTTCGTTGGTAGACTTGCTTTGCTTGCTGGCCGGTTGGGCTGACTGGCTGGGCTGGGCTTGATTGTAGTGTAGGATTGCTAGATCAGGTAGCTAGACAAGACGGGTTTGAAAGGGGGGTTGGGTTGCTCTGCTACATTACCTATGTTTCGCACACATACACATACACATACACACGCACACGCACACACATGCTGTCTTGCCTTGTTTCTTTGTCCGCCTGGGATGTTTGAGGTAGATGGGATTGTGTATGGGTTATAGATGTCTGTGTGAGGGTTTGTGGAGTGTTGTCTTGTATGGAGGAGAAGCGTCACGATCTTTAATGTTGCGTTGTATCATCATCATCATGTACGTTGGATTGAAACTTCAGTTCAATTGGAAGATACTTCCCGGATCTGGTGGGGAGAGGTTTGTTCTGTTGGGTTTCTCCGATTCTGCTCACTTTGTCGCTTTTTGTCGTCCCTGCTGACGCTGCTACTGCTGTTTCTAATGCTGGAGGGATCAGTCTATTCGAAGATCTCTGGATGTTGATCAACTTCTAAGTGAACTAGCTAGCTAGCTTGCCTGCAGCAGATCATCTTCATCATCGCTCAAGAGATATGCGGGCTCCTTCTTCGAAATGCCGTCGGACGCTGAAGATCTGGCGAAAGAAGAACGCAAACCCCGACGTGGATATCGGAACCTGGGATAGTACAGCTCCAGCGACATGGTCTTCGAACCCAACAGCCGGAAGCATCAGTATCGACGAAGCACCCACACCGTTTCCGAATTCGTATGGTACTTCTTCCTTCCTTTTCTCTCCTTCTCCTTCGTTGGAGACTCCAACAACGACTAGCACTCACCAGGCTTCCATCTCACACGTGACGAATACTTGCCGAGATTGTCGAATCACTGCTGCAACAACAACATCAACGTCAGCTGGCACATTGGTCAGTGACGATGCCTCACGAAGGCAGCAACAACAACAACAGCACCGACCACAAGTGCCACTCGTTATCGCGGTGGTAACGCTCAGTTGTCTGATCCTGGTCATCAGCCTGGTCCTAGGATGGCTCAGGTGTAGACGTCGTCGTGGGAAGCTCCCACAAAAGCAAGAAGAGCTCGTAGAGCACGCCTGCCTGCATCGCGCTAGCAACGTCGATGACAGTAGCCATGATTCCGTGGCAGGCGTTGCACACGTGCAAGAGAAAAAGAACAACCTTGCTGCTCAGACACGCTCCACCTCATCCAGTCCAGCAGGGCCATCACTGCTGCCTGATGCCAGTTCCAGTACGCGGAGACTTCTATCCCCGTCAGACATTGTTCTGCCTGATCGACCTGGGAAGCGTGCGCGTGGGACTCGAGATCCTTATCCTAGTTTTTCATCTGCAAACACGGAAGACTGCCATCCCGCTTTCTTCATTTTGCCTGACGACGTCGACGATGATGATGATGATGATGACGACGATGACAGAGATGCGAGAGACTTGCCGCCTACACCTCCGCCAAAGCATCGGATGATACCGCCGAGAGCACCTCCATCTTCGCCGACACTATCGCCGCGACACGGGAGATCTTCTGGCCGCGCAGAGCAACGTCCGATTCCAGAAACTCCTCACGTTCGAGCATTGCACGAACTACCATCAGTCTCTTCGCGTTCTGATCAAATAGAGAGTCCGTAGGTGGGGCTTGTTGGTGTGGGGAATCATTAATGGCGGATGACGTCCCACGTATTTGGCTGGTATTCTTAGCAGGCGACAGCTCATAGAGTTTTCCACTCGGCTGTTGGACGGTTTGACATCTGGGATGGGCCTGTTTGCGAACGGTTCCGGGGATCGATGTGCACGTAATTCCAGATCGAAGTACGGGGGTCGTGAGAGGAAACTGCTTCACGGTCTGAGAGATCTGCTGCCTGGTATTGTTAATGTTGCTTGAGGTCGCGAACTGATGAGAGGATCCGATTGGAAGCTCACTGCGAGTCATCAAGTAAAAATAATGGTTACCTAGGTACGGAGGTAGTTGATGTTCGATCTGCGCATGCTTGATTAGTCTGACTTTCTTGCCGTTCACAGGGCATAGTTTCTACTCCGCATGCAATTGTCAATGTCCCTCGAAAGAAGATTGGACGACGGAATCCCGCTGCGACGTGAGGGTCTATGGTTCGTTTTAGATCTTCCCGGCGACACTATGTCGACCCTTGCGGTTGCGCTTGCGAGCGAAGCAAATAGCGAGAGGGACGTGCGGGACAAAACGTGCATCTGTGCTGCTCATGATCGTCCGTGTCTGAGGATTGGCCGGGAGGTAGCAGAAGAAACTCTGCCGTACTCATCATGATACGGCAGAGCTGTCAAGACTCCAGATGGATCAGTGGCAGTGTGACGATGGAACACAGGGCAGAGTGTAGGTCTGTCTGGTGGTGCTTCATCTTCAGTGGCAAGTGAGCATTGAAACATGCTAGTTCTGATGGGTAGGTACCTCCTACCTCGTAGCATGAAGCTGAGGCTGAAGCGGAAGCAGAAGCGGAAGCAGAAGCATTGGCATCTGCAGGCGTGGACGGCGTGGTATAGGCCTGGGGAGTGTCACATGGCGGACAGCGGACCTACGATCGTCTGCGGTGCTCTCACGCTCACAGCTCCCATGACGTCCTGTAGGCTATAGCGAGGTGTGAGTAAGCATGAAACGGTGCCTGGGCAATCCTGGTCGGGTCTGCGATCACAGATTTTATCATTTTATGATTTTATTGGGCTCCGAGAACTGCCACTGGCGTTTCAGAAGCCCGTGCTAGATAGACTCAAGGCTGCTTCCGAGCGCTGCGAGTCATTTGCACTAACCACCATATGGGATGATGATGCATCTCGACACTGATCGCCATGTTGCATTGCTCCAAGTGGTAATAGGTACATAATAGTGGTCGAAGCTGCTTCGACCCGCCACGCCACGATGCTTCTCGGCCTGCACGAGCGGTGCCGAGACAGGTGTTTTCAGGTTCATCATCAGTTCTTGACGGAGAACGCGGAGGAGAGCGTGCGTGCCACTGCCAATGCGCCAGGCCAGGATGCATCCCCCAATGGCCCCAATGGGCCCAATGCACCATTGGATCTCCCGTCGCCTGCCCACAGATCGCGGTATAAGATGTATCTCAGTAGTATCCATGACTGCTACTACTGCGCACAGCAGACTATGTACCTTACCTACCTACATAGATGATATAGTTCGTGGCCAGAACGGCACGAGAATCAATAGAATCCAATTGCACCGGTGATTTGCCCGTTTGCCGTTTCCCGTTGCTCCTCTCGCACACGAATAATAGCCCTGGCCGAGCGCTCGCGACGAAGTCATTGGGGCTAGCCTGACTGGAAACAAGCGAGCGTTTTACACCTACGATGGAGAGCCCGGGGCGGCGGTGGTGATCGTGCTTGGTGCCAGACGATCACTGCGCGCTGCACCGCCCGTTGGTGGGCGTTGCTGAGCACAGAGTGATAATCACACGAGATGGCGACGTAGGCGCGCGCGCTCTTGACAAGTCCCATTGAAATCACTCCTACTACCTATATGTCGTGGTTGTGATGTCCAGCTGAAATTGTCGTTGGGTTGCAAAGCAGACGTGCACTGACATCCCGCAGAGGCCTTGCCAGCCACTTTTCAGTTCTATTAGACGCGGAGGCTAGTTAGCAACTGCAGCGCAATCCCCCAGGCGCTTCGACTCTCGCTCGATACACTACTACTGGGCCTTGTGCTCTCACCTCATCAACCACCCGCCACCCGCCGTCCTCCCCCTCCCCTCCTCCTCCTCCTCCTCCTCCTCCTCCCTCTTCTCCTCCTCCTCCGTTATACGTTTCCGCCTCCCCTCCGCCCGCCCGCCCTCCCTCCTGTCGTGCGCGTTCAGCAGCAGCTCCTCAGCGTGGTGAGCGAGCTTCTTGTCGCACGGGGGCCACTTTCTTCAGCAGATTGCGACTGGGATCGGCTGCTGTCACGCGCCGTTTGGACCCGCTGCCGAACGAGCCTCGAACCGGTATCGACGTGGACGTGGGCAAGATTGTGTGACTGCCCACCTGCTCTACCCTACCTCACCTGCCTGCGTGCCTGCGTGTCTGCCTGCCTGCGATCGGGCGCCTAGGAGGTTGCTGGTGATTGATTCCTGTTGCCTTTTGCTGCTGCTGCAGGCGCGAGCGGGCGTGCTCGTTCATACCCTCCCGCTCCTTACCCACTGGGCTGCACTCCCAACCGTGTCAGGCTTGCGCTCCTCGCCCAGATACTCCCTTACCTACTCCTCATCGCATCTTCGTTTCCCACGACACGCTCTCGTTGAAAGCAACCGGCCGGCCCTGCTACGACCCGCGGACCGCCAGCAGCGCTAGGAGCTATCCTTCTACCAGATAAGATAGCATCTACTGTCCTGTACCGCAGATTCGCTCTTCCGCCTGCAGCACGCACGCGCAGACGCGCCTGCTGCTTTCAGGAGGCCAACAACGGCTCCCGTCCGTTCCCATCGACACGTGCGGCGCCTGCACGAGTGCAGTGGGGTCGCCCACGAAGCATCCACCTGCTATCTCACACGCCTGCATTGAGCATTCCGCAGCGCCCCTCCGCCATTCACCGCCTGCCCTGACACCATGTCCGCGGCAGTGCAGCAACAAAGCGAGCGCTTTGCATCTCCCACTGCCCAATTGTCGACGTCTCCACAGCCTGCATCGCGACGAGCCGGTCAATCGAACAATGCGTCCTTTCCCAATCCGCCGCCGACGCAGCAGGGCACGATGAGTACCTCGACCTACCAGCAGTTCTATCCAGAAACGGGGGCACCATTGACCACGCGCCCCATCTCACAACAAACGCCCACGCACGCGTCGAAGACACAATCCGCCCACAATTATGGCAGCGGAAGTGATCGAGATCACCAGGGCAGCGACAGCGAGCGAAGGAGAACACAACGAGCATCGCAACAACCGCAAGAACCGCCTGGGAGCGGGCGGAGTCAGCGAACGACGCGCAACGCGCCAGCGCCGAGCAGATCGCAGACGTCAATGGGTCAGCTGCCCGTGGGAGCTGACTTGCCCCGCGAGAACAGCGCGGTCATCAATCGCATTGTAGTGGACGATCCACAGACTGATCGAGCGAGAGAAGAAGCGCGCAAGGCTGAAGCCCTCCCCAACAACCCTGTCTCCCAAATGGCAGGCTTGTCGTTGGAAGCCGCAGAGCCCGCCTCTGTACCACGAAGCCGGCAAGAACACTTGAAGCACGCCTCCTCCAACCGGAAAGAGGTCAAGTTTGGTGACTATATCCTCGGTCAGACCATTGGCGAAGGCGAGTTTGGCAAGGTCAAGATGGGGTGGAAGAAGGATTCGACGGTCCAGGTCGCCATCAAACTGATACGAAAAGAGAGTCTGGCGGGCAACAACACTCGACTTCCTAAGATCTACCGCGAGATCTCCATCCTTCGCGAATTGCAACATCCTAACATTGTCCGCTTACATGAGTTTGTCGAAACAGAACGACACATGGGCATAATACTCGAGTATGCCTCTGGAGGCGAATTGTTCGACTACATCCTCAACCACAGATACTTGAAGGACCCAGCAGCTAGGAGGCTGTTTGCCCAACTTGTGTCCGGTGTGGGCTATCTCCACAAGAAGGGCATCGTCCACCGTGATCTCAAACTGGAGAACCTTCTGTTAGACCGCAATAAGCACATCATCATCACTGACTTCGGCTTTGCCAACACATTCGACCCTGCCGACGAGCTGAGCGAAGACGCAGAAGGGAGAATCTCCGACAAAGACTATATCAAACGCCACGGCTTTGACAAGGTCATTCCCTGGCAAGACGGTCGAGAAGGCGGACATCGGAGAGGTGATTTGATGCAGACGTCGTGTGGAAGTCCATGCTATGCTGCTCCTGAGTTGGTGGTCAGTGATGGACTCTATACAGGTCGCAAGGTGGATGTCTGGAGTTGCGGCGTTATTCTGGTAAGTCGAATTCCTTCACGTGTGCTTCTGCCTATGCTGACCTCCACAGTACGCAATGCTAGCAGGCTACTTACCCTTCGACGACGATCCCGCAAATCCCGAGGGAGACAACATCAATCTCCTCTACAAATACATCGTCAGCACGCCGTTGACCTTCCCCGAATACGTAACACCACATGCTCGCGATCTTTTACGACGGATACTGGTCCCAGATCCGAGGCGGCGCGCAGACTTGTTTGAAGTAGCTCGGCACAGTTGGCTGAGCGAATATACGCACGTCGTGGGCTTCATCGGCAGCAAGGTGAAGAGCGAAGGAGGCTTCGTAGACGCCACCGAGGAAGATTCGCAACTCGGACGCAGTGCTTCAGTCAGGGAGCCTTCGAGCAGACCAATAGCAGAAAGAGCATCGTCATCGCTAGCGCCCAGGCATGCGGGAGCAGCAGGCATGGGCGGCGATGATGCTAGCGACATCAGGAAGCAGCAGAGAGACGCCAAGCGTAGGACGGTGCAGGTCGAATATGTGGCCCCTCAAGGCGCGACCGCGCGTGGCGAGGCAAGCCCGGAATCTGTCAGTCGAAGACCACTCCCCATCACAGCTGTTGCTGGACCGGGTAAAACTCGGGCAAGGACGGATGCGCAAGGTCCAGTGGAGGTTGCGCCGCAACGAATCGACACTACAATGCAGCCGCCTCCATCTCGGTCGGGTCGAGACCAAGGCAGGGTGGTCTCATCTGATCAAAACGGCGGATATGCTGCATCTGCGGCCAACGCGATCCCACGACCCAATACAAGCGGGACACTGGGCGGTACGTCTCGATTACCATCACGTGGCAACTCTTACAGTCAGCCTGCTGCTGCTCAGCCAACGAACACTACCGCCACTGGGTCGTTCTCGCAGCCCAAGTCCAGCTCAGGCTACATCATAGCAGGTGCAGGTCCAGTCGCCTCGGATCCAGGAGAGATGGATGTCGATGGAAGACCCCAGAGCGCGCGAACGCCTTCTGGTGGCCGCCAACAGCCACCACAACGGCCATATACAGACGGCAAGCCATCTGGACATCGACGGAGCAGTACTTTAGGCAGTCTTGCGGACAAGGTCTTGAATCGCAGCACTTCCAAGCGTCAATCCCAGCCACAGCCACAGCAACAAGACACTGGCAATGGAGCTCACAGCAGCGAAAAGCGTAATCGGAAGTACCCTCCTGTCAGCATGAAGAATGCGATGCCGTATGGGGGCAGTGACACGACGCCGCGGCCATCCACTGACAGCCGACGACCCAGTTTCAGCATAGGCCGCAAACCCTCCAAAGACGGCAGTGTCACAGGTCGAAGGTCGTCCCGTCGCTTCTCGTGGCTTCCAGGTAGTCTTAGCATGAACAACTTCGCTGGCAAAAAGGCCGAAGGGTATGACTCTGGCGGCGATGATGGTTATCAGCCAGTTCAGTCACAGCAGCCCGGCAGAGGGAGACCAGAAAACCACGGCATACCATTTGGCCATGGTGCTACCGACAGCCCGCAGGCCACGCAAGATAGCATACCGCTCTACCAGGACGAGGACAGGGACAAGTACCGTGAGCGTGCAAGTGGCAGCAACGCGCCCAGCTCGCAGTTCAACAAAGCGCTCCCACCATCGCCTGCACCATTCCCACCTGTTACCCGCAAGCAGTATCGGGATGATGGCTATGGCGGTAACCGCCTCGAGACTGAGCCCCCTGAACGATTTTACACTCCAGATCTTGGCGTTTCCGATGCGCCCAGCGCCGAGCAATACAACATTAGTAGCAATGGCGAATGGCAACCTGCATCACAATCACAACTGTCGCAGGTATCGCCCGAGTCTACGCGACGCCGCGACGAGTCATTGCGGCCTGCACAGCGTCGCTTCGCGGACGGTTACGAACATGGACATGGTGGCAGCTCGAGCGCGACCCGCAAAGTTATGGATTTCTTCCGCCGCCGAGGTCGAGAGCGGGAGACATAGGAGTTTCCCGTCGTTCGCCGCCTCAGTGGCAGAAAACGTGGGCCCAGTGGATACGCAACTGATGGTGCTGCCAACGCATAGAAAGTCCTTGCGAGGACTCTAGCAAGCGTCCACTGCGTGGATTTTTATGACGTACATGGGGCATCAGCAAGCGCGCTGGCGGGCTTCCTTGTGCCATCAGCGGAGATGCTGACTCCGTCGGAAGGCAACACGGGATGGGCCAGCCCAGGATGAGTGTTGTTTCTTCACATGATCTGCATGCTCTTGGAGGTTATTCGATTCAAACTGTAATGCATTGTGAGTGTAATCTAATAGTGTTCTCGGGAGGGCCATGGATTCAGCAGCACAAGCGACGGCGTTTTAGCAAGCAAGGCAAGGGAACTGTTTTTTCAGTGGCATGTATTAGTGATAGACGCGAGTATAAATGTCTAGGGTGTGAACAGAAGGCAGCACCTCCTTTTTTTCCCAGTGGCGTATATCCCTACCTGACCTTTTGAACCCTCTTTGGCCCCTCTCATCACGAAGCAGTTGATCGATGCTTAATGAATGCACACACTATAGACACTTGGCTTTTGATGCTCAGGTAGCTACCTACCTGTAGCTAGTGGTCTCTAGAGAGAGGGAGGGAGAGGAGAGAGAGGAGAGGAGAGGGAGGGATGGATGGATGTATGTCTTTTCGCCGAAACGGGGCTGAATAACATGAAAGAAGTGAAAATGAAAATGAAATGAGCGATTTTTTTTGCTTTCTTGCTTCGTCAAGTGCGTATATACCTACCTAGGTATGATAAATACGGTCCTCACCTCGGGAAGGCGGGCCAGGCGGTACAGGTAAGGTGAGGTATACAACCGAACCTATTTGCTGTGCTGCAAAAGAAGAAGAAGAGGAAGAAGAAGAGGAAGAAAGAAAAGGCCGCGTACTTCAGGAACTTGGTTTTGGATATCTTCTGCCTTGCCTCTACTCACTCATCTTAAGCCTGATCGCTGCTAGATCGGGAGGAGACTTTGGGGGGCTTCGAGTCAGGTATTGTATGCTCGCTCGCTTCATTTTGGCGCTGGCTTGAGGGTTTGTGTTGGAAAAGCAGTTGTTGAGAATGAGATTGAGACTGAAGGAGACGATCGATGATTTGTGAGAGGGCTAGAATGCTGCAGCGGTTTTCTTTTTAATGGCAGAGATTTCGGGTTCCCGAGGGGTGGGATAATTTGAGGAAAGGATTTCGTGGGGAGGTGGTCAAGTGTAATGGAGGGTATTGAAGATATATTGCGTGAGGGCGGTGCGGGAGCGTTATTGGTATGAGAAGTTCGAATTCTTTGGTAGGTATCTAGAGTCGGTTGAGTCAATGTTGTGTTGTGTCAGTGCTTTGCCTATGTTCTTGCTTGTTACGATGCCCTGATCCCATTGCGTGTCTAGCGAAGACAACGCGCACGAGAGCGAATGAGGATGATGTTGTTTGGTCGATGAAGACAAGATCAGCTGCGCGCTGCCCGTACATCAAGGTGATGGACGTGGCTCGAGCGCCTTCTATAGCCGTCCTCTCCCTCCAGTCGAAATTTGAAAGTCAGCTTCGCAATTGTGGAATCAAACATCCATTGACAAACTGCACGATCCACTTCGGCGACGTGACCATGTCGAGTACGAAACCACGCTGGCGCCACAAGCTGCGTCGCTCACAAGAGTTGAAGACAGAAGGCCTTCTCAGCATCGATGCTCCTTTCGGTGAGCTCAAGCGGCCTCCGTTTCGCTTCTTTGCTCTGCCGCGTGAGCTGAGAGACGCAGTCTACAGCTGGGTCTTCGGAGCCTTCGAGGGCAAGCAACGCCATAACCTTGCCGCTTTCAAGGATCCAGCCATCACGTTGGTCAGCAAGCAGGCTCGTCGAGAGGCTCAGTCGGTTCTGTTCGCAGGCTGATGTTGGCTGCTCACCGTCGGCGCCAACTATGGTGAGCCCTCACGCAAAGCTGAGACGGGCCAGCTGGGGATCAGTCCACGAGTGCACCGATGTCTACGTGCAGCCGGGCACGATGCCGTCTTTCGCGACATCGTTGTTCGAGTCGCAGGACTGAGTGTGGTCGCATCGATTCGACGGCAGCATGATCAGCATCCATGGGTGCAGAACAGATTGATTGCCTCCGTCCATATCAAGACACACCCCTCGTTGGAGTTCGACTGTTTCAGCTGATCTCAAGCACTCCGAATAACAGCTCTTTTACGACGGATCATGGTGAAGTGAGATACATGTAAACACAAAAGGAGGCAATCCCTCGATGGAGCGGCGAAAGGAGACGGAGGTCGGGAATGCCAAGGTAGACTGCAATACCTATAGGACTCTCAGGTGTCTGATTGGTGCGGTGCTGGCTCCGCGGAGAGCCTAGTGATAGACTAGTGATAATGTATTCGAGAAAAGTTGCAAACGATAGGAGAAACACATTTGCCATCATCAACATCATCAACATCGCTGTCACTCATTTCATCGCCTTCTGTCATTCTATCACGACTATAGGACTGGAGGAGTGCGGTATCGAAGGTTGTAATACACGTGCACTTTTTCCCAGCACACCAAGATGCGCCGAGCGTTCCAGCGATGCTCTGCATCACTGACACGACCACTGTCGTCGACCCTCACCAGCACATCGCGAGCTACGCAGCAATGCCTTCGCACAAAAGGTTTCCTTTCCCGACAGATATCCATCACATTTCCCGCCACACGCAATCTGCATCAGTCGAGCAGACTTCGAGACGCCGCCACTGAGCAATCGATGCCCACCACCGAACCCATCACCCGCTTCAAGGATCTGGAAACGCATAACATCGTGCACCCCAATATTGTGCGCGCACTGACCGAGCATATGGGCTTGGAGACGATGACTGAGGTACAGACGAGGACCCTCAACGAGGCGATCAAGGGCGTGGACGTGATTGCGCAGGCGAGAACGGGAACGGGAAAGACATTGGCTTTCCTCCTTCCCATCTTGCAGAGAATTATCAACGATGACCCATCGATTGCAGAGCGAGGACATGGGCGTCGTGGCCGACACATGACTGCCGATGACATTCGAGGTTTGATCATTTCGCCTACAAGAGAATTGGCCGAGCAAATCGCAGTCGAGGCGAAGAAGCTGTGCAGAAATACTGGTGTCATTGTGCAAACTGCTGTCGGTGGTACGCAAAAATCGGCGGGCTTGAGAGCAATCCAGCGCGAGGGATGCCACCTCCTGGTGGGCACTCCAGGCCGTCTGAAGGACATCCTATCAGACAGGGACAGCAGAGTGGAGGCTCCAGATCTGCAAGCGCTTGTCTTCGACGAAGCCGACAGACTGCTCGACCAAGGCTTCTGGCCTGACGTGCAAGATATCATGCGTCTCCTCCCAGACACAGTCGAGAAGGATCGCCAGACGCTCATGTTCTCCGCTACCTTGCCCAAAGAGGTCGTGCGCATCGTTCGCAGCACGCTGAAGCCAGGGTTCAACTTCGTCAAGTGCGTAAGAGACGACGAGGAGCCAACGCACGTACGAGTGCCCCAGAAGTCTGTCTCGCTGGTGGGACTGGAAAACTGTGTACCTGCATTGATCGAGCTTTGCCAACGTGCAATTGAGGCATCGCGGAGTTCTGGCACGAGACCGTACAAGGCTGTCGTCTTCTTCAACAGTACCGCCGAAGTGACGCTCGCCACGTCCGTTCTCTTGGGTCTGCGGGAAGAGAGTGCGCAACACGCAGATAACGTCGGTCGAGGAAAAGGCGCGCACCCATGGTATCCCATCAGGATTTTTGAGATTCACGCAAAATTGTCACAGCAACAGCGCTCCAGAGCGGCCGATGACTTTCGTAGCGCACAGTCTGGTATCTTGCTATCGTCAGATGTCACTGCAAGAGGTATGGACTTCCCTGATGTGACACACGTCATTCAGATCGGTCTTCCACCGTCCAGAGAGCAATACATCCACCGCCTCGGACGTACCGCTCGCGCTGGCAAAGAGGGAGAAGGCTGGATATTCCTCAACCCGGTCGATCAGGCCGAGGCTCGAAGTCGCCTTCGTGATCTCAACTTGACCAAGGACGACACGTTGCAGATTCCTAAGATGGACCTCACGCAACCGGCAGACGTTCCAGCTTATGCTGGCAGGATCTTGAGCATGTATCAAAATGCAATCAAGTCAGTCGCTCTCAGTGAAAAAACCAAGGTCTACCTGGCACAGTTTGGAATATACCAGTGGTTCAACCGTAAGCAGCAATTAGTACACATGATAAACAATCTTTCACGCTTTGGCTGGGGATTGAGCACACCACCCTGTGTGCCACCTGGACTCGCGGCGAGGCTGAGGCTCAAAAAATTGGAGGGCATAGTCGTTGGTGAGGACCTACTCTCCCTTCCAGAGGATAGACGGGGAGAATTCGGAAGCTCTGGACGAGGAGAATACACGCCTCGTGAAAGCGCAAGCGGTTCCAGTTTTGGCAACCGTGGAGGTGATGGAGGAGAATATCAGCCCAGACGTCCCAGCTATGGCAGGGATGGGTCCAGCTACTCCAATCGAGGGGACAGAAATAGTTCCTTTGGAGATCGAGGCGGCAGAAGCAGCTATGGCGGCGGGCGAGGCAGAAGCAACTATGGCGGCGAGAGGGGCAGAAGCAACTATGGCGGCGAGAGAGGCAATTACGGTCGTGGACGACCAGAGCGGAGCGAGGCATCTGGTTTCTACTAGATGCAATAGACGGGGCAGCTCATCGATTTGCATGCTAACGGCGCTGGTGTTTGGAATGGGGTGTGTATAACATGGGCTAGAAAAGGAAGCCTGTTGTCCAGCTTGGCCAGGCAGGCATGATACAGTGTAAAAGTACCGTTATGTGTAGTTCTTGGTCACCACGCGGTGACGAATCTCCAATCCATGATACCCAGACAACCTGTGGAAGTGCTGTTATTTGTCCTGTCCACACACACACACACACAAGGGATATACAGTATGTAACTATCTACCTACCTACCTTACCGTATGCTTCCTGTCTGTACCGATGTCGCCCACCGGAGAGCCATTTTAGCCTTCTCCGACTTCATCGCAGTCGGCGGAGATAAGTGTCGTCTCGTAGGAGGTACGGCCCACGGGCAAGCTCGAGATAACTCCTCCAGGGCCTGCGCCAGTGCGCTTTTCTCGGTCCGTCTATCAGAACCGCTCGTTGACATTATTCACACGAGTAAAAGTCGCCTACTAAGCACTGTACTTGTTACTGTTAGTCGTTGGACGTCCGGTACAAGACAGAGTCTCGCTCCCAACTGACGTCTTTGATCTCCCCGCAGTTCCCCGACTGCCCGCTCTGCCCTATATACATACCTTACCGTCGACGCGCGGTACATGTAGATTACCAAGAGTCCCCCTTCTCCAGGTGTATATATGTTCATCACCCGACAGTACCTACGACTATCCACCTCCCGGACAAGACTCCACCACCATCACCACCACATCCGCCACTTCTCCTCTACTTCACCCACCATGGCACCCGCCTGGACCCGCCTGATCCGCTACATCTCCGCCCAAGACGGCGCAACACGTCTCGGCGACCCCATCGTCCCCTCCGACCAAAAACATCCCGACATCGACGCCCTCGCTCTCGCCGGCGGCCTCAAAGTCAAAGTCCTCCAAACTGGCACCAACCACCCAGTCCACGCCACGCCCACCGACCAAGAAGATGTCGTGAAAACGCTCCTCGGACCTCTCACTCCTCAGGATGTGCCGATTGTGCGATGTGTGGGCTTGAATTACAAAACCCATATTCTCGAAACCGGCTTCGATTTACCCGAGAATCCGACATTGTTTATTAAATCTCCCATGACGGTGGCGGATACGAGACAACCGACTCCGATTCCCAAATTGGGTCAATTGCAATTGGATTATGAAGGTGAATTGACCATTGTTATTGGCAAAGATGCTAAGAATGTTTCCGAGGAAGATGTACGTTTTTTATCCTTCCCTCTCCCTCTCCCCGCCCCCCCCC